TGTTCAGTCAAATAAACGAGTCGAATTGTCCAAATATATAGGGTCTACATGCTGAAAGTGATACACTTTCATCATGCAGAATTGATACGTCCATTTACCGGGTAAAACTGGGTCAGAATGGCCCACACGTGGGCTAGAAGTGCATCGATATTTGGTCAGTGTATCTGAACGTTTCTCTATGAGAATATTATTAATAGAATATCATTATTAATATTATATTAATAACAATAGAATAATAATAGCATCTATTAGTCACACTATTGAATTAGAACCTAATTTCAACAAGGAGATTAAGGAGCGTGTTAACGAATTCACGCGTGCAGATTACGTGAAAACCAAACTGATTAAGAGAAAATCCGATCAAGTTTTTCAATTAAAGGAATTTAGGTCCAAGAAAACTGTTATTACGAGCCGTGCTTGATCATTGCCTGTGATTATAAAGGTCCGTGAGAAGAAAAAATCGTTCCATGTGCATCGTGGGGCTAAGAAAAGTTCCGAATATCAGGTATGAAAATATATGAAAATAAAAAGGTGCTCGCAGTACAAAAAGAGAAGGGCTTAGCGCACACACTTAAGAGATTTTTACGTAAATGGAAGTATGGAGATTAGAGAATACGTGTACCAGAGAGGCGCTCCTTTCATCCTTCATAATTACCAACAGAATCTGGCAACAGTAAGATAACGCATTTAAGCCGAAAATCAAATGTTAACGTTATAAATTTCAATATATGCTTCATTTCTTTAGTAAAGAAGCAAAAAAAGGGTTATCTTCAATTTCCAGACTAGCTAAAAATGTACGAGTATAAAAAAATTTCGGTAGGTCCAGCCTTTTCACATAAAATTTTCTAATAAGTTTCCAGGAAAAATTTGCTAAAGGAAACTGAAGGATGCAAGGACACGCCAGCGTCAAGCACAAACATCAAACGAATCACATTTAGTTACAAGTAAACCCAAATAGTTTATAAATGTACAATGGGGTTTTGTCCAGGAAAATATATTGAAAATATGACCGCGTATATAAATATACATGTAGTTTGTATGTACATAGAACGAAAACTATTTTAATATCATATGACATATAAATTTCAAAATGCAGTAGGTTGCTCGCAACATTGAATGCAACCCTCAACATATATTCACAGCAATACAAAGTTCAAAATATCAACGCAATTTATTAAATCATGCACATGAGCTGCACCCGAATAATTTTAACCTGCAACGTCTTCGTAGTTTAAACTCTACGCAATCATGAGTTGAGAACTTAAATTTCTACCACAATCCTAGGAGGAACTGCAAAGCATCAGAAGCTTCATTATATTTGGTCATTATATTCATTATTCATTCATTATATTTGTAAGGTATTGTTTTGTGACGTTACCAAGCGAGTGCTCCACGCTGTCATAAAACATACCGAGCATAGATGGTAATTTTAGATGATGGTGATAGAAGATTATAAAAGGATGAATGTGGACATTTCATATAAATATTTACGATAGGCACAACAGTTGAAGCCTATAAAATGTTTAAACTTAAAAGATTACGATAATATATGCCGGGGATAGTTCATATATCAAGCAGTATAGTACCATATCGATGTAGCTACATAATTATAGATGAAATCACATAACATACGTTATGAAGCACGAATAAAAGATTTAAAAAGTTTTTCGTTGAAAATATTAGCACTTCTTCAGCTTAATTCAACCGAGTATTTTGCTACTGAACTTCCATTTATCCTTGAAAATGTTCCATCGTTATACATAATTAAAAAAAACTGTAAAAATCATCGGATCTTCACAGACTTACAATTCGAATAAGACTGAAATAAGTGCAATGTAACCTGTTTAATCAAGGAGCTGTGAAATGAATCGTACTTCTTGGAATCCATTTAAGCTAACTTAACGAATATTTGCAGAAGCAATTAGGAAAATTTGTGGAAAATCGAGAATTCGAGATAAATATTGTATTTCACTGTAGCCACTCCTCGTTCGCGGCGTTAGGTATAACACAATTTTGAACATAGAGTCATGGAAATAGTTCATAAGCGATGATGATAAGTAATGAACAATAAATAAATATCTTGTTCCAGTAGAGATGAAAGGCAGGTAAGTCAGTAAGAAAAATTTAGATATTACCACCACACAATCTCGCAGATGAAATCCATACATAAAAAATGCGAGTTAAAGGACAAAAGTGGATGGAATTAGGGAGAGGCATATTGTGCAATAGGCTTATTGTGTAATAGGCTTATTGTGCATTAGAGAAAGGCTTATTGTGCATTAGAGAGAGGCTTATAGCGCATTAGAGAGAGGCTTATAGTGCATTAAAGAGAGGTTTATTGAGCAATAAAGAGAGACTTATTGTGCATTTTACGAGCCTCAGTTATAACGGCGGTTGTTAATAGTTTTTAAGCATTGATTTCTAAGAGGGAATTTTATTTTAAGTTAGCAGCATAGATTTGAGTTAAAGTTAGCAGTATTGATACATAGGTTAATGTGAAGGAATTTAAAGAAATATTTTCTAACGTCTCTCGATTACTACCGGAAAGTAAATAGGTTACTACATTGAGGACCTCGTATCAAGTTTGGGCACCACATGAATATGACAGTCTAGGCTACATATGATTGAATATAATATCTTTGCTATTAGACTAATTCTACTCAATATATATCCAATTAAAACTATCCTCGCCAGAGGGAATTAGATTCGAATAAGAATCAGGGTCTACTGAGTTCAATGCTAAGGGATTTATACTTAATATACGTTCACATCACAAGGCAGAAATAAATGGCATACTATCCTGAGGCAAATAAAGATAGCAGTTGAAATATAATTGAGCTTATACGAATTGACAAGGAACTACAATAGCGTGCTGAGGGAGATAGATGCGTTCAACATGTTGATCACTACTAAACACCCAGCTAACATTTAGATCAAAATGCCTCATCGATTGTCTTCCTGTCATTAATAACATAGTTCGTGTTCCCATTAAAACTAATTTGTAACTTCAGCCTCAAGTAAAAGTACCGCGCGGCGTTCGTTGCTGAAATACAATACCTCTTCTCAAATTATAACAAAAAAATGTCCAGTAACATTTGATACAAACTATCATGTCAGGAGTAGCGGCGTGACAATATAAAGAAATTCGTTGACCAATAAAGAGCGTTGGTTGCGTGCACTCAGTAAAATGAATGGGTCAAATTGCTCAAATAGTGACACACTCACTTGCCTCGGGCCAATGCCACACAAAATCGTCCAAGTGGGATCGCTATTTAGACCCGATCATTTCTCTGAATAGTGTTGTAAATATTGTGGGAGGTGCAAGGCATGAAGAAGAATGCAGAACATTGATGTGAGACGTTGTAGAACATAAGAAAAGCACAAGTTCGCAACAGAGCTACTGTAAACGGCAACAGAAATTCGCGTCGTCGAAGTGAATTTCGATGAACCGACTTTCTATGAAATTTCGCACGATGAACGGATTTCTGATGAACTGCATCGACTTCGTCTGATGACTAGACACTTTGGTGGGCATCATTCAAGCTTTGCGCATGTGGGTCTAAGTCAACATCAGCACGACCTCAAATTCAACATCTTCAAGACCTGAAAGTCAACATCAGCACGACCTCAAAGTCAACACCTAACAATACAACTCAAGCTATCGTTAGTGAATAAGAGGATATCAAAATCCAGGGCTACCATTGTGCGCTTGATTGTCAAAGTAAGCCTCAGTAGAGAAATTTTCATTGTCCAGCTGGGAAATCGAGCGAAAATCTCTCAAAAAATTCCTCAAAATTCCAATTTATTAATGATACACTAATTCAAAATTCACGGTACACGGATTTTATTCCGGTAAACGAGACTACAACGTTGTAACATGCAGATGAAGGAAACCTAAGAGTGTTATAAGTGAAGAAAATATAACAGTGATATTAGGCTGCCGTCATGCAACTGCGGACTGATTCCAGGACAGCTATAATTGCTATGTAGCTACGAATAATGAACCAAGTCATAGTTTGACACTGAGTCTAAAGTATCATGTATCGAGCAGCTCATAGTTTGACATAGTGTCTCGTGTATCTAGGCTCAGTGTCTCAATTCTCAAGTATCAGGGATACTTCATATGCACACGCATACACACGGAAATGGGTTCCAGGCTAAAGGCTCGTCTGTATTCAGATCACTTACAGTTGTAATCTTTGACTAAAGTCTACGTGCTTTTATTTCAATATGGTCGAGGACAAATGGTTCTCTGCTACAATTTGTTCTCTCCTACAATAGAGTAAATTAGAATTAAGGTTCTATTTACAATGAGACCATAATGCAGGAGAATTTCAGGAGTACATGCAATAATATCAAACATGACAGAGCGTGCAGCGTTCGTCACACCGCATTGTTCGCATCAAGAGGTATTAGTATAATTAGTAAACTATTACCTAATTTCTTTGAAGGAACATGAAGAAGATATTTGGTAATAATAACCCACCAAGATGGAGAAAATGGAAAATAGCACGAACTAACGAACGTCAAGCAAATCTATTAAGCTAGACATTACGAATTTTTGGAGTATTGGATCATCTCTTTAACTATATTTCAAGAACGCATCAATGGTCTTGGTTGAGCAAGTTCATTTCTTGTACAAATATTTGTTTCGCTCTGAAGAGCAGAATTTATATATACGGTACTTATTTTCCGTTTCAAACAATAATAAAAGTCATGTTACTGAATAACAATAGTAAGAGTACACAAGAGTTTCTATAGTTAAATGAAAAAGTGCAGAAATATCATTCTGTGGCACATTGCACTCCATGGCATTTTATGTAAACGCTTAAAAAAAGACTAAGAGTGTATTGCTCCGCCTGAAGGTGCTTGTCCACGGGGACAGAAGTGGCGGCCACGAGAACTTGTCCACGGGGACAGTAGTGGCGGCCACGAGAACTTGTCCACGGGGACAGTAGTGGCGGCCACGAGAATTTGTCCACGGGGACAGTCCACGGGGACAGTAGTGGCGGCCACGAGAACTTGTCCACGGGGACAGTAGTGGCGGCCACGAGAATTTTCACATACAAATCACCGTATTACTGGTCTCCTGTATATGAGCCACTGGCCACAGAAGGATACGGTGGCCCTTTGAACCTTTCCAGGAGTGGCGGTTTCAAATATTTAGTGGCGCTTAGCATTTAAAAGTGGCACTGGCCGCCACTACTGGCCCCGTGTACAAGCACCTACACGCACACCGCAGCAGCTGGCAGTTACTTGTACGACACTTAGAAATACACATGAAGGATCAGTAAGATTCTAACACAACATAGAGCATAGAAAAGTAGAAAATCTATGCGGAAGGTTTTCAGTCTAGCCAACCTAGTGCATTTGTCATAGCCTTATCGAATTTTTAACTAATATAATTATTTTAGCCGCTATTCAGACAGCGAGCATAACCAAGACCAGGAAATTGCGCCAACTTCGCTGATACGCCTATTTTGGTCTAGAAAATACGAATTTTTCATCACAAAGTTAAGCAGTGAGAATCAAGGTGCAAAAAAGCTCTAATTTTAAAAACATCGCAAGTGTTCCTAACATTCAAATGTAACAGCGTAAGCTGGACATGTCGAAGCCCACAAAATACAATACGACATACATGAGTACCTACACAAATATATTGTGTGCCGACTTACGTATAACTTATTGTCTAACATTTATTGTACAAGTGAAGCCACACAATTCATTGGCCGGTGCAAGATGCACAATAGGATATCGATGCGTTGGTTAGTGATATCACAAGGATGCAGTGAACTGTGATCAAAAGAAAAACGTGTACAGGAATACCCTTCAAACACAACAAATATAACTCCTCATTAAATTAAACACTAATATAACTCCGCATTAAAGTGAGCAAGAAACGCAGGGTTCGATAGAATTCACAAGCATTAAGAAAGGCATTCTTGAACCGTTATAAAAATAACAGATCAATACATTGTCGAACTTTTTTCTCGATATTGACACAAGGAGAAAACGCTCACAAACTGTATTTTTGATGGAAGATAATAAAGAAATAGTTTAATTAGACACAGCAAACATTACTTAAAAAGATTGGCCACGACTCTTGAAAGTTCAAAGTTTAAAAAAATTTATTGTTAGGCACGGCAGTTAAAAAGAGAAGCAAGGAGTGAACAATTATCAGGTGTTTAGTAAGGAACGTTCATGCTTCATAACAAGACAGCAGGAGTCGAGTCAGATTTAGTCGTAGTCAAGAGTCAGCGGAAGCATTATTTTGATGCTTACCAAGAGTTAAGCTTCAATGAGCCGCGCAACAGTTACGACAGAGCTGCACAACGGGACAACTGTAGGAAGGAAGTATAATACCCTCAAGAATTTGAACAGCCCAGCAATGCCCGTAAATATTATGTCCTTGGTGGATACAAACCATCTAGAGTCTTTTACACATCGAGCAGGAAAGGCTAAACTTGCCCTCAAGTCCATTGCACAAACGACCACTCCCTTTCAAAACAAACGAACAAAAATGTTTTGATGGAAAAGGTTGTAATTTTTGGGACGCTCTTTTTTAAACTTCAGTCAACACTCATTGCTCCGAAAAAAAAAACGATCTTCGATTGAACATGCAAGCCCCCCTTAATTCAAACTTGAACCAAAGAAAAAAATAATGTTTTTAGGAAATATCTGGCCGCATTTAAGTCTGCAAAAGAGTAGGGCACATGGGCAGGGTGGCGGGAGCTGGCCCCTTGCCGGCAGCGCCAGGCTTAACGCTATTCTCTCTCATAAAAGACATGAACTGATCAGGCACCTCAGCGAGCACCTCTCGGGCCAAACGAATTCTAGCGGTGTTATTATCAACCTTCCCTCCCTTGAGGAAGTCCCTGAACGGCACAAATTGTACGATGTCTCGGGCCGCGGTCTGGCCCCCAGACGACAGCCGCACACGGTCCCCGTCCAGCTCCTCCATGGCGCTGAAGTCTGCGTCGCCCACGCCTACGATGATGATGGACAGCGGCAGCACCGAGGCACGCACGATTGCCTGCAACATGATGATGGTAACTAGCATCGTACAATGTCATAGTTACTAGGTTTTACTATACAGGGTCATCAATATTTAGCGTTACATTGTTTTTTTTCAAAAATCAATACACTCGCAAAACAGTCAAATGGAACCATGTCGACTGTTCTCCGGAAGGACCTAAAGTTATCTCCATTCAAGCATGTCAAAAAACACCAACTGTCTGCTCAAGTTGTTAACAAACGCCCCTAAAGATCCAAGATTCTTCTTTCCCGCATTCATGATGGCACGTTGCCAAACCTGACTTTCAGTGATGAGAAGATATTCAATGTTAAACACCACTTCAACTCCCAAAATGATCGAATTTGGTCGAAGAATGGGACGAAGGATCCCGTGTGGTGACTAGGAAAAAATGCCCGATCTCAGTGATGGTCTGGGCAGCCGTAACAGAGTCCTCAAGGAGTCCCTTCTTTTTTGTTGACAAAGGGGTGAAATTGAAGCAGAAGAACTATCGAGATGCCATCCTTGTTGGTGCATTGTTGCCCTGGTTTATTGATGCAGATGGTGGACATATTGAATGAAATTGTGGGAATTGTATCGCTGAACCTCTGCCTACATAAATACATTTTCAAACATTCACAATTGTGTTTCATTTCATATTTCTAGCCACTCAAAGTTGTAACGCTAAATATTGATGACCTTGTACAATGTCATAGTTAATAGTACTATACAATGTAATAGGTGTTGACAAAGGACAATGTCGTAGTTACTAGTACTATATGCAAAGTACAAAGTTGTACTTATGGGTATAGTACGACGACATAGGAAGTTACGGGCATTAGCTAATGTCATGTAACGGGTATATTACTAAGTCATGCGCAGAAAATTAGACAAACTCACGTTTCAGGCTCTAACACTTGCTTACCTCTCACGTGGCTTCTCTGTTCAGTGGAAATACGGTCAATTTAACTATATAAGTACAGAAACACTTGCGTCATTTGATAAGACTTGCAGCCATCATGAACCTCGAAGTACCGATGTCCTCCTTTACCTCAAGTTCCTCTCACCGCTCAAAATAATTTCCAAAGTCTAATTAAATTGACATCCAAAATTGAAGTTTAATTAAATTGACCATTTAATTGACATCGATAATCGCCGACGCGGTTCCTTCCTTGAAAAAGTTGCTCAGACACGTCCACTCAGAATAATTGATAATTCAGGTTAACCAAATAATGACACACTTTTTCACGGCGAACTATTTTTTCTATCGGGCCAAACTGAGTCTGGATGACCCACACTAGGTAAAAGCTGCGCCGCAATTTGGACAAAGTTTCGGTCATTTCTCTGACTGTGCTTTCTGACTCCAAATATTTGTGAGAATTCAGCGGGGTTTCCGAAAAGTCTTACTAGTAAAAGAATTGCGGGAATTCAGCAATATTGATATGAATGAACAGAATAACGTCCAATGGTCACTTGCAAATTACATCTCTGAGCAGATCATTGCGACGCTGCTATAAATAGCAATATTTTACGATACAATGGTTGATTGGCTTTCAATGGCACCAATGAATGAAAATAATCAGATAATTAATTAATAGTTTACCCAATAAACATTAAGGTATAATTATTGACACAAAACAACTAATTTTTCGTGGAGTTTAATGAGGAAGAAACACAATCATTCAATTAATATGACAAATAAATCACAGGTTCGATGCACAAACTTCTTGTGCATCGAGTTCCAAGATGGCACCACGCCTACGAGNCACATGCCTAAATATTACATTTGAACTGTGCCGTGCATTGCAAATCACAACCAGAAAAATATCTGTACAAAGCATAAAGCAGCAAGCAAGGAGTAACAATTAACAATCTCATCACTGAATACAGCATGGCCACATCTCCAAGATTTCAAAAAACAAGGACAAGTGAATAAATGTAATTATGTAAACAGCTATCAGTTTTCAAATGCTACAGTTTTCACTAAATTGTCAGCCAGGTGGAGGGGTCAACATCAAAGTAGAGACATTAGGAGCACCAAAACATTCTAGATTGTAAGGAATAAAGTCTGCACATACAAAAATTAGTATGTTTCTCAGGGAAGTAAAATTTCTAGTTAGGATCCTTAGGGACATCAGGATGATCAGGGACAGGATTGAAATTTTCTTACATAATATGGAAATCTTGCAGCCCTCAAAGTATCTAATAAATTTTCAATGTTCTCTTGAAAATTGAAATCTCACAGTCACATACCAATTGTGCATTTTTATAGAAAATTAGATAGGAACTTAGGAAGTAATTCATCTAGCAGGAATCTTAATAAGCAAAAGCATGCTCAAAATCAGAAAAAATTCAAGGCATATCCGGCCCCTGGGACTGGGAGGGTTGACCGTCAAGGGATAGGTCAGTAAGAGACAGAGACTAAGAGTAAGGCTGTAAAGCTAAGGTGACTAATTGACATTTGGCAATAAGTCATGTCTGTGAGAGTAACAGTGAGACTGTGCCTGTGGTCTGTAGTGTTTGTAGAGTATGAAAAAAATTTCTTCATTTATAAAATAAGTTTGAAGATGCACTAGACTTCAATTGTTACTAGCTGTTAGCTAATGAATACTGACTTACTGTATGACCTCCCCTCAGGCCTCAGTACAGTAGTCAGTAAGTCCATCAGTTTAACAATTTTTTTGACCATGACAATGAGTCAATGACTTGATCAGTTCAATTCAGTTGATGACATCAATCACATGATTCACATTTCACATCATACTCAGATACTGATCATAGTAGTGATAGTACTGACACTATTGACAACTGATGGTACCTATGGATAATATGGACGTTCATAGCACACTAGCATACCTACATTCCTGACATTGATTTATTATTTATCGCCCATTTTATGGGAAATAATAATTAAGAATTTCAAACTCAAAGTTAACACTTATTCGACTCGTTTTACATATACCTACAGTCCTACACATTATACAGTAGGTACAAGAACAAGAGTAACAAATCCAACAAAAAAATAATACGAACGAATACGTTGTCAAAGCCGATTTTACCGTTGAAGCTATCATCTTATCAAACTATTTTTACCAGATTAGCTAGATGCCATGCGCCAACGGCGGCCGTCCCAACACTCACAGACCGAGTTGCACTTATTCAATATTTAGATAAGCTAGCCTCTGTTGCGTCACGACAATTGCGGAAATTTTTGAGCTTCCAAGAATTCGTTCTATACCTGCGTCATGGAAGAATAAGTTCGGATTTGCATTTCCAAAGTGAAGTACTTACGTTTAAAGAAGTGATTGCAAATTTTTTGTTTTATGCAAAATATATTAAATTATGTTTGATGCACGGTATTTTGTATAAGCCAGCCATACTCACGCAGACCTAACACAGTAAGTAGACGCAGGTTTTAACTATATACATATACCAAGCTCGTTAACCAATAGAAATCAGATCAAGTGTGAGATGTGCATAATATCATTCACATTTAATCCTTTGTTGATATAAAACGTAATTTTTCTCGAATTTTTATAAAATTGTAATCATAAACCTATTATTGTTTAAATAGGGGTGAATTTCAATGAATGGAGACAGATAGTAATAACAAAGTAGCGAAAGACTATTCAACATAGAAGTAGTCTATCGCTCACGAGAATTTTACATTCTATATGACTAAGCACGATGAATTTTCCGGCTTCGAAGTTATTTTCGGCAGTGAGCGCTTAGTACATTGATCGCTTCTCACCAGAATCACGCTGAATTCATTTGAAGGGGAACGTCCGGGAAGGACGATAAAGTACGACATGACCACTGCTCTGCCGCTCATCATTGCACTTCTAATTGGCATAATATCTCATTTCGAAAATTGGTTTGTTTGATGAAATTGTTACGGAAAATGTGCTTTATGTTGATTAACTCATAACGGAAAGTATACAAAATTCTAAAGGCATTTTAAGCAAACGTCGCAACTGTTGCTAGAATGCTAGGAATCTGAACAAGTCAAAGTGCGTTCTTTATACAATTATAAATGCGGTTTGTTGCTATAGATCACGCTCTTTGAATATATGCTGGATAAAATTGCTAATATTGGATTAAAATGTTCATCGGCAGTATCGTGCCTCACTGAAAAGATATACATATGTATGAAAGTTAATTTAACCCTTTACTGCATTTAAGAAGTCCAAAATAATTTGGAACAGAATTTTGCATAGAAATACTCAAGTTAACAACAATGACCCGAGGTCATCATCACAACGCTCATCAACATGTTGTAGACCTCTCATTACATCAGAACAATAATTTCTGTGAACATAGTCGAACGATAATTTTCTAGTAAAACTTAATTAAATAACTTCGCATTATTTACGTGATTATAGAATATCTCACGCAGAAAAATTGTTCAGAATTATTATTCTATTTTTATTGACAATCGACGAAGCCTACTAAATGTCAGTTGATGTATCGTATCATTGACGATAGTGCTATTTAATACACATATTTATATTATTTAATACACAATGATCTTCAATCACAATAAATTATTTAGACCTGAGCTTGTGTTTAGCTTCAAAATGCATGTCATGATGTCTCACGGATTTGTCTGTTGGTGCGTTGCTATNCATGTTGTGACTGTAAGAGTAGTAGATTAAGTGTTTATTGTATAGAGAAAGAAATGACGTGGGATGACTAAGTAAAAAAAACTTGAATTTGTGTGAGAATATTACATAAAGAGGATCATAATCTTACATATTAAGCTGCCGATGGGAGTCAAAGTCGTTGTTTTGCTTTTGGCCACTTTCCATTGTTTCGTTAAAGATATTCAAGAGCAATCCTTGCTGTTGTGGTTACGCGTGATGCATCATTCATATTTTAATTTTTTATGGTCATGCATGCTAAAGATATTTATTTTTCCAGGCAAGAATGCTGATGATACCCAATTAAAAATGTGTACGTTTGACGAGTACCCATGTTTGCAACTCCTCGCGTGTTTCGATTGAATTTGATTTGAAAATATTATTTGAGGGTTTTATACAGACTGTGCAGACTTGCTCGAATTTTTAGAGGGTTTTAAGACTGTGGATACACGTATATTCAAGCAAAAGTTGTCTCACCATGGGCCTATTTCTTCAACGCCGACACTTCTATTCTATGTCAAACGGCTTCATCAAGAATGATAACACCGAATTGAACTCAACGATAACGGGCCAAAGCTTGTTAAGTTTATTAATCACTGATAGAATATATTCCTTATAAAGCCAGAGACGCTTTATCTTTGGCACTAGTTGCCACTTGTCGAAGCTGTTATGCGAGATTCATCCCTATTAACTTTCTCCTTTACCAACGAAATTTCTGGCATGAATAATGAACTTCAACACCGGGTTATAAACAAAAATAATGAATTCACGTGGCGTTTTCCTTATTTTTAATTAAATTGTTGGTGAACTTTTGAAAATTTACCTCATGGAGACTAGTGATATAAGTATTGGACAAGACCATAATAGCGTATATTTATTATATACGCTATTATAATAGCGTAAACATTTATTTATTTATGTCACGGTCCGCATGACTGTTTCCTAGGAGCTGTGTTGTGAGGCCTTCAGGTGCCTTCAGGTGAGGGCACAATTAATATGAGGAGGATGAAGTACTTGTCGCCGTGACGGTGGGCGGCGGCGAACTGAGCCACGTGGGTGATGATGGGGGCGAAGTTGGTGGGTCCGTAGAGCTGAACACGACTCAGACACGAGTGATACGCGTCCAACACGCCTGCAACACGTCTAGTGTTAGCGTCCAACACGTCTAGCGTTAGCGTTCAGCAGGTCTAGCGTTATCGTTCAACACGTCTAGTGATGATGGGGGCGAAGTTGGTGGGTCCGTAGAGCTGAACACGACTCAGACACGAGTGATACGCGTCCAACACGCCTGCAACACGTCTAGTATTAGCGTCTAACACGTCTAGCGTTAGCGTTCAGCAGGTCTAGCGTTAGCGTCCAACACGTCTAGCGTTAGCATCCAACACGTCTAGCGTTAGCATCCAACACGTCTAGCGTCAGCATCCAACACGTCTAGCGTTAGCATCCAACACGTCTAGCGTTAGCATCCAACACGTCTACAACACGTCTAGCATCCAACACGTCTAGCGTCAGCATCCAACACGTCTAGCGTTAGCATCCAACACGTCTAGCGTTAGCATCCAACACGCCTGCAACACGTCTAGCGTTAGCGTACAATTAAACCTTACGCCCGTACACCATTGAGCCTTACGCCCAAACACTATTAAGCCTTAGGCACTACACTATTGAGCCTTAAGCCCAAACACTATTGAGTCTTATGCCCAAACACTATTAAGCTTTAGGCCCAAACATTATTAAGCCTTAGGCTCAAACACGCCTAAGCTTTAGGCCCGAACACTATCGAGCCTTAAGCCCAAAAACTATAAAATCTTACGCCCAGGAACTATCAAGCATAGTTCCTGGGACTTACATAGACTTACACACTCTCAATCATTTTCACTGCGGTCAGATACAGCCCACCTCTGACGCGGTAGCAGTACGGGTTGGTGGCGTCGCCGTTGACGAAGAACAGGTGTGTCACGGTGCTGAAGTCAGGCGGTACCCGCGCCCCGAAGCCCAGAACAGGGAAGTATTTATCAGAGTCGTAGTCCTCGATGATCTCGCCCACGGCCTGAATGGCGCGCTGGTATTGGTTCTGCTTGCCAGAGTTGGTCACGTCGATGTGGTGCAGCGAGTCGGGCGACTGGGGGTTGCCGTTCGAGGCTGTGATATGACAATTCTATATAATATACTGGCGTCGGCCGTGGCATTAGCAAGCAAATTAATTGGTTATGATTGTTGAACATAATCATAATGTGAAGGTGTCATCAACACTTTGACTACGATTGCTTCATCTTGTACTATTATTTCATTTTTTGTACTGTTTTTAAACAGGGTTGCCAGACGGTCATTTTTTCTGGACAAATTCCGTGATTTAGTTTTTCTCAATTGCGTTGGCCAGCTAAAATTTATGATAGGGGTACTTCTTAATTAAATTTTTAATACTGCAAAAAAGAAAATAAATGGAATTTTAATAGCGGAACCTACAAACAAATTAGTATATATTGAGTTATCGGCCTTTTTTGTTCTCGGATTTGGCCGATTTGAGGCAACCTGAATTATTTACCACTACGCCCTGGAGAAATAAATTTCGTGGTACGCATATGTACCACTTCGTAGTCAACGTGTTAATAATGTAATTAATTGATTGTAAATGACAAAATATAAGTTCAGTCAAATTAAATATATGAGTTCGGGACTACTTACTGGTGATAAATTAATCATCCTTTTTCTACATACGGTATCTCTCGATCCCAGCTTTACGTGCAACTATCACTGATGGTGGCTATAGTTCTCGTACACAAACATATGAATATCATACCTTACAATCATAGGACTTCAGCACAGAGATTCCACTCGACACGGAAACGTTCAGGGTGCACAGCACTCACCTGTGAAGTCTATGGCGATGAAGGCATTCAGGTGCACAGCAGCACTGCACTCACCCGAGATGTCTTTGGCGATGAAGGCATTCAGGTGCACAGCAGCACTGCACTCACTTGTGATGTCTTTGGTGATGAAGGCATTCAGGTGCACAGCAGCACTGCACTCACTCGTGATGTCTTTGGCAATGAAGGCATTCAGGTGCACAGCAGCAATCTACTCACCTGTGAAGTCTATGGCGATGAAGGCATTCAGGTGCACAGCAGAGCAGCACTAAACTCACCTGTGAAGTCTATGGCGATGAAGGCATTCAGGTCGGTGCCGCCCTTCAGGTAATCAATGAAGCTGAAAACCTCCTGCACGTGAGCCATGGACACGTGAACTTCTCCGCCGGGCTTGTAGCTGCTGCCTTTACGCTTCTGTAAAACAAATTATTGCTATTATTAAACGATTTCAGTGAGTCAAAATATATTTGAAAGAAAATCACAAAAAAAGGTTGAATAAAATTAGGACGAAAATTGAAAGATTATTTTCATAAGAACTTATTATCATAAGTGGCAGTATTTTCTGCAATAGGTTATAAAAAAAAGAATGAGCCTGTAACAACTATTCTGTATAAGAAATATGAGCAATAATGAACCCAATGATGACTAGACATATACATCATTGAGCAGTAGATACATAATGAATAACGAACGTTCAGGTAACGTAAATAATCAATTCTGGCAGGTCTGCACTGAATGCGATAGTTCTGAGAGAATGAAACACACGGAAAAGGCAAACCTTTTTGTCCTCGTCAATAAGCAAGTAGACATTCTGGGGTCCAGGACCCTGGAGCAGTGTCCTGACGTTGGTCATGAAGCTCCCTAGCAGTTTATGGTTCCCAGAGTTGACAAACTCCCTGCAGTTCACTTTGATGGTTCTGTCATAATCGCCACTGCAGAAACTTCGCAGCTGCGCCTTGAAGTCTTTCCACACAGGATTGATGCAGTGGCGAACAGGTTCTGTGCGATGAACTAATGTGAAGGAATTGTCTTCATTGGCCTTGTAAAACTCCAGGAAAGGACTTATCTTACCAAACCAGTGGTTGTTGACCAAGTTTTTACCAATAAATTGTATGGTCATTTCTTCTCTGCAAGCACTCATCTCCTCAGCAACGATGATGATATTGCCACAGCTGACATTGCAGCCTTTGTCCACCAGAGGTTTTTCCACCTTGCCCTCTGAGACGAGGGTTGCCAGAGAACACTCATACTCTCCTAGAAAATCATGATTGTCAAGGTTTGGGTTTCTTGAGTCAATGTCATAGATGCAGAACTTCAGGTGCTGCTGTTCCTCAAAATGATAAGTTATAGGGAGTTTGGTGACAAAGTCAGGGTTGAGTGTGTTGCTGATGCACTCGGTGCGGCGCAGTTCTAGCCACTTATTTGTAGCAAAAGGCTTGTAGTATAAAACTGCAATGGGATCTGACTTTGAGAAAACGTCTGTGTCACGTAGGTTTCTGAAAAACAATGTCAGTAAATAGTGATAATGAGAATTAATAATAGTGATGAAACATTGCTTTTGTTGCATTAGTATGGAAGATATGGTGTATGAGGTTGTGACCAACCTTTGAATTCTAAGGCATAAGTTCCAAAAACATTTACATGTAACAAAAGAATTGCATCTAATTTTCTTGCACACCTACACCTGACAAAATTGTAATGTAGCACGTCAGAAGTTATATACTATCTTAACCATGAAGTAAGCTGTGAAACATTCATTTTAAAATAAAGATCACTTCATTGTTTCATGATGAAGGTGATTGTCATGTATGAATTATTTTTCAATTCCCAAAATATATTTCATGTCATTTGAAAGCACCAACAAAACATAATAGAGCAACTTACCTACAAGAGATGGTGAGCTCTATAAGAGATGTAGGGTTGATGGCAGTTCCTCCAGCCATGACGTGCAGAAACAAAATTAAAAATATCCTATAGAAAAGTAAAAGAATTTGACTCAATAAATGAGCTCACAATAAAAGGAGTTACACTATTGGTCTGGGTACCGGTACTCTAACTCAGGTTGCCTCTGGATATTTACTCACTACAAATTAAATATTCTGACTACCTGAGAGGAAGAACATTACAATCATAGGAAAAGACTATCATAAATGTAGGTTGACTAATAATATTTAGCCAAAAAATTATCAATGCTTAATTTTTAAAATTAAATTTAAATTCTTAAATGAGGATCTAGTGCATTCTTTTTGTCTCAGTTCAATAAACTGCAAATAAAATAGAATTATTTTTAAGGTCAAATGAAATAAAACAGGAAAATAGGAGGTTTTACATTTAACGCTAATGCATTACCAATTTATCCCACAAGTCTTCAGAGATTGACTCAATGGTTGCTGCTTGCTGGCAAAACTGGCAAAAAAATGTTAGACATATTAATATGCCCGTTCAGACTCTGCCACATGCCTAAATATTACATTTGAACTGTGCCGTGCATTGCAAATCACAACCAGAAAAATATCTGTACAAAGCATAAAGCAGCAAGCAAGGAGTAGCAACCTAGTACATTTCTCAGAATCTCAGGGAAGTAAAATTTCTAGATATGATCCTTAGGGACATCAGGGACAGGATTGAAATTTCCGTAACTTAATATGAAAATCTTGCAGCCCTCAAAGTAATACATTTTCAATGTTCCCTTGAAAATTGAAATCTCACTGTCTCACATAGACATAGCCAATCAATTGTGCATTTTTATAGAAAATTAGATAGGAACTTAGGATTAGGAAGTAATTCATCTAGCAGGAATCTTAATAAGCAAAAGCATCATAAGCATGCTCAAAATCAGAAAAAAATTCAAGGCATACCTGGGAGGGTTGACTGGCGTCAAGGGCCCAAGGGCCAGGGGTAGGTCAGTAAGAGACAGTTAGAGAGTAGAGAGTAGAGACTAAGAGTAAGGCTGCAAAGCTAAGGTGACTAATTGATTAGTATAAGTCTAAAGTCATGTCTGTGGTCTGTACTCTGTAGTGTAGAGTGTGAACAAAATTTATTCATTTATAACATAAGTTTGAAGATCATTAGACTTCAATTATTAATGACTTACTGTTTGACCTCCCCTCAGGCTCTCAACTCTCAGTAAGTCAGTTTAATAATTTTTGACCATGACAATGACATCAATCACAACACATCATACCTGGACATACCATAGTACTGAGTACCTACTCTGTAGTCTGTACTGACAAAGTGACAACTGATGGTATGGATAATGTGGACGACATTGGACGTTCATATCACACTAGCATACATTCCTGACAACTGACATCGATTTATTATTTATGGAAATAATAATTAAGAATTTCAAACTCAAAGTTAGTATTCACTTAGACTTAGGTAGGTATTCGACTCGATTTACATATACAGTACTGTGTAGTGTGTACACGACCACTAAAAAATAATACGAACGAATACGTTGTCAAAGCGGATTTACCTTCGTTGAAGCTTTCGTCTTATCAAACTATTTTTACCAGATAGATGCCATGCGCCAACGGCTGCCGTCCCAACACTCACAGACCGAGTTGCACTTATTCAATATTTAGATAAGCTAGCCTCTCTTGCGTCACGGCAACTGCGGAAATTTTTGAGCTTCCAAGAATTCGTTCTATACCTGCGTCATGGAAGAATAAGTTTGGATTTGCATTTCCAAAGTAAAGGACCTACGTTTAGAGAAGTGATTGCAAAATTTTTGTTTGATGCAAAATATACTAAATTATGTTTGATGCACGGTATTTGTATATAAGCCAGCCATACTCACGCAGACCTAACACAGTACGTAGACGCATGTTTTAACTATATACATATACCGAGCTCGGTTACCAATATAAATCAGATCAAGTGTGAGATGTGTATAATATCATTCACATTTAGTCCTTTGTAGATATAAGATGTAATATATCTCGAATTTTGATAAAATTTTAATCTTAAACCTATTATTGTTTAATAGGGGTGAATTTCAATGAATAGAGACAGATAGTAATTACATAGTAGCGAAAGACTATTCAACATGGAAGTAGTCTATCGCTCACGAGACTTTTACATTCTATATGACTAAGCACGATGCATTTTCCGGCTTTGAAGTTATTTTCGGCAGTGAGCGCTTAGTACATTGATCGCTTCTCACCAGAATCACGCTGAATTCATTTGAAGGGGAACGTCCGGGAAGGACGGTAAAGTACGGCATGACCACTGCTTTGCCGTTCTTCATTGCACTTTTAATTGACATAGTATTTCATTTCTAAAATTTAGTTTGTTTGATGAAATTGCTACGAAAAATGTGCAGTATGTTGATTTTAACTCTTAGCCAGCATAAAAAGTTCTAAAGTCATTTTAGTCAAACGTCGCAACTGTTGCTAGAATGCTAGGAATCTGAACAAGTCAAAGTGCGTTCTTTATACAATTATAAATGCGTGTTGTTGATATAGATCACGATCAGTGATTGTATAGTAGACCAGTCGAAAATAATATGGAATAAACTTATTCTAGATTTTATTGAAATTAATTACCTCCTCTTGTATCTTATGAGATAAATTTATTGAATATATGCTGGATAAAATTACTAATATTTAATTAAAATGTTCATCGGCAGTATCGTGCCTCACTGAAAAAATCTATATAAGAAAGTTAATTTAACCCTTTAGTGCATTTAAGAAGTCCAAAATAATCTGGAACAGAATTTTGCATCGAAATACTCAAGTTAACGACAATTACCCGAGGTCATCACCACAACGCTCATCAACACGTTGTCGACCTCTCATTACATCAGAACAATAATTTCTGTGAACATAGTCGAACGATAATTTTCTAGTAAAACTTAATTAAATAACTTCGCATTATTTACGTGATTATAGAATATCTCACGCAGAAAAATTGTTCAGAATTATTATTCTATTTTTATTGACAATCGACGAAGCCTACTAAATGTCAGTTGATGTATCGTATCATTGACGATAGTGCTATTTAATACACATATTTATATTATTTAATACACAATGATCTTCAATCACAATAAATTATTTAGACCTGAGCTTGTGTTTAGCTTCAAAATGCATGTCATGATGTCTCACGGATTTGTCTGTTGGTGCGTTGCTATGAAGTTACTGACCCTGACATTGTTCCAGGCAACAACTGAGAAATTAACGGAAATTCCAAGTTCATCGCGTGCGCCATGATCCCTGGAAATGCCACACTCAGTTGCACGACTGGCACCCCAATCGATGATAAGAGTCCGAGAAACTTGACTCTGAATTGAAAATGAGGCTCTGAAAAACTTGATTCTGAAATACTTATTGTTATTACAAAATAAATGCAATAAAAAACTTGTAATATGAGATTAGAATTCACTTCAGCTCCACCAAATGCTATGGTTCCTTAAAAACTTTAAAATCGTTTCGCAAAATTTGGATTAAGGTCACGTAACACTTGAACACTTCTATAACAACCGATGTGCTACCAATGAACCAATCTCTACCATGCTAGGAGAGCATCGGTAACTACAGAGCATGCTTTCCATTGCATGTCAGTGACCCGCCTCGGAGCGAGGAAAAGCACTAAACAAAAGATCAAGATCGCTATAAATAATGCCTTCTTAGAGGATAAGGCATAATAACCGCCATCAAAAGACATCATAAGACTAAAAAACAATTCATTTCATTTTTAGCTTGACGGACTTATCCTCTGTAATAAATAAATAAAAATTAGTTGCTGCTTCCACTGTTAGGAAAAATAATAAATACAACGGAACTAAGCTGCCAAGCGGCCAAGCGCGTAGTGCATAGCCATTTGTTTTCAGTTCGTCTCTGAGGCTCCCAATTCTCTCGAGAGATGTGCAGTATCCAAGCAGGGACGAGTGTGAGTGGACGTAACTGCTTCCGACTGGCGTATTGCCCAGTGAACGCTCGAAGGCACGTTCCTCATAGTCATGGTCAAGACGCGCCGAGCTCTCAGTGTCTCACCACATCAGCTTAGAATGTTATCTTAGTTATATAATATACTTGAGTTTAGTCGTGTGCGAGATCTTTTAAGAAAAGTTGCTGTTGCCGAGCGACCTCGCACAAGCCACGAAAGGCATAGATTCTACGACAAGCCAAAAACACTCCAGCACAAAATGCTAGGTAGTTGAAGTTAGGTTAGCACAGTTAAAAGATTGTTTAGTCACAAAATTGTTTGGAACTAAACAATTATTTAGTGGCAGCATCACACGGGCACAAATATATTAGCATTGTGTCGAATTAGGCGTTTCTTCCTAGTTCCTGCTTCTCTAGCTAAATAAAGTGAATCTTGTTCATAGCCGTTCGTGCTCACTGCTTACTTGGTGGATTTTAAATTCACTGTGCCTCTCAACGAGTATCTTTCGTTCGCTATACGGAAGCTATAATGATAATTTTTACTATCAAACAGAAGTACAACAGACAAACTTAATAGAAATTTTCTTCTATATTATGGTACTGTAACTTTGTGCAACTCTGAATGTATTATCATAGCAACTCTGAATATAATAATGCAAACAAAAACTCGGTCATACAGATTCTGTTGCGGCAACTACATGCCAAAGCACTAAAAGCAGATGAGGTATCATCTGGTGCCTTGACTAGTGATAAGCACACCCGGTACAACCTAGATTAATATATGCGCAGCATTCAAGACTAATATATGCGCTACATACATTTCTTGTATATCCCTGTTTATATCTATTTTCAATTTTTGTTGCATTTAATGTGTGTTGCTTTCAAGTTTCAGATCTCACTAAGTTTACTCATAAGGTGGCAACTGTTTATCGTTAAAATTATTGACTAAGTAAATGTGTTATCGATATGTATGCGGCCAAAATTGTATTGTGAAACTTGAGCATCAGTGACCGTTTTTCGTGCGCTGTAGCTCGTCATTGTGACGTATACCTGGTCGTATGAGTAATTTTGACTGAAGTAACAGTATTAAATTCATAGCTATTGATGCTATTTTGCGGCTGCCTTGCAGTCGTAAAAACTATAAGTTGTTAAGTATTACGAATGCACGTAATTAATTGAAAACTTTCATTATTTTGAGATTCAAACACGGGTTCGAAAAGCAAGAACTCTAGCAACATGGGCCCGAAAGGGAACGAGGTGAGTTTAATTTTGTTCTAATGCTGTCATACATTCGTACTGTGATTGTAAGAGTAGTGGATTAAGTGTTTATTGTATAGAGAAAGAAATGATGTGGGATGACTAAGTAAAAAAATTTGAATTTTGTATGAGAATATTACATAAAGAGGATCATATTCTTACATATTAAGTCGCCGATGGGAGTCAACGTCGTTGTTTTGCTTTTGGCCACTCTCCATTGTTTCGTTAAAGATATTCAAGAGCATCCCTTACTGTTGTGGTTATGCGTGATGCATACTTCATATTTGAATTTTTTTTATGGTCATGCATGCTAAATATATTTATTTTTCCAGGCAAAAATGCTGATGATACCCTTATTAAAAATGTTTACGTTAGATGAGTACCGTAAGTTTGTAACTCCTCGCGTTTTCGATTGAATTTGCATTGAAAATAATATTTGAGGGTTTTATACAGTCTGTGCAGACTTGCTTGAATTTTTAGAGGGTTTTAAGACTGTGGATACACGTATATTCAAGCAAAAGTTGTCTCACTAATCATGTCAAACGGCTTCATCAAGAATAATAACACCGAATTGAACTCAACGAAAACGAGGCGAAGCTTGTTAAGGTTATTAATCACTGATAGAATATATTCCTGAAAGCCATAGGCGCTTTATCTTTGGCACTATAAATATAGTTGCCACTTGTCGAATCTGTTATGCGAGATTCATCCCTAATAAGTTTCTCTTATGCCAACGAAGTTTTCTGGCATGAAGAATGAACTTCAACACCGGGTTATTAACTAAAATGATGAATTCACGTGGCGTTTTCCGTATTTTTAAAATAATTGTTGGTGAACTTGTGAAAAATTACCTCAGGGAGACTAATGATCTAAGTATTGTACAAGGCCAAAATAGCGTATATTAAACATTTATTTATTTATGTCACGGTCCGCGTGACTGTTCCCTAGGAGCTGTCTTGTGAGGCCTTCAGGTGTCGGTGAGTCGAGAGCGTCTTCCATATGATAGCTGTTATCTCTGCCTCTCGTGGCTGCTACGATCTCCAACAAAAAAACGTTCTTTGGATACACAAAAACTTCTCTATACTTAGAAATTCATTGCATTAAACTTCTTGTAGGAAATAGAGACATTTAATTTTGAAGAAATAGTTCGAATTTAATGCTCGAGTGGTAAAAAAATTCCACTTTACTCTGCCAATCTTTATTTGCGATGTATATTAAATCTATAATATAGATTGTCTAACGTTATGGCATTTATGTGAGTTTACATTGTTGAAATTTATATTCGTTTGTTTTACGTTGGAACTGACTTGAGCGGAACTAATTCTCGTTTTAATGCACTAATTAGGTATATCAAAGCCATTTCTCTATGAAACTTAATACATGTCATAACCTACATCATGCATGACAGAAATGACTACATATAAATTTCGGGAAATTTTTTTTTCTTTTACAGTACTTAAGTTTATTTATTAGAATTTATTCGCTTGTATAAAGTAGTTAGTGCTGTATTTTCTCATATAACATTTACACCAATTACATCACAGTTTTTGAGTAATTTCGAATTCGATATTGTATTATATCTTAAGGCTTTACCATATCCCTGAACTTGGAAGTAGCAGCATTATCTTTAATTCAGGTCTGCCCAGGAACTCGTTAGCATTTAGTCGGGGGTGCTTGACGCTTAAGAAGTTAATTAAGATGCCACGATGCATTCGTGTTTGAAAGTGAACCTAATCCTTGACACCCTTGCACTTGCATGCACCAGACAGCGCTTACACCCAGAGAAATGAGGGAAACTTTGTCCAAATAGCGATGCAATTGATGCTCTATGTGGGTCATCCTGATCCAGTTTGGCCCGGCCGAAAAGAGTCGCTTTATCTTTATATTCATTTCAACGTCCTCTCTCTGCTCGGGTTGTGCGTAAAAAAGTGTGTCACTATTTAGAGAACATGACCCATTGATTTTTCTGAGTGTGTTTTCGGCGAATGAGCTGGCTACCTTTAATATTGCAACTCGGGAGCCACAGTAACTGATAAATTTAATCTTAAATACAAGTCACTGGTAATAAATAGGTGCATATATATATAGCTACAAGGGATCGCTAAGCATGGTATCATTGCAACAAAAATTACTGCCAGAAATTTAAAGTTACTTACATCTCTTTCAGCCGTTTTCAACAGTCGCTTGAATTGCTAGCTGACAAAATCTTTTTATTTGAAAATCCATGTAACTGAGATACCATAGATATTTCGTAGACATGTGCTAACCCACCAAGACAAATCCTTCCTTTCTCAATCTTAGAACAATCATACATTAAAGCTTTTGATTGTTTTATAGCCTAAGATATGACATGCATTCCGGGATATCAAGAGATTGACGTTGGACGTCTCCGATAGTTGGCCATAAAACTCGCTTGCTTAGCTTATCGTGCAGAAGTGAGAGGGAAAAATCATATAATAAATATATTCCTGAGTTATTAGTGCCAATGCTTTGTAGTTAAATTAGTAAACTCATACAGATTCATTGCATGGGGCGAATGGTCTCTATTAACGAACTCCCTAATTATATTATGGCAACAATTAAACTCCCATTAGATGATATTATTTAATGTACGCAATTAGCATTTAAGAGGAAATAACATTTGACTCTGGTAATTTCTCAGGCCATCACTTCTTTCCTTGGTCAAAATGGATTCATTTATCTCAAGAAAAACTGGAACGCGCGCGCGCCAACTTAATGGATTTCTCACTTATTTTAATAAAAATAAAAATTTGTTTGTTTGTTTTCTAAGATTATGCACACATATTGATTTAATTTAATATTAGGATGCTTCAGAGAATTTTGATTATCACCTGGTGAAAACAACTTGATCGACACCCTGCCGCGATACTGCATTATGATAGGGCCCCTGTAACTTGACGGACCTGCAACACTTAAATGATTGATAAAATATCTTCATTAAGTAAATAATGATGTTTTAAAAACATTACACGATGTTATTCCTGGGTGACGAGGTAGTCATTTATCTTATCAGTCGCGAAAGATACGTGGGCAAGGAGGGGAGCAGGCTTAGCTACCCGTCCATTAGTAGTCTAGCGTGGGAGTGCTCTTGTAGGATCTTTTCGCTTACTTGCTTCAACTTACGCTTAAACATCTTGGAAAATTACTGTTCGCATGGCAGGAAGAATAGACAAATTATAAAGTTATGTCTTAACTTCTTTTCAAGTTACTTTTGCATTAAATTGAAAGGAAAACATATTAGTTAAATGATTAAAGAGATCCTAATTTATCAATGGCAAGTTTGTTTTTAGCACATTCCAGAGCAATGTGATAAAATACGTTTTATCCTCTATCTCGCTCCATCCCTTAAATTCCTTTAAAATCTACTTAACCTCCATCATTTTAATGCTTTTCTTTCATCACACATTTGAAGTTGTACTAAATGTACTAAGACTTCTGGACCTAAGAATAAGTATTCATTACGTTGTTTACGAGGCCGTTGAATTGACTCTACCTGTGCACCTGATAATTAATCAATGTGCAGCTGAAAAACTAATTTATGACGACGTAAGGGTGCGTCAGTTTGCACACTTTCGAGGATTGTTACCGACCTTGAAAATTCAGCGTTATGCTACGGTTGAGAATGTCATACGTTTGGTGTTTAGCAGAGGTTAATTGAATTTGAAAAAGCGCGTAATTTATTTTGCGTGGTCTAGAGCTGAAAAACAAGAATTTTTTTCCAATGCGCAGATAGCCGTCGTGATTTTTATCTACTAATGCGCCGACATTCCATGGCAATATGCGCACAACAAGGTTAACATGTGCCCATCTTTCACAATTTGGTGGCAATCTAATTGGTCATTAGATTGGGCGTAATTATCCAGAACAATAAAAATATGTTCTTTCAATAAACTAAACCATCAAAGAATTTTTAGGAAATTTTAAATAATGTCCAGTGCAACACCTAACCATAAATTTAACATAATGTTTAAATTGACGATATTGAAATCAAGATTTTATGACTGAGCTCGCGCATGATTGAGGGACTTACGACAATTTGAATGTGTCTGGTATTGCAGCAATGTTATTCTAGCATTTTTAAATTAATGTTGATCAAATTTGCTGCAGTCAGACGTAGAATACGAGAGTTACTATAGCCTTTGCTGCGGCCCTATCACAGTCACATACAAAAATGTGATGATCACTCTATTACCGAATTTAAATAGTATTGTAACTCAATGGATTGTGTACCATGCTCCGTAGTACATTGTACGCACTTAATGTGAATAAAATCTGTTACCAGAGGTTTTTCTTACATGAAAACAATGTATGTTTATTTTGAGAGAAAGTAGAAATTGATTTAAAATGTCATCCAAATGTAGCTCAGAAGACGAGTCAGTTCATTCTCTTGATTTAACTAAAACTGAAAAAGAAGAAGTAGCTGAAACAAATGGCACATCAGAATTGGTACCACCAACGCCTTCGAAAAAGTCTCCCAATTCTGATTTGGGAAACAAGGAAAATGTTGATTATGTCAAAGACCGGCCTGCTAATACCCAGTTAGGATGTAGCGAAACTGAACTCGACAATGGGAAAAAGCAATGTGTTCAGACCGATGACCTCTGCGGTGTCAACAACGATACCGAAGCAGATAACTCACGGCAGGTACGTGCAAGCATCATTTTATACGTTCATGATTGCGATTCGTTTCTATGTGCCTGAAATTTGTTGGAATACGCGTGGCCGCTGCCATATATCATAGGATACCTTGGTACTAACTGTCGTTTAAACTCATTTTTTCAAGATAAAATAGATGGAAAGTCCACTATTAATATTAAAATTAATATCAATAAAAATAACCACGAATATATCTATCAGAATATCAGACCACTCGGCGGCTTGCGATCTCCAATAAAAGCAAAATTCTTGATCATGACTTACACTTCAATCCTATCTGGAGTTATACCGATGGTTGGTAAGTCTGTTCATTGTTGAACGGTTGAATTCAACATGAATTCATTAAAAATGAATGAATTCAATTCTTTCAACATCAATGAATTCAATTCATTAAACATGAATTCATGGTTGTCCATGGTTGAACAACCTTATATAGTTCAACCATGGGTCTGTCCCATTGGTTAAGCCACGTCGCTCCCAGGGCGGCGGGTGCAGGGATGGTTTATTTTTCTGGTGAATATGAAGCTGGTCCAACTGTCGGTTGTTGATGCTGTTGTTGGAAAGTTGTTGTTGTTGTTGATTCAGTTCTTCGTTACTGAAGTGTTCCCTTGAAATTCAAGAATTCGCTCGTGGGAGTATCACGTAAATATCGAGTCTCCACATTCAAGTCCCGATTGCTGTCCATCTTTAGGTTCGAAATTCTGGTCTTTTTGTTGTAAAATAATTATAAAAAGACACAAAGAGATGATAACAATTAGGTCTAATATGGGTGGTTTCGATCGTAATGGTTACTAAGATTATTTGGGCTTGCATTGACGTTGATATTTTGAAAGATTTCTTTTTTCGAACACATCTACCTTTAATTAATTATTCATCTTAGAGTTAACCCATCAAAAATGATTTAAATGATTTTATGATGTTTAATAATTCTAAAATTCGAGAATAGACATTGATTATTCGCGTGATCAATAACGGAAAAGATGTTGCTAATTGAGTAGGGACTTTCTGGACTGCAATTTTGTTGCAAATTCAAAACCAGTATTCAATTCCGTGAAGTTATATTTTTACTCCGAATCAGTTTACTACTTCGCTTAATTTTGCATCACAAGGAACTAAAATTTCCTAATTGTGAAGTTTTCATGACATAATATCAAATGACAAATCATTGTACGAGCCTTGCAAAAGTCCAGCAGCGATCTCAGTCAATCGTCAGTTATGGAATTATCGGGCTCATATAAGGCCGGATCCTTTGCGGAATCAAGGCACGAAAAGTACAAAAATCGGCAACAGGCCATGGGCCTATTTCTTTAGTCCCGACACTTCTATTCTATTCTATTTATCACTGTGCCTGGCACTGCAGACCTATATCAACCCATTTCTTCATAAATGAAGATAAAAATAGTTGAACAACATTAAAACGTTGTTTGAGCAATATTTGAACTTTGTTAAATGCATTAGCTTTATAAAGATTGATAAGAATCTCCACAGTCTGGCTAAACACTCGTATCAACGAGACGTCTAGAGGAGGTTATATATAGCTGTGAACTTGTTGCATCGTCTGGCTTTCGCTATCAATTACGTGATTAAGCTTTGCAAACAATGTTAACAACAATGCAAGCGTAAACTAGTCGTAATTTTTGTTGTGTATGTGTTTTGTCATAAAAATCATCAATTGTTTGGCACAAAATTTAATCCTCTTTGAAAGAGATATGGATAATCCCGAATCAGGTGTAATCTTATATGCTATAGGGGCATATACTTATATTTGAGTAGAATTATTCATTGACTTGTACTTGTATTTGCTAAGTGGTAATAGACCCATATTAGGGAGCATAGCTTCCTAAAATGTTCATAAGCCGCGGGTTATAATTTGATGTTTTTTAAAGTGATAATTAAATAATAAATACAAAATGATATCTTAAATAAAAATATATTGTGCATTAAAATATTTTTCAAAATTCCAATACAATGTGGCCTAAATATAGGTTTAAATAAATAATCATACAACCAGTCATTATCAACTTGAATATGATCGCAAATCTTAGGTGTTTAAAACCCTAAATCTAATAAAATCTCCTCTCCTGAAAACCCAGTGATGCTCTTGTATTTGCCTCATTCTAATAATGGTGCATAACCCCAACATTAACCCTATGTTTGTGGATTTATAAACAGGCGCCAATGTTCTTCGTACTTGGTAACTCGTGTCATCGTTGGTATAGACGTAAGGTTAACCCTTAGCCTACAGCAGATGAATTAGCCGACGCCGTTAGGCCTGGTGACCAGAGTAACCGTAAATAAACGAAAGATTAACCCTAATAGCCTACTGTTAGCGCCGTTACAGTCAATAAACAAAAATCCATTCGTCACAATCTATAATTAATCGCACGCGGAGAAGCAAGTCGCCCCCCTTCTTCCCGCAGTGTCAGCTGATCGAATCTTGGCACGTGCTCCGCTCAGTCGACCCCGTGTGTAAGTACTCTGCATGTGTTCAGCGCTTTACGATACGGATGCCCATGGCAACATAACCATGAAGGAGACGTTGGCAAAACTGACAGAGCCTAATAAATAAACTAGGAGTAAGTAAATTGAAAATTATGAAGGATTCAAGTAGTTTGGATGAACTGAATGAGGTCGATGGTGAAGGTGCGCAACATCAGAATGACTTCACCACATCGACTATATACGACTAACAATTAAGGCAGGAAACTCAACCTCCAACGGCGCTGGTGCAATCGAATGTTTTTCATACACGAGAACAAAAATTATGCTAATAAGAAGCCATTGGCATGAAAATTGTACCAAGAAAAACTGAAGATCTCATTTAAGTCAAAGTTTCTTGGAAAAAGATTTTCATTGCGTTTGCATGAGTCGTTTTCTTCAGGATTTCAAATAGTCTCAGAAAATATTGTACTGCTCGCGAGGTGGCTCGAGGTGGCTCTCATCAGTGGACTGTATGTTCGAGAGCCGAATAATAATCCGGGACAGTGAAATAATAACAATAATGTTGTGCTGCTAAAGTCTGTATGACGCCATCTTTGAGTGCATGCAGCCTCTGACTGTAAAGGCAACCCGACGCCGCACTCTGTTTTATTTCGAAACTTGTAGGGGGATTTATTTTAATTTAATTAACACCAGTATATAGATCCCGAACGAGAGTTTTTATTGCTACCAGCATGTTAATACCTTAACGGATTATTTATGAATTCGCATTGAAATGACATTGGTTTCTTATAAGTAGTTAACCGAGATCTATTTTGAATGTTCATCGATATAATCAACTGCCTCCTTGAAAAAATTCCTAGAGACACACTGTATGTAACCTGAACGCTCCCCTATTTTGAGAGACTAACATTATTCCTATGCTGTGGATATTGACTTCCACACCTTCCCTTTAAAATAAATTTATGTAACTTCTCATGGGTTAATTAGCTGACTGCTCATTGGTTGCGGAAACGAACGAAAAATTCAAGGTCGTACCGTGCAAAAATTACTCAAGTTTTCTATTTCTATTATTTGAAAATTGAAAATAAGCAAACTGTTTCTGCTTCTACGTATCAATATATATACTTTTTATATTTTTGGGCCTTAGTTGTTAAATGCTGTGTTTTCTGGGATCTTTTGAAAATAATTTTATCCATCTCAGTTCATCTTCAATTTATCCTGATTCTGTGATTCATTTATTTTATAAACACTGCGTTACCTGTTAAAAACAGCTTTCCCGCACTCACCAAGAATACGCAATGCGCGCAGATGCAATAATAATGAATTCTTGACGACTTTAACTTTACTGGACTTTGAACTTGCCATCCGTTGTTAAGGGATAACTTCCACATTTTCCGGCTGCAATCATACAGTTTTTAATAGAATGCACGACGATTCATCTGCAAAGCTTAAAATCTCCTTTCCTCGAACTCTGTTTATCCAGCTTTTGTTTTCCGGGTGCGGATTTTGATAACGAAAAAAGAAAAGCGCCGTTTTAATAACAAAGATGGTATGAGGCGATCATTTGGTGCATTAGCCTAGCTGCATAGAAGGCGGAACACTAACTGTGTGTTTAGCACAGCAGCTGTAGCAGCATAACATATTTTGCTCGACCTCGTCGATGCCTGTGTTCTCAGGGTATTATATAATACCCTGATGGTATAAGGCGTTCATTTGGTACGTTAGCTTAGCTGCATAGAAGGAGGAATACTTACTGTGTGTTTAGCACATCATCTGTAGCAGCATAACATCCTCCTTTGCTCGACCTCGTCGATGCCTGAGTTTTCAGGGTATTATATAACCTGATGGTATAAGGCGTTCATTTGGTGCGTTAGCTTCGCTGCATAGAAGGAGGAACACATACTGTGTGTTTAGCACATCATCTGTAGCAGCATAACATCCTCCTTAGCTCGACCTCGTCGATGCCTGAGTTTTCAGGGTCAGCAATGTGTTGCGTCAAAGAAGCTCTCAGAGCAACGCATGCGTATACACTGAGTGTACGTATACGCATATAGTGTATATAGCCGTATTGCTAACATATGCTTTTTGTGTCCGATGGATCTGATGGACCGATGAACACATATGATGGAACCAATGAGTGCAACAATGAACACTTCTGCAAATACATAAAGAGGTTATTTCATAAACATTTTTCGCTGCTGAATTACACATTGTGTTTTAGATTGACTTTAGCCGGAATTTTTTCTATCGACCATTGTACACATATGACATATGATGGCGTCAACAAATGCCACCATGCCCACAACTGCCATAATACTTCAAAGGCTATTCCATAGAGTTTTCGCTACTTTATTTGATGTATGTAATGTTCTAAATTAAATTTTACCCGAACTTATTCGAGTTCTCATTGAAAGCTAGTTTGACGTTAGAAACAACATGCAGTTCAGCTTCCTCCGGGACGGTTGCTCTATTAATATTAACATTAATATAACGTAAACTCTAAGCTCCGAGCAAGTGTTCTGTTAGTTGGTATTTTTGCTACTTTAAATAGCCTCCGTTGGCTGAAGACATTTTCGCAGTTATGCACTCTCCAAATCACACGACTCAAAAAACTTGGATGCAATGTTGAATTTTCAAAAATGGATGCAAGTCTTCGTTCGTATCGGTTTAATTTACTTATAATCATATATTTAACTAGACTTTCTAGCGATTTCGGAAGTTTCCTCCCAGTTTATTGTGGTTACAGTTGCCAAGTGGTTACAGTGATAGTACCAGGATTGCCACAGTAATTTGTGTTTTAAATCCCTGCACCTGTGACAGTTCTGCTCAAAATTGGCGAGATTGTCGAGCGTTTAAGCACAGTGGACAGCCGAGTAGTGAGTTGCGTGTTCGAGATACGCAACAAACTGTGAAAAGTTCCGCGACGTTTAATCGCTAACAGACGTTATGACCTAATATATCCTACGCTCACATCGCTATTTAATGCTATATTTCTCCCTTGCAGAGGATCTATCCGAACTTGGATCCAATGAAGGGAGGTGATGACAGCTCCTTGAAGGAGATATCATCATCCGTTGAAAGCGTCCCACCGCAGAGATCCTCTCAAATTTTAAGACAAGATTCTGTTGACTCAGATTCAGATCTGCCGAACTCCGGACTCAAGGTCAAAATCGGCGGATCTGATGAAGATCTCGAGGACAGATCTGATCCCAGGGTGAATAATTTTTAGTTTGGATTTATTTGTATACACTAATTTTTTAATTTTTTACCAAGCTTAATATAAAAAAAATTCATTTTTTAACCAGTAGGAAGCATTTTGTAATTAATTTGAAGAAAATTTAGTTACCTCATCTCATGCGATGTAGCACTATAACTGTTAAGTTCCTGGTTTTAAAGTGCCAAGTTTGAGTCAAATAAAAGTGGTTTCAAGTCGCTAATTTAGAGCTTAAATACATTTAGTTAATAATACAAAGGTTTTGGATGCAGGTGGAGGTGTTACCCCCAGACGGAGGCTGGGGCTGGGTGGTGGTGGCTGCATCATTCATGTGCAACGTCATGGTGGACGGCATCATCTTCACCACCGGGATGCTCCTGCCCTTCATCATGGTGGAGTTCGAGGCGTCGTACGCTCAAGTGTCGTGGGTCTCATCGCTGCTCGGAGGCTTCTACCTCCTGGCTGGTGAGGGAGGGAACCGGGACCATATTCCCAGTGAAAATATTCTAGTGGGAACTTTATTTTTAACAGTTATTTCCCGGGGAACCTGGGGAATAGCAATAGCATTTTTTTCTAGCAACTAATTCTTAATAAAATATGATTCCCCCAGGTTCCCCTGGAAATACCGGTAACTGTTAGAAATAACTTAATAAGGTTCCCACTAGAATATTTTCACTGGGAACCTTATTTTTACCAGTTATTTCCTATCAAAACTAGCACAAGTATGCAAGCTTTGCTGCTGGCTCAGTGTACGTAGCGGCCTAAGTACACCTAACGGTCTTAGCGCACGTAGCGGCCTAAGTACCCTATAGCGGCTTTAGCTCACGTAGCGTCCGTAAGTGTACTCAGCGGCCTAAGTACATGTAGCGGCCTAAGTACTCGTAGCGGCCTAAGTTGATGGAACGGCCCGTGGCAAATGCAATTGCTTTTTAATGACTTCTTTCGCTCATACAATTGCTTGAATGGAATGCAACATATTTTACTATTTGTCCTCAAAAGAATTAACCGTTGTCAGTACTATTCGTTCCAATACTCTTCGTATCATTAATATTTATAATGTATTGATTACCAGACATTGGCTAACCCTGTGGCTCGGAAGCCAAAGGGCTTAGCAATCCACTTTGTGCTTTTCCAGCGAAATTAAACAACGAGAAATAAACAGTAAATGTCGCTAGATGAATTTTGCCCCCATTCATGTTCAACGAGATGAGAATATACGCAAACATTAACAGAATAATAAAAGGTTTAATTACTGTATAGCTACACATAACATTATAATAAGAAAATCTGACATTTAGGTTGAAAATACAAAAAAGTACTGTCCACAAAAATATCATGATCTTCATCTCTGTGAAACACATGATGAATTGTAGAAACTGAAACGAATGAAACTGGGTTATTTTGTATGCATAAAACACAACTATTTTAAAGTATTTAATTAGATAAGCTAATTTCTCGCATTATTTTCAGGACCGTTCGTGTCGAGTCTGGCATCAGCATACGGTTTTCGTACCGTATGCATCATCGGTTCTATCGGCGCGTCCGTGGCGTCAGGGATATCGTACTTCGCTAATAGCCTCGCGTTCCTCTACATATCTTATGGCGTCCTCGCAGGTATTTTTGTGCCTTTGAAATACTGCCTTCAGAGAATTGAGTGAGATTTGTACAATGTTATGGCGTCTTCGCAGGTATTTTTGTGCCTTTGAAATATTATCTTTAGAGAAATGAGTGAGATTTGGACAATCTTATCATTCTTATGGCGTCCTCGCAGGTATTTTTGTGCCTTTGAAATACTGCCTTCAGAGAATTGAGTGAGATTTGTACAATGTTATGGCGTCTTCGCAGGTATTTTTGTGCCTTTGAAATATTACCTTCAGAGAAATGAGTGAGATTTGTCCAATCTTATGGCGTCCTCGCAGGTATTTTTGTGCCTTTCAAATATTATCTTCAGAGAAATGAGTGAGATTTGTCCAATCTTATGGCGTCCTCGCAGGTATTTTTGTGCCTTTGAAATATTATCTTCAGAGAAATGAGTGAGATTTGTACAATCTTATGGCGTCTTCGCAGGTATTTTTGTGCCTTTTAAATATTACCTTCAGAGAAATGAGTGAGATTTGTCCGAATAACGATGCACTTATAGCCCTTGTGTGAGTCATCCTTACCTATTTTGGCTCAGCTGAAATTGCGTATCAGTGCTACGTGCAGAAAGTGTGTCACTATTTGGACAATATAACCCATTCATTTTTCTAGGTGTATTAGACAGTTAGATTAAACCGTTGAACAAATAAAAGTTATAATCATTAAAATAAGTTTAACAAAATCATCGCTACCCGAACATAAATTTTGACGTGTCATATAATCGAATGTATGTGGTGGATTGCGGTAGACGAGGCGAGGCTTTCAAAAGTTATCTCACAGCTCAAAAGTATTGCAATAATGCGTCGATAATTATCAATGATTAGAAAAACTAATAACTATTCATAATGGACAATAACCAGAAAATCACTGGTTTCAAATTTGTTGAAAGTTTTAAATTATAACAACTTTAAATAATTTATTTCTACGAGCAACGATGGTCTCAGAATATGAATGCTTGGTTTTCAGGGATCGGTTTTGGCTTCATATACGTGCCGGCGGTGATCGCAACAGGTTTCTACTTCGAGAAAAAACGCGCGCTTGCTACCGGAATCGCCGTGTGCGGTTCAGGCATCGGCACCTTCGTTATCGCACCCGTCAACAAATACCTGCTGGGGAGCGTGGGGTGGAGGGGCGTTCTTCTAGTCAATGCATGTAAGAGGCGTGATCTGTTCACGTGATTAATTGAATCGTTCCGACTAGGGACAAACTTCGTTATTGGAATGTTGATTAATAAATGTTTATTTAAATTAACTGAAATGTAAAAAAGCCTGTGTTCGTTTAAATAAAAAATGTTTGTTTAGATGAACTAAAATGTAAAAAAGCCTGAAGACGCTCTAACTTTTAAGTAGTTTAACTACGCAAGTTGCTGTTTAAACATCTGAGTTAATTGCCATTAGTCAAAATTGATCGATCCATTGATTGGCGACAATGTAATCAATGTTTCGTCTCTAATTGCCTTTGCAATAAGCTCTGCAACTCCTATTAAACATTAACTGATAATGTAACTATGGACAGATTTGGAACTCCCTTGATTCTCTCCATAATTCCATACGTTTTTTCTTCATGTAATCACTCGCGTTTACCACTACATCAGCCTACGCAAATATTAGGACAAAAATGAACCACATTACAAATTATAATTCTAAAAGTTTTTCAAATTTGTGTACGTATGTAATTACATTGAGTGTATGTATGGAATTGCATTGTGTATGTCATTGCATTGAGATGGATTTCTCTCGGTCACAGGCCTGGTCCTGACGTGCATCATCTACAGCCTGGCTTTCCGGCCCCTAAGCGCCGCCACGGGCCGCGTGGTTGCCGTAGACGACGAGTACCCGGGAGCTATTCCTCTCATGGCGAGGTACTGAACACCCTATATTTCTAGGGGTGACTGTGACTAAGTGAACACGTACAAATTAACGTGGGGATAAAGAAACGAGTCATACGGGAATAAAGAGTCTTTATATACTTTATAATAAGTACCCGGGAGCTATTCCTCTCATGGCGAGGTACTGAACAGCGTATATTTCTAGGGGAGACTGTGACTAAGTGAACACGTACAATTAACGTGGGGATAAAGAAATGAGTCATACGGGAATAAAGAATTTTTATATACTCTATAATAAGTACCCGGGAGCTATTCCTCTCATGACGAGGTACTGAACACCCTATATTTCTAGGGGAGACTGTGACTAAGAGAATACGTACAAATTAACGTGGGGATAAAGAAACGAGTAATACGGGAATAAAGAATCTTTATATACTCTATAATAAGTACCCGGGAGCTATTCCTCTCATGACGAGGTACTGAACACCGTACACTTCTAGGGGTGATTGTGACTAAGTGAACACGTACAAATTAACGTGGGGATAAAGCAACGAGTCATACGGGAATAAAGAATCTTTATATACTCTATAATAGGTACCCGGGAGCTATTCCTCTCATGACGAGGTACTGAACACCGTATATTTCTAGGAGTGACTGTGACTAAGTGAACACGTACATATTAACGTGGGCATAAAGAAACGAGTCATACGGGAATAAAAACTTTAAATATACTTCGTAATAAAGACGAGGTACAAGGTATACTTCGAAGTGTGACTAAGTGAATACGCACAACAAATTAACGTGGGAATAAAGAAACGAGTCATACGTGAATTAAAACTTTATATATACTCAATAATAAGGTCGAAGTACAAGGTACACTTCTAGGGGTGGCTGTGACTTAGTGAATAGGAAAATTAAACTGGGGAATAAGAAACGAGTCATACTAGAATAAAGACTTAAAATATACCGTATAATAAGGTCGGAGTACAAGGTATACTTCTAGGGGTGACTAAGTGGATACGTACAAATTAACATGGGAATACACGTACGAGTTACATGAAAATAAAAATTCTATCCGTATGTGCTGGGTGGATGTTTTCTTGTTTTGAAATTAAGACTAGGAGTAACGTTAAGTGTAAACTTTTTGCTCTGAAAGCGCAAAGCAGTAAGAAGTAACTTAATATCGAATATGGATTACCCGGTGGAAGTCTAGTAGCTATTTTAAACTATCGTCAGTCCTGAAAAGATCCGGTCAAAGGACCGGCTTTTGGATATTCTGTGAACAAGTCACGAAAAGCACAAGAATCGGCGACAGGCCACATCAGGCCTACTCTACAGCGCCGACATCACTATGTTATGTTATGTTGAAAATGATATAGAGTGGAAACGAAGGATTCCATCTGGCAATACTTACTCATAAGGCCTCAACCATTTTCCTCTGGATGTATAAGTTATTTTCAATATTATTGATCCCTAATTACAAAATGAAAATTTGAAATTTTTATAGAAAATTAATCAGGGGAATTTAGTTCATTTAGAGATATTTGAAATGTGGGTTTTTCACGGGTAGTATCGTACGTTTGAGTTGTTGCGATCAAATAACATACGTTTGAGATTTTTTGCAATCAAAAGAAAAAAACGGTTTAGATGTTGCGATCAAATGAAAAACGGTTGATACTGGTATGTCGCAATCAAAAGACGTATGTTTGAAAATTTATTTAATTTGACTCCAAAGGATAAGTGATACGAGAGACGGGCAGATGGAGGCATGTTTGTCGACCGTGTCCCTGCCACCTGACCCCAACCACCCTGACGTGGCGGCCGACCGCTTCCACAAGGCAAGGTTCCGCGCTCGAAACTTGCGTGAAATAAACGATTGTTGAGTTTTATGTCTTTCCTATCATTAAAGGTAACGCTATTTAATTTATATTAGAGCTCACCATGTTCTCTTATCCTGAATTATATGAGCACACTAGTTTTTAATCATTTATAAATAAACCAGCACGAATTTTTTACACCCAGGATGAACATTTATAACGACGATTTGAAGCACAAAACGACTAATAGGAATTGATATAAACCCGCCATAGGTAAATGGCACATAACCCGCCTTGCACAAGTTATATATGATGAAAAAATAATATGGTTGAATCTTTTCTGTGCACAGTAATTGTTTGGAACAAGTTTCCTCAGCAAACGCATACTCACGGAAGATTTTTTATTTACGCGTCGCCCACGCCGAAGACGTACGTGGTCATCACAGCTAAGCGCATGTTTTTGCCGATGCACGGTAGTAGCAGTCGTGTAATCTGTAAATGCTGACAGCTCAAAGGTGGTTTCAACGGGCTAAACTAAACCTAAACCATTTACCGAACTACCTTGCTGCTCATAATATATTCTTTTCAATAAACATTCGTTAGATATAAAAAAATTTGGCGGATTGTGGTTATTCATCCGAATAGCTAAATTAGACTTCGATGGGTTAGCTTGGAGTTAACACTCATCCGACGAAGTGAATTTTTGATAGTTTTGATTGAAAAATAAATTTAATGTGTGGAGCAATGTGGTGACGTGATTATATTTTTTAAGTTTCCAGTGTGTGCTTATGGAGCATTAAGATGGGCTTCACCTCTCATAGCTTCGCGACATAATTGTGGGATCTTTTTTTCTTTTTCATTGTTTCAAAATCGAAAAAATTCTAGCTTCATGTATTTTTCTTAAAACGTAGGTAGTCTCTTTTTGTTCTCCTGTGATGATCGACCTATTCTATATGTCAAAAATATTCAACAATTTTTAATGATTTTGAATTCCACTAGAAGTATTATAGATATACACAATGAATATTGTGGAAATGTATTTGAGCATAACAATGAATAACTTTGGTATAGAAATCTTAATTAAACTAGGAAAAAACATTGTTTACAGTTGTACTGATTAATTTTTAGAGGTCCAAGGCTTGAATAAGACACAGATTATTCTTTATATTACTATACTTTAACACGTTGACTGCGAAGTGGTACACATACGTACCACAAAATGTATTTCTCCAAGACGTAGAGGTACATAATTCAGGTTGCCCCGAGTGTCCCGAGTAGCCCCGCTGTGCAGAAATGACTGCCATTTTTTGGGGGATTGAGGTATGCAAATTCTTCAAATAACGTTTTCAAGCTAACCCCTGGGTGCAACTTTTATGCAAGTAAAATTTTTTAATATGGCGAATATTTTTTTTACTACAGACCTTAGCTGAAGTAACTTTTCAAAATAGTGTTTTTCACCATTTTTTTCAGGAATTTTTCAAAGCTAGTAAATGTAGTATTTTTTGACTTCCTTTATAGTTTATACTACATAGATAGGAAAAATAATGATGTTTACACCACTATATTTAGTTTTGCAATATTCCAATTAGTTTAGCTACTATAACAGTTTTATGCCGTGTCGGAGGACTGTCCCAAGTTACCCCGCCAGTCCCAAGTAGCCCTGGTTGACAGTACCTTGCTCCCTCATTTTATAAAAATTTGATAAAAATATTTAATATTGTGGCTCTAAAAATGACCAATAAGCTTTCATCATTGCTTCAGAACAAAATTTTTTCCTGTTTGTCCAAGCCTTTTATCCCAATGGAGAATGAATCATACAAGTTCAAATGTTCGAACAAGAAAAGAAAGGGAAAGCCATATTCAATTTAGTACCTAAATTAGTGGACACTGGAGCTGGACACTCCGACACTGGACAGCAGACTTACCTGCCAAAGGGATGTTTCCTTAGAGTAGCAAAAGCAATAATTGTTGCTAGAACATGAACCAAAAAGAGGCTGATAAAACCCCAAAGAAAAGTCTCAAGCCATATTTGTTGAAACGTTATTAATCGTTCCTCAATGTACTGAAGGCGATCTTGATCCAATTCTGTGCTGTATGCTACCATCCATCCTTCGGCTAATCGAACTACATCCGATGCACAGAAGAGCAGAAAATATTTTGGTAGCTTTGTAAATTCATTTGATAACAACATCATACTGTAATTGATAATTACAATCGAGCTTGAGCTTTTCGTTCACGATCCCACTCTGACTCTGAAGTCTGACCGATCGAAATGTCAACACAAACATCGGAAATCGGAGATTATCGCGATAAATCCGCTTTAAGTTTTTCAACTTCATGATTCATGAATTGTTGCTTAGCCAAATTTTGCAAATTATAAGGTATTTATGGCCGAGAAAATTATTATTTGCTTTGAGAAAATAGGTAATTCCTGATTATTTTTGGTTTGATCTCACATAAATTCAGCTCAATTAGTAAATGTGACTTACTGAGCCACAATCCGAATATTAAAGCAAAATAATTAATTTACGCAAAACTTTTAGGATGAACAGCGTTTTCGTTAGGGATAAAGATTTTCCGTTACGTGAAATTGTTTTCTTAAAATAGTGCATCTCACTCAGTTTTCCGCAAACGGAACGTGACGTTCCGGAATTCAGAGGCTCAGACTCAGAGCCCCAGACAGTATTTTGACAAATGATTGGTTGCCAACTTGCCACGCTGTCATCCCGACGTGATCCCGTTAAGTTCTCACATTTAAAAAGATTATATGCCTACTTGAATGTTAAAGATGTAATGTTTATTTTCAACATTAAACTAAACTTTAACTGATTGTATATAGTAAAGAACTGAAAAACTATTTCCTGAAAATTAAAATAACATGTTCTAACTAATTTACATATGCTGACAAAATGGATCATGATGACATATTTTTAGATTCTTCTTCCTTTGTGGCTACAGATCAGATTACGGGAATTTGGTCATTTTTAACGAGTGTGAGTAAGATATTAGCTTATTAAGGTCTTTCACAATGCCATGCAAGAATAACCTTGGTTTCTTATTATTCTTGCAATTTAATGCTACTGCTAGGGTAAACGCGGTATATTCCGACATCGTAGGTAATTCCGTCACCTCTCCAGCTTTTCCTTTATATTAAGCTTTGTTTTAGTTCCATGCGTGAGTCATGTGAAGGCAACAGAACTTACGTAACGCATACGATTTTTTTTTATAGTTTTTCATTTCTCGAAGCGTCCTTAATGTGTCGGAATATACCGCGTTTACCCTAGTCTGCTAGATAATAAATCTTTATCAATAACCTTTTATATTAAATTTCAATGAGCAAAACTAATTCCTATCTACCTACTGTCACTCACACATGGTTGATAGCTTACTTGACATGAGTTATTGCTGAATGGTGAATGCTGAAAGCATAGACTTTTTTAGACTCTTCTTGACTTTCTCAAGTTCATTTTTGAGTCCAATAAGAAGAGAAAATCAGAAAATGAACAGATTATATAAAATCTGAGGTTTGTCACTATGTAGCCTATTGCCTAATGCTGAATCATTTGACCACTGAATGCATTTTTGCCATGGATTGGGTAAGAACTGTATTGAAATTTTAAATACACAGACAAGTAGGGATTTTTCATGTTGAATGGCTATTGCATTTTCATGGATACCACTCAAACAGAAGACTGATGGACTCAGATGGAGTGATGGTCATAAAGTTGCCACCTAGATTTATTTGTTGGATTTTACTGTTTGATTTCTAGGTTATTTTGGTTGGAATTGATTTATATTTCTACCAGTATCTGCTTGTTAAGAAAGCTAAATAAAAATAAGGCTAAGCATTGCTTGCTAAATTTAATGCTGAAAAGTTATCATTGTATAGTTAATCCGCATGTTTCTACAACTTACAAGGAAGTAAACACAGCACATACAACTAATTTTTTATACAATATTTTAAAGCTATAATAAAAGATCATAAAAGTATGTCAAGGCAATAAACAACAAGAAACAATGTTTCTAAATTTTATTCAGGTTAAATGAATAAATGTTAATGATTTCATGGACTTAATGATAATGGATACTACGGTATAACCCTAAAAACTCTGTTTTATAACTTGAGAGTTAGTATATTTATTTTATTATCTGCGTAAGAAATATAGGCTTGATGTATTCAGAATAGTCTTGCAAAATTATATAGATATGCTAATGAAATGGCAAGTAACTGAAAATGTCAACATATACAAATAGCCTTAATTTAATTGATAGAACTTCTGTTTGAATTTATTTACAGATTGACTGGAGCGAGGGCTATTGTTTCAAAATCGAAAAAATTCTAGCTTCATGTATTTTTCTTAAAACGTAGGTAGTCTCTTTTTGTTCTCCTGTGATGATCGACCTATTCTATAAGACTTATATGTGACTGTTCTCGCTATTGCAATACCAAAATAGCGTCAAAATATTGTTTATTATTTAATTACTCGTGCTTAAAATAATGACGGTTCATTTAATAGAATAATACCTGATATTTCAGCGTGCTTGAATGTTCGTGGGTTTGTATATTCATTCAATATTTATGAGGGCATATGATAGCTTGTCTTATATATGTTACACTATGAAGTTTTTCATACACCTTAACAATAATACTTTACCTCATTAATTCTGTGCACGTTACACAAGCACAGACGCTATTCACTTCGATGAATTTGAAACTGCACCTGATGAAAACACGTCAGTAGCTCAGCACGTTTAGCTCGTCAAGTTCTTAAAAAAATATGATGAACGTTAAGATTTACTGACAAGTTATCTCCATCCTGTTCTGTTTTATTCGCTTTTTCTTAGATTCGACATCGATGCAAACATACTTTTATTACTTTTATTACTTATATTATACTTTTATTACTTTTATTTACACCATCAATTTCAGAGCACGGTTCCGTCACCATTCTTTTAACTTCTTAATCGAGTCCCTAAATATGGTTTACGTTGCAAATGTTCATATTTCGTAAGGGAACAATGTCTTAACAAGATCTTTGATAAATACATAATCTCTAATTAGGATATTTTAGGCAAAACACAAGACGATTTACATAGAATGTAGTCGCTAAATTTGGGCAAATTGATCATCCAAACACTTGCACAAAGTGCAGGAATTTACATTGGTTTTAGCTTATCAAACAAGATAATGAGATTTTGCAGTAGATAAATTGCCGCAAAACATTGACGCATTCAACTAAATAAAGTTATAGGAAAATGTAACTTTCTTCTAGTGATCTTTAACGAATTACAGTACAAGTTTAGCAAAATCAAATATTTTGATGTTACCGGGAATAATTTGTACGGGGAGCGTTTAAGTGACGTTAACTTTGTGTTGCAGGCCACCATTCCCAAATCGACATAATGTTTTAGGACATACAATAATGACATAATGTTCTGTGACTCAAAAGCTTCATAATTTTTTTTGAAGAGCATTCAAGTGACTCTAACTTAGTGTTACAGCCCAACGTTTAAAAATTGACATAAAGTTTTAGGACATACAATAATGACATAATGTGTAGTGACTCAAAATCTTCATAATTTTTTTTGAAGAGTATTCAAGTGACTCTAACGTTCTAAAATCGACAATGTTTTTATGTCCCCAAGAATAATTCGTATGGAAACGAGATCGTGACGCTATTCTTATGTTGCAGCTCAAACAAGTCACCGAGGCTCGCGAGGATCCATACACAGCGTGCACTCGAAGCCCTTCTTCAGAGACGACATCTTCTACGCGGGCAGCATGGCGCGGCTGCCGCAGTACAACAGTTCGGTAAGAGTAGCGCTACTGAGCTTTTATAGAATAGAATAGAAGTGTCGGCGCTGAAGAAATAGGCCCGCATGGCCTGTTGCCGATTCTTGAATTTTTCGTGACTTGATTCACAAGGGATCCGGCCTTTGGAACCCGATCTTTCCATAACTGACGATTGATTGAGATAGCTGCTGGACTACATAGCTAGAAACTTCCTTTGCTTAATGGAACAGCAGTGAATATTATTATATCGATGAGGCAAATTCTTCTAAGTCGTCATTATTGTGATATTCAAATACATGCTTCAACTACTTATAATTTCGGAGTTGAAAGAATTATTACCTTATATCCGATTTAGAGGAGAGTTTCAGTGAATATGTAGAGGAATTGCGCCTTTTAACACGTTGACTCCGAAGTGGTACATATGCGTACCACGAAACTTAATTCTCCAGGACGTAGTTGTACATAATTCAGGTTGTCTAAAATCGGCCAAACCCGAGAACAAAAAAGGCCAAAAACTCAATATATACTAGTTTATTTGTAGGTTCCGCTATAAAAAATTCCATTTATTTTATTTTTGCAGTATTTAAAATTTAGTTAGGAAGTACTACTATCATAAATTTTATCTGGCCAACGCAATTGAGAAAAACTAAATCACGGAATTTGTCCAGAAAAAATGACCGTCTGGCAACCCTGTTTAAAAACAGTACCGTACAAAAAAATGTAATAATAGTACAAGATGAAGCAATCGTAGTCAACGTGTTGATTACTAGAACACATTTTATTTTGAACAATCGATATAGATATACACTAATTACTTACAAATATTAAGAATCAAAACCTTGCCACGCGCGTTGGCAACACTGGACCCAATATGTGTCCAGTGCCAACTCAGTAGCTGCAAAAGACTTTCCATTATTCCTTCTTTTAAACTTCTCTTCTACGAAAATTTTCTCCTCAATACCGATTATTTTTATTAGGCATCAAGCATAAAACCAATTGATAAAGCCTCAGTTTGTGTTAAATTTAGCATCACATTTATGATCGGCGCTCAACGTTATCGTGAGCAAGTATCCCAGTTACTCATTACACTCACTTGCTGTATAATGAAGGACTGATGGCTGTCTATTTCTGAGCGTTGAGCTCTGACAGCTGATGATGAAACGATCGCTGTTCAATGCACTACTATGCAGCTGAATATCGTTGCTCAATGCTCTACTATGCAGCTGAATATCGCTGCTCAATGCACTACTATGCAGCTGAATATCGCTGGTCGATGCCCTATTATGCAGCTGACCATCTTCCTACTAGTTGAATAAAATACCGTACTTGTCGGGAGGAACTGATTTTAAGTGTCTTACAAGATAATTAATTACTTTGTAAAGGGACTGAATGACCTGACATTTTGACAGTTCAATTATAGAGTTGAATAAAAAATCTGATTGCCATCACTGATTGTTGAAAATCATCACATCACTGAGTTGAAAATCACTGATTGCCGTGATTAGGGTGAAAATGAAAAAATTGAGGAATTGCAAACGAATTACTTTACATGACTGTATTTCAGTTTCTAATTGAGTACCAATGTCTTTTCTTTACTCGTGAGACCTTCAGTGCACAGCGAACAATGATACTAAGAACATTATTTAGAATGCTGGGATTGAGAAGCGGGCTAAAATCTTTCAACGGCTCGCGTCACGCAAAAAGACAGACGAAACGCGAACAAAATGCCCATATTTAAAAATTACCACCAGCAATCAGTGACTGTTTTTTGGTCAGAGTTGAATTGATTGTGTTACTACGACGTACAATTGTTCTTTAATAGGTACTCAAAAGCTTATTGTTTCATGTCAGGAGTTTATTGCAAAGACCAGTTGCTTCTTTGCAAATAATGATCCTGAATGGTTGGCGAGCCAGTGGGAGTTTAACGTCCTTTATTCATCCTTCAGGAATCAATGGGTGAGTACAGAGCATCAGTCACACACATGCCCGATGCGGCTCTTGATGAGGAACACGCGGCCGAAGAGACAGGCGGTTGCTGCAAGCGATGCCCCACCGCATCTAAAGCATTCCTGGCCAAGACCTTCGACTTCTCCCTCTGCACATCGCCTACATTCCAAGTGCTTGCGTCCTCTGGCTTCCTTTCTTTGATGAGCCTGTTCATTCCCTACGCATTCTTGCCAGCGTTCATAAACCAAAGGTGGGAAGAGTTCGGTTTCAAAGACGAAGAAGAGGCTGAACAAAGCAGCACCTTTCTGATGTCGCTCATTGGGATTTGCAACACAATTGGTCGAGTGATATGCGGTTGGGTCGCAGACCGCCCGAAAGTCGACGCTATCTTGGTCAACAACTTGGCGTTGATAATCGGTGGCGCAGTAACCATCTTGTTGCCTTTCATAACGAACGTTTCACTTTTGTATGGCTACGGTATAGTTTTCGGTCTGAGCGTAGCTGTGTTTGCCTCGTTAAGGTCAATCTTACTAGTGGAGCTTCTCGGTCTGGAGAAACTCACGAGCTCTTTTGGTTTGTTGCTTTTGATCCAAGGAGTGGCAGCGTGTCTTGGGTCGCCCATCGCTGGGGGGTTCGTTGACCTCACTAAAAGTTTCGATGTGAGTTTCTATGTTTTTGGCTTGACTTACGCGATCTCTGGCGCCATGTGCATACCGATCAGGAAAATCAAGCGCTGGGAGGACACTAGGATCGAAAAAAAGCTGCAGCAAGAGGTGAACAAATTCTAAACTGTTTCTCATATGCTGCCGTTGAGGAGTTGAATAGAAACACAACTAAGTATTTCCCTTCACAAATATTTCCGTTGTTGTTAGATCTTAGACTCTAAACGTAAAGCGTTTACGTCTCTTTACTTTTCACGTAAAGCTCTATGACAGTTTTCAACGTACAACGAATGTTTTGGTGCTAAAACTATTAAATGTATGTGTTAATAATGCTAAAAATGTTCCTGATGAAATCATAAATTCTCTTTGGTCGAGTTTCACTTGATGCCTGATGATTTATATGAGTTTTGAGAGTAAGATTACCGGTAATATATTTGCACAAAGAATATTTAGGAATCACATGAAAAAGTTACAGCTTCTATACAATGATGAACCAATGGTGCCTTGAAATTAGTCAATAATTCAGCCTCCGAATTTATCGTACATGTATGATCCGAATTTTTATCTCGTGTCTCTTCAATTGTTAGTTAATCATTTTTTACAGAATTGTACACCGTTACGTTTGTACAGTTAAAGCACATGTTGATATTTGAAATGTTTTTGTAGCTATCTTATAACGTGATTAATAACTTTTTAATGCTCAGTAGATTTAGAAGTTTCAATAGATGAAAGAAAGACTCTTAAGGCTAGATGATTATAAGCCATGATAGAAAGACAGTCATGTTATGGTAAACAATGACAGTGTATTTGTGGAACCTTCGCAATCGTTGATAAATAGTCTTGCAGAAGAGGAGTGTACATATACCTACTATCAGACATTAAAGCTAGTTATTTACAAGAGCTTTCAATGTTTCCCAGGAGAAAGTACTATTGAATGAAACACATGAACTTGCAATATATATTTATTCACCATAGCTATGTATATACAGGCTTATGGCCACAAACTGTTTACATTACAAATCTTTGGTTTAGCTGATAATTTTAGTATGCTTATTTTATTGTCTCTTCCATTTATATATTTCAAATAAGATTGATCCAATAAATAAAATAAAACTATCTTTTAAACTGAGTGTGCCTATCCCTGAATAAGAGTAGCCGGACAGAATGAAAGACTTGATGACTTTAGCAGTTGCTCATGCACTTCAATTTTCAGGTTGAAACAAAAACTTGAAGTTTATGAAATGATATTTTCAAGTCCAGGGTAAAAACGTATAAAAATATGTGACGTGAAAGAAAGGACAAAAAACTAACAATTATTTATTCTTGCATAATGAAATAGTTACAAATAAGACTCTTACATGAAATTTCACAAATTTTTAAATGATATTTGTATATACAATGTAAAGAAAGAATGCATCAACCATCCACTGCAGAAAAGTGTGACGAAAATAATTAAAATTAGAGTGTTGCCATAAGTGTAGAAGATGAGAAAAATAAAAAGAGAGCACACTGTGACAATCCACATAACCTAACATGAACAGGTTGTAAGTTGAAGCCACAGTTCTTCAGTAGAAATGCAACAACAGCACTTGTTATAGCAGTCACCAGTAGACTGGAAACTGTGCCATAGACCAGGACACATATTCCAGTGAATCTGAAAAAATAGGAAATTTTCATGTACTGATTTTCATTGACTAGGCTGAATCAAAAATAAGTTGATATTTGTCAAAAATATTCAACAATTTTTAATGATTTTTAATTCCCCTAGAAGTATTATAGATATACACTATGAATATTGTGGAAATGTATTTGAGCATAGCAATGAATAATTTTTGGCAATATATCTGAATCAAACTAGGAAAAAACATTGTTTACAGTTGTACTGATTAATTTTTAGAGGCCCAAGGCTTGAATAAGACACAGATTATTCTTTATATTGCTATCCTTTAAGTATATATTTGTTGCACTCTAAAGTTGAATAAGGAACAGTCATTATTTTTTTTTGAAATCCAAAAACTATGCAAATCATGCTGAATTCTCTAATTTTTATCCTTTCTCGGATTCATCAATGCCTGCATCATCCCTTTCACTGTAATAGCACAATGGTCAATTATATGTGATTTTTTTACTTTTTATCTAATCAATGAAACATGAAAAATATTGCCAGTTGCAAGCTTTGAGGCTGCAAAGCTAGGAAAAAAAGTTAGTCCAAAGCAAAGAATATACAATCCTTGGGCTTTAAAATTTATCTGTACAATTTTTGCTATACTTTTCTATGATAGACTTCAGGCCTGATGACAGCAAAAAAAAAAAAAAAAAAAAATACAGTCAAGATTGCTCAATGCAAATGAATTTTTAGACGACGAGTACCCGGGAGCTATTCCTCTCATGACGAGGTACTGAACACCGTATATTTCTAGGGGTGACTGTGACTAAGTGAATAGGTAAATTAACCTGAGAATAAAGAAAATAGTCATACTAGAATAAAGACTTCATATATACTATCTAATAAAGACGAGGTGCAAGGTATACTTCTAGGGGTGACTGTGACTAAGCGAACACGTACAAATTAACCTGGGAATGAAGAAACGAGTCATATTCGAATAAAAACTTTATATATACTCTCTAATAAAGACGAGGTACAAGGTATACTTCTAAGGGTGACTAAGTGAATACGTACAAATTAAGGCATTAACACTCGAGTTACACAGGAAAAAACTCTATTCGTATGTGCTGGGTGGATGTTTTCTTATTTTGAAATTAAGACTAGGAGTAAATTTTAATTGTAGACTTTTTGCTCTGAAAGCGCAACGCAATTAGAAGTAGCTTAATATCGAATATCGATTACCCGGAACAAGTCTAGTAGCTATTTCAAACTATCGTCAATCCTGAAAAGATCCGGTCAAAAGACCTGGTTTTAGATCTTCTGTGGGCAAGTAAATTAAATTAAATTGAATGTATTTAATTTGGCTGCATAGGATAAGTGATACGAGAGACGGGCAGATGGAGGCATGTCTGTCGACCGTGTCCCTGCCACCTGACCCCAACCACCCTGACGTGGCGGCTGACCGCTTCCACAAGGCAAGGTTTTAGTTAGTTTAGTTTAACATTTCTTTGTTTGCTCAATGCCTCAATACAACAGTTTTGAAAAACTTTTTCGTGAAGGATAATAAGTGTAAATTTCCGAAGAAGTAACATCGTATGAGATTAATGGATGAAAGTTATTTTGAGCGATATATTATTTCTTTGTGAATTATGACGTAATTATAGAAACAAATGATTACGATTTTGAAATGTTCGTCTTCTTTTTTCAAGTCTTCCTCTAAAAAATTCTTGTTACTTAATAACTTTTTAACGTGTTTAGCCGTTGCTGCACCCGCAAGTGATGCGTCTCATCAGAGATGAAACTGGTCAGGCCATCGGCCATCACTCGCACTCTACAGGCCGTCTGGCAGGTGAGCTTCTTTTGTATGTTGTCCTTGAAGTTGCACAGGTTCAAGTTATCATACCTGAAGTTTCAAAGGTTGAAGTTATCATACCTGGAGTTCCATAGGTTGAAGTTATTGTCCTTGAAGTTGCTCAGGTTCAAGTTATCATACCTGAAGTTCCACAGGTTGAAGTTGTTGTACGTGAAGTTCTACAGATTGAAGTTATCATACCTTAAGTTCCAAAGGTTGAAGTTATCACACCTGAAGTTACACAGGTTGAAGTTGTTGTACGTGAAGTTCCACAGGTCGAAGTTGTACTTGGAGTTCCACAGGTTGAAGTTCTTGAGCTAGAAGTTACACAGGTTGAAGTTGTTGTACTTGGAGTTCCACAGGTTGAAGTTGTTGTACTTGAAGTTCCACATGTTGAAGTTGTTGTACTTGGAGTTCCACAGGTTGAAGTTATTGTATCTAAAGTTACGCAGGTTGAAGTTGTTGTACCTGAAGTTCCAAAGGTTGAGATGAGAGTTTTGCTTAGTGAAAAAGCGTGACCGTTGAGCTGCGGATCCTGGTACGGATCTCGTTTCGTTGACCGGCAAGCAATTTTTACTGTTATTATCATTCTAAGAAGAAATTATCGTGACGTCTGGTGCAATCAGAACTTGGAGGGCACGTGGTATATTAAAATATTTAATAAAATGTTTTGAAATGAAAGAAATAGGATAAAAACGTCTATGTACTACAATCGAAGGCTCAACGAAAGATTTCGGTCTTTAGCACTTTCAGCAGCACATTAATGTGGCTCCCCAACTGAAGGGGTTTCCTTTAAGCGTTTCTTGCAGGACAAGAAAAGTCGTTCTCAAAAGAAAATTAAGTCAGGGATTCATCATGTTTGAATGTTCTTACCTTCAATACCTTGTCCCGTATATTATTCACTAATATGTTATTTCATACATTTGTAAACTATTTTCCAAAAGCAATTACGCTATAATAAGTACCTTAGCATGCCTATTTTCCAACTGTTTCAACTTTATTTAATAATAATCAAGAAAAATATTCGAACATTAAAACTGGAATTTTCTTCACTTCACCAACCACAATTGACAGTTATGCGTTCCAGGTTTAATCCTAACAAAACTTAACCCAATGACTAACGTACCGCATGTTGGATAAATAATTTCTTATATTCTTTTAGCTTAATATCCTTCCAACTGGAGTTTCCTACGGACGAAGGGTTAACCCTTTGTTTACGGAAAAGAAAACCATCCTCGGTTTACTTCGCATCTAGAGGTTAGGAATGCAAAGGGTTATTTAGAGTCAATAGACAAATGGTTAATTACAAATTTCCCTGCTCGGACACCTTCGGTTTTATCCGCATCTAGAAGTTATGAACTGCAAAGGGATATTTAGAGTTACAGTTAATAGACAAATGGTTAACTGCAAACTTCCCCGCTCGGTACCTGGTATCGTAAAGAGAAAACAATCGTGGAAGGCGTCGAAGCAACAGACCATTTGGACCAGCACTCCAAAGTTGGACACGCGTCCACGCGCAGAGTTGACTTAGGTGTCGGTCATCTGCCTGGCCGGCGACAGAGGAGGGAGAGTGAGCCCACTATCTCACTGCACGCCCCGGCTTCATTTAACCACCCAACGTTCGGTCAGCCCAACACTCAGTACAAAGTTCAATTATATATTCAAAATTTTGCGAGTTCTGTTTGTGTGTTGGGCGTTGAAAGAAAGCTTTTCGTTGTAGTCTGTGGGCATGATTTGGTTTTAATTAAATGATGTAACTTACGACTAAAGGAACTTTGAATGCAGCACGTGATTATGAAGCTTTCCTATCATTAAAGGTAACGCTATTTAATTTGTTAACATTTATTAGAGCTCACATGTTCTGTATCCTGAATTATATGAGCACACTAGTTTTTAATCATGTATAAATAAACCAGCACGTACATTTCATAAATGATTAAAACCAGCACGTACATTATCTGCGTAGATTTTTGCACCCATGCAGGATGATTATTTATAAGTAACGACGGCTTGAAGCCCAAAACGACTTAATAGGAATTTATGCACAACTTGAATCTATATGATGTAAAACAAATTTCAACAAAAGCCAATTCGGTTGAATCTGTACGGTGCACAAATTTTTAGAAACAAGTTTCCCCAGAAAACGCACGAAAGATTTTTTATTTGCGCGTCGCCCACACCGAAGACGTACGTCGTCTTCACAGCAAAGCGCATGTTTTCGCCCGTGCACGGTAGCAGTCGTGTAATCAGTAAATACTGACAACTCAAAGACTAACTTTTCAAGACCAAACTAAACATAAACCATCTGCCGAACTATCTTGCTGCTCATAGATATATTTTTTTCAATAATTAATATTAAATGGCAGGATTTACTTGTTTACACACGTGCGATCGATGACCAGAGCATTCGTTGATTTCTATTATCAGTGAATGGAACTTTTCTGCAGATGGACGGTAGATCAAAAGGCAAGTTTTAGGAAGTAATTCTTATTTATTAACGACGTTTCGAATGCAACAAACATTCATTTTCAAGTTAAAGAAGCATTAAACATTGCAAGTTGTTCTTGTTCCCCTGTTTTTTTTTTCAATAAACAGACGTTAGATATAAAAAAAATTGTCGGATTGTGGTTATTTATCCAAACCGCGAAATTAGACTTCGATGTGTTAGCTTGGAGTTAACACTCGTGACTCATCCAACGAAGTGAATTTTTGATAGTTTTGATTGAAAAATAAATTTAATGTGTGGAGCAATGTGGTGACGTGATTATATTTTTTAAGTTTACAGTGTCAGCCTATGGAGAATTAAGATGGGCTTCACCTCTCATGGCTTCGCGACATAATTGTGGGGACTTTTTTCTTTTTTATTGTTTCAAAATCGAAAAAATTCTAGCTTCATGTATTTTTTGTGACTTGATTCACAAGGGATCCGGCCTTTGGAACCCGATCTTTCCATAACTGACGATTGATTGAGATAGCTGCTGGACTACATAGCTAGAAACTACTACATAGCAAATTCTTTTAAGTCGTCATTATATTGAAATAAATGCTTTAAGTACTTATTATTTCGGAGTTGAAAGAATTATTAGCTCATATCCGATTTAGAAGGAGAGTTTCAGTGAATAAATAGAATTACGCCTTTTCATGACTAGAACACATTCTATTTTGAACAATCGATATGAATATACAATAATAACGTACAAATAAAAATTAAATTAAAAAAAAAAAAAAAAAAATACAGTCAAGATTGCTCAATGCAAATGAATTTATGGAATAATTGCTAATATCTCTCTTTATTAAAGTGCCTTCCTTTAAATGTAAGTCATCATATTAAAAGATTATTTAATTTTTATGAATTGAATGATACAATCTTGCATAACACATAGTAATAAACCTACCTACTTTAGTAACTATTCGTCTTTGTTCCAAATTTAATAAACAGCTGCTTTTTCTACATGCAAAACTATCTTACCAAATAAATTGACTTAAGAAGTTAGTACAAGAAATTATTATTGTTTAATTACATTAATTTTTCTAAGACCAGTCAAACTTATGCATATAAAGAAAATACAGTACATTATATATACTTTTACATGCAATATGCAGCAACAATATATATAATATTACCAAGTCTAGATATAATTTTTTCCAACAGTGCAGTTGCTAAAACTAAAAAATTTTCCTGCAAGTTGGAAAAATTACAAAAATGGAAATTGAATTAGGCAAATTCAAGATATAATGTTAAATGTACATAAAGATAGATTTGTAGATAAAACAAATATACCATATAGACTTAGGTTAGAAACATTAAATAATAAATACAAGATTAATCAAGTTTTTTTTCAAAAATCCTAATAAACAGTAATAATATTTAATAAATATATTTATTACTGCACATAGGTATGAATATTTTTTTAAATAGATATTTATGACAAGCATATCATAGACAGATTACAATTTATATCAAACTTTCTATCAAAATGTTATTGCTTTATTTTATTAGGTATAATTTTTTTAGATGACTTCAGAAGCAATCCAAATAAGTACAATGATCCTTCATTTTATACAAATTTGGTAGAAAGTATTGAATATTGTGGCTTCAGAAATGAGCAACAAGCTTTAATCACTGCTTCAGAAAGAAATTTTTTCTTGTTTGTAATTTGTAAAGCATTTTATCCCAACAAGTTCAGTAGATAGTGCAGACTTACCTGCCAAAGGGATGTTTTCTTAGAGTAGCGAAGGCAATAATTGTTGCTAGAACATGAACCAAAAAAAGGCTGATAAAACCCCAAAGAAAAGTCTCAAGCCATATTTGTTGAAACGTTATTAATCGTTCCTCAATGTACTGAAGGCGATCTTGATCCAATTCTGTGCTGTATGCTACCATCCATCCTTCGGCTAATCGAATAACAGCCGATGCACAAAAGAGCAGAAAATATATTGGTAACTTTGTATATCCATTTGATAGCAACATCATACTTTAATTGATAATTAAAATCAAGCTTGAGGTTTTCGTTCACGATCCCACTCTGACTCTGACCGATCGAAATGTCAACAAAAACATCGGAAATTGGAGATTATCGCGATTAAATCCGCTTTATGCTTTTTAACTTCATGATTCATGAATTGCTGCTTAGTCAAAGTTTTAAAATTATAAGATATTTATGGCTGAGAAAACTATTATTTGTGTTGAGAAGTATGTACTTACTGATTATTTTTGGTTTGATCTCATATAAATTCATCTCAATGAGTAAATGTTACTTACTGAGCCTCAATCCAAATATTAAAGCAGAATAATTAATCTACGCAAAATTTTTGGATAACCAGCGTTTTCGTATGAGATAAAGATTTTTCGTTACATGAAATTGTTTCCTTAAAAAAGTGCATCTCAATCAGTTTTCCGCCAACGGAACGTGACGTTCCAAAGTTCAGAGGCTCAGACGCAGAGCCCCAGACTGTATTTTGACAAATGATTGGTTGACAATTTGCCACGCTGTCATCCCGTTAAGTTCTCAATATTTAGAGAGATAATATGCCTACTTGAATTTTAAAGATGTAATATTTATTTTCAACATTAAACTTTAACTGATTGTGTATACTAAAGAACTGAGAAACTATTCCTGAAAATTAAAATACACTTGTTCTAGCTAGTTTACGTACGTACCTAGGCCTATGCTGACAAAATGGATCATGATGACATATTTTTAGATTCTTCTTCCTTTGTGGCTACAGATCAGATTACAGGAATTTGGTCATTTTTGATGAGTGTGAGTAAGATATTAGCTCATTAAGGTCTTTCACACGGCCTCGCAAGAATAACCTTCTTGGTTTCTTATTATTTTTGCTAGTTTACTGCCTGTGCTAGTCCTGCTAGTCTGCTAGATAATAAATATTTTTCAGTAATATTTTATATAAAATTTTCAATGAGCAAAACTAATTCCTATCTAATGTCACTGTCACGGTGTCACCCACACATAGTTGATATGATAACTGCCTCCTGGACATGAGTTATTGACTTATTGCTGAATGATGAATGCTGAAAGCAGAGACTTCCTGACTTTCTCAAGTTAATTTTTGAGTCCAATAAGAAGATGAAATCAAAAAATTAATAGATTATGTAAAATCTGTGGTTTGTCACTTTGTTGCTGAATCATTTAACCATTGAATGAATTTTTGCCATGGATTGGGTAAGAACTGTATTGAAATTTTAAATACACAGACAAGTAGGGATTTTTCATGTTGAATGGCTATTGCATTTTCATGGTATTTTTCATAAAATATTTTAAAGCTACAATAAAAGATCATAAATTATGTCAAGGCAAGCAATAAACATTTAGAAATGATGTTTCTAAATTTTATTCAGGGTAAATGATTAATGTTAATGATTTCATGGTATCTAGTTATAAATTATAATGGATACTATAACCCTAACAACTCTGTTTTATAACTTGAGACTTAGTATAATCATTTTATTATCTGCATAAGAAATATAGGCTTAATGTATTCAGAGTAATCTTGCAAAATTATATAGATATGCTAATGAAACAGCAAGTAACTGAAAATGTCAACATATACAAATAGCCTTAATTTAATTGATAGAACTTCTGTTTGAATTTATTTACAGATTGACTGGAGCGAGGGCTGGTTGCAGGCAACACTTGCCTCGTACATCATCTTGATAGTCACTATTCTGCTGCTGAGACACTTCTTCTATGTACTAGTGGGGCTGTTCCTGCTCATTCTTAGTGTTGTTTATAATGCTGAAACAATTAACAAGTATGGAGCACAGAACTGGAACAAGTTCAGCAGACAGCAATACTTTGATTCATCTGGGATGTTCATCAGCCTAGTATTTTCCTTGCCTTTGATCTGCATAAGTCTATTCATCATGGTAAGAAATCCAGGTGCTCCTTGCTTTATAATTAATGTTATGATAAAACTTGATTCTGTCATTAAGAATTTCAAATTAATGTAAACCCCTGAACTTCAGTCTGTAATTATTTTCTGCTTCATTTTCTAATTTTTGTCACCATTGAAATTTGAGTTTCATTTTACATTGACAGCTTATTTAGACAAAGATTTGAAATGATATTCTGAAAAAAGTTTCTTATTGTCTTGAATTTTTCTATTTTCAGATTCTCTGGGTCTACCAGTCAGCTCATCTTCTCATTTCTCTCAAGAGGAAGGAACTCATAGGTCATGCTGAATGCAGTACAAGCAAAAACAAAAAGGATCAATGATAAAAAAGGTCTACATTATCATTTCTTCTTCACTGTAATGCTGTTACAATTTTTTTAAGAAATAATTTATTTGTCCCCACAATTGTGCCTGAAGTTGCAAAATTGGTATGATATAGTTATAGCAAATGCGGTAGTCTATGTCAGTAGTTCAACCCACAAATTCAAGTTATTGTCAGGATTGATGGGATACTCATTACTTACAAACGGACGATTAGAGTTAACTCACGTACGTCTTTACTTTTTCGTTTTTATGGTCGACTTTCTGGTCTAGTTTTGCGGAGAGAAATTTTATAACACAAAACCCATTTTGTAGTCGGATCTTTCGCCTTCCCGAGAGTTTTCTAATGAATCTTCGGAGCATTAGCAAAAGTAACTTGTCACCACCATCCCATGATAGATTTAGAATGAAACGTACACAATTAAAATTGCACTACAAGACGTTATCATTTTCCAAACGACGTACGTTGAGTTGCTGAGCAGCAAGTAGAACAAAATCGCAATCAGCGGCGCTTGGAAACCTTACAGCGCGATGAAAGAAGTTAACCAGTTTCTGTGCTGGTTGTCCTTTAAATACGAAACGATGATGTTGATCGTAGTTGCGATGTGTAATAAAGATAGCGTGGTGTATGCCGTGCACAGTATTGAAATGGTATATCTCCAGGAGCCTTTCAGCCACATCACGGCAAGCACTGCGCACACGAAACTTCCGATTGTTTCACAGATGAGTCGAAGAAATAGCGTGATGAGGGTTCCACGCAACAAACTTTTTGAGTGTAAGAAACTAGATCTCAGCCACCGGCGGGTTTTGGAAGTAATCTCTCTCCTCTGCGAAAAATGGTCAGCGGAGTGCATCATTGTTTTTTGTGCAGTAGCAAGACGTCGATGTTTTCATAATGAAATAATTTCTCCAAAATACGTATTGAGGGAATTTTATAGGTACTCTCCGTATACCAGCTACAAGCGCTGAAGCTTCGGAGCAATAAATTGTAATTAGCGAATACTAAAATGCTTAACTTTCTTCAATTAAATCATAAAACTTTTGTTGTATAGCAACTAAGGAATGACAAGGTAGTAGTATAGGGTTTGACGATCGAGAGACTTAATTCAATTACTACTTGAATATCCCTTGTAGTCACTAACATCCCTAACGGCAATTGGAAACGTTGGTCAAACATATTCGTACGAGTCGAGAAGAATTTTCTCGACCTTGATAGAAACATCTAGGAATCTTGTATACTAATCCTTCAAATACGAAACGGCATTCAAATAAGATGATGTCGATAGTAGTTAGAGCGTGTGCTTGCTGTATGCCGTTCACAGCATTTAAATGGTATATCTCCAGGAGCCATTCAGTCACCATTACGAGCACCGCGCTCACGAAACGATGCTTCGTATAAAACTCAGTGCTTCCATTTAACTTGAAAATGAATGATGCTACATTCCCAACGTCGTTAATAATTTAAAATTACTTTATTAAACCTGCATTTTGATCAACCAACGTCATTTGAAGAATATTGTTTGACCCTTAAAATTTAAATCAATGAATTCTCTGGGCGTTAGTTAACCACCCGTGTTTAGAAAAATATCTTGTATATGCACACTTCTTGTGTATCAAATCATTTTAAATATTCTTGTGATCACAAACCGTGTTTCCTCGAGTAATATCGTCGAGGGTATTCGCGGCCACTCGAGCACAGAATTTCAGGTTAGAAAATTGCAACTTCTTCCATCCAACAGTTCCTACCTGTCTCCATATTCATATTTGTAATTTTACCTGAATTTACAGGCAGAATATTTGGTGACCTTTTGATTTGGGTGCAAGAGTATTTTACATGAAGTTCTCTATTTATTTAAAGAGGAATGAGAACGATATCGCTGTCACATGACTTGCGTGTTGAGGGTGCGACATGGTGAAACCTTGGGCACTATCTAGGCTTCATGAGGTTTTTGTGATTAATAATTGCACCTAATTTGATGTCTATCTTACAGAAAGAACAACAATCAATAATTATTTAGCTTTACAATGCGTTCGCATAGCATATTGGTCACACTTCTAATTTGTTAAGTCGATATGTTTGGTTTGACTGCTTCACTGCTGATAAAAAAAACTTTTTTTTATGTCGCCATGGAATGAATCACTGTATGAACTGTAGAGTAACGATTCATCATGAATTACACTGTCACGCACGCACTCAGATTCTGTAGAACGAAATCTAGATCGATCTTCCGACGGCACGAATCATTTATATCATAAACTAATTTAATTGAAACAAATCTCACCCCTCGTCGTGATGAGACTCAACGTTGGCAGTATTCCCATGCTAAATATTGTCCACGTTGTCGCTGAGAAATGATAATTGTTTACACTGCTTAATTATCACATGTGCACACTGCTTAATTGGAGTCCGTGTGATCTGTGATCCAATGTGTTCTTCACATTAGCGTTGACTGCTTTTATCTCTCACGATTTATCAGCCCGCAAGCATATTAAACTCGTTGCTTCATAACAACCTGGCACTGGTAAATTAAAGCGCTCATGACACAAGGCCATAAGCTCACAGCTTCTGATTTATAATCATGTAAAACATTCAAGATTATCTCTAATTGCATCATGTGTTTCGTGAGCACAACCTTGACAATTGAGCGTCTACATCGAATGTATCTATGCCAGATGAATGTTCTTATATACATAATGGCAAGAAACTACCTACAATTTCTTTCTAGGTTCCAATATCTGACCATCGTTTGAAAAGACGTAAGAATATTTCTGAATTTCGAGTTTTTTTATACGGTGTATGCCGAGTTCAATGCGACGGTGCGAACTATTCGTTCGTGTCTCATTAGATTAGATGGAAGGTTGCGTGCACAGTACAATGCATATTCATGTTTACAACAATTGCGAAAAAGTTTATTTACTATTATGACATACGGCAGCAGATAAAGAACTTGAATTTACAATACTGTATTAGGCTGTAGATATTATCGGGAGTCTGAACGTGATATTTTAATTTTAAAAATGGCTAAGAAATGATAACATTAACGCCTGGGCTGCTGCATTTGTCTTGTCGATACATACTGCTTCGACTACCTAATTGTGTGCAGTTGTTCACCGATGACAATAATTATGTTGGGTATAATCATGAGGTCGTGACCTGTCATTAATTACCTGGCGAGGTTGATAAGCAGCGAGACTTCTCAGGTGTGTGTGCCATATACCGTCGCAAGCCTTCAGTACTAGGTTGCGTTCATTCGAATTGTTGAAAAAAACGTAGCAGCTTAGCCAGATTCAGAATAGTGCAATTCAAAGGACATTACTATTAGGATATATCAATTGCAAATTTGCAGAAAAATTCTAGATTGCGTGATTCAAAGATCATTAACTATTAGGATACATGAATTGCAAATTTGCAGAAAAATTCTACGTTGCGTGATTCAAAGGTCATTTCTATTAAGATACACGAGTTGCAAATTTGCAGAAAAATTATAGATTGTGTGATTCGAAGGTCATTACTAATTTACTATTAGGATATATCAATCGTAAATTTGCGGAATAATCCCTGAGATGAGGAAGCAAGTTACTCTTTTGCTGTTGTTATGCGTATTGACCTCAACTGCTGCTCTGTGGACGGCGCTGTTCCGGAGAAATAAAGCACTGTTCTGCTCCGACTACAGGACCGAGTACCTCTACCGTCCTAAGAGGGTAAAACTGAAATACCACACTGTTGTCTCCAACACTATTTCTTAGGCAGATGTCTACCCATACTTTTATCGCTGCCAATCCTTTTCGTTCCTAAGAAACCTGGTACCATTAGAAGACAATGGGTTGACCCATTGCCTATACATTCTTTGATCATCATCGATGTTAATCTGTTAACGATGAGAATTAATGATGAGATGTATTAATGTAACAATGATGAGAAATCATCGATGTTAATTTGTTAATGAGAATTCCCTACACTACAGAAAGCGTTATATACATTAATTGAAATTCATTTATTCAACTCAACAAGTGTTTAGCATTCAAATTAATGTCGAAAGGTAAAATAAACTGAATTGTTTTGAATAACTCTGATATTATGTACGTGTGATACGTCTAAGTTTGACAGGTTTTCAATAATTAATAACCATATTCATTTCGAAGGAAGTTACTGGCATAAATATTGTAAATATTGTACAATTTCATCTGCTTTTACAGATGCACGTCGCGGCTAAAATCGGTCAAAATCAAGAATAACATTGATTCTAGTGTATGCCTCTAGAAAATCGCTAGAATTAAACTCCTCCATAGGCGTTTACAAGAAATGAAACTCCTTTTTTGCACTACAATAAGTTATTAATAAGTAACAATAAGTTTTTTGCACTACAATAAGTTATCCCTTGTGAATCAAGTCATGAAAAGTTCAAGAATCGGTAACAGGCCATGCATGGGCCTATTTCTTCAACGCCGACACTTCTATTCTATTATATTATCTTCATACAGAAATTGAAGTCAACGGTCGTTCTCAATTCGCACGAAATCATTTTCGAATAAAACCTGCTTTAATGCTTGACACTATCACAAACATACGTATTTAGTACAAGTAAACGAACCCAAATTTCTTAAGATTTGATTACTGAGAATAAAAAATAATTGTTGCAATAAAATTTACGTGTTAAATTAAATATAAAATTTCATGCTTCTGAATCCTGATATGTGGTCATAAATGTAAAAAGTGCTCAACTAACATTGGTTGCTTCTGATCACCGGTATCTTCCATTTTGCACTCGAATTTTTTTCAATTCTTAAATGTGTTCGACATTATGTCCCATTATTTTATGTAACTAAGGTTCTTGCGTGTCATCGATGTATTTATTTCTATTTATCACTTATTGGTAACGCAATTTATCACTTATTGGTAACGCAGGAGCTGTGCTTGACAGCTTGCCATGCCATGAACGACTGTGCCGGATTCTGCTTCTCCAGAGCTTCCAACTCTTGCCGCATACACGGTGATTGCACTCAAACTTTTTAAAACTTATATAATATTCTATATAACTTGTATTATAAAATTCGTTGTTCTTTACTGAATTCCCACGTGAATAACAAAGCATTGGTTCAGAGCGAGAATGATTTTGAACAATTTATAGATGCACATAAAGTACGATATTTTACATGCGAACTCGTCTTTTTCTAATGAGTTGAAAGCTGTTCCTTGAACTCATAAAAATGCCGTCTTTCTCAATAAACTTTGCAGGTCCCCACAACATGATGATGAGCAGCACGCTGGTTGGCAACACTCGCTATAAGTTGCTGAACCAAGTAGGGAATTACAGCGACTCCCGCCAGCGTTGCGCCGACATTAAAGGTTATCCCGCGGCACCCACGGTCGGTTTCAAATTTTGGAATGAGAATAGTGAATTTCAGTTGCATTCTGTTTCGATAATTACTGAAGTTTATTAAGGTGATTATTGATAACCAATTTCATTGTTCGTCTTCATGGAAGAGAGTCACATTCTGCATTGGTTATGAATAAAGTTTGTTAACGGTATTAATGATGATCAATAATTTCTTTGTCCATCGCCATTCGTTATTGGAAAAGAGTTCTCCATCTTAAAAATATCGCAACGTCACTATATGACACGTATACCGGTTGTAAAGAATTTATCGATATAAAATAGTACGCGATATTTATCGACATTAATTTGGGTTTATCTCCTTCAAATCTCTTCGTTTACCTACGATGACAAGTTCATGTTTAGCCCAAGATTTGTGTCTCTCTACAGTACATTTTGACATATAGTTAAGTCATGCAATGTATTTATATGGAATTGATGGGTAATTTTTTTTAACAATTTCAAAGAGTCCCGCAACCAACGAAGTTTTTCGAAGCCTCATCATAGGCGACACTTGGGTTGGTGTTCGCAAATGGAATTTTGAAACTCGGCTTGAATCCAATGGTAAGTTGCAGACCTGCTAGAGTGACCCGCCGAGTCCTTACTCATAATCCTTACTTTTCAAACTATTGTCAGTTTAGAAGATCCGGTCAAAGGACCAGTATTCAGATCTCCTGTGAACAAGTCACGAAAAGTACAAGATATGGCGGCAGGCCACATCAGGCCTATTCTTCAGAGCCGACATATCTATGATATGATATGATAAAATCATGAACTAGTATATAAGTTTAGGTAGTAAGCATGCTCCTTAATTTGCTCTTTCCAAGATCAGATTTGTGTTCGTTTTCAAATTTCATTGTGTCGTTAGTCGTTACTTACCCCTTCGCGATCACACAGGTCAGAAAATAGTCTACAACAATTTCGGCTTGCTGGAAGGCTTCACCTTGGTTTACTTTGAAGACTGCGTGCTGATGTCCACTTCTGGCAAGTGGAAGGATACCCCGTGCGGATACAACAGCTATCCTGTGCTCTGTCAAAGTCCTGGCACCAATAACTGCGATGCCCAAGGACAAGACGTTACACCTCGCAACTACACTACCGATCCTGATGGCAGTTACGTCTGCTACAGACCTGTCCACTGAACTAAGTCATTGAAGGAAACACACGAAAATTTATCGAGCCAGTGCACAGTGAAGATAAGGTTGAGTGAAAGTTCTCTCATTTCAAATGAATGAGAGCGGTAAATTTTTACAGTAGGGTTGCATGTTTAGTCACAAAGCTACCATTCTGATTTTCTCGGAAGGTACCTGAGAAGTAACCAAAATGTCTGCATGTGTTCTAATTATTAGCCTACATATGAGGAATTATTATTATAATATACTTACATTAGCTATAATTTGAGGAAGGGCGATTCAAACAAATTAGAATTTGCTGCAGCAGGAAGCTTTAAAGACTTATATGCACCATGTTAAATATATATCAAGAGCTGGGGCTGTGCTGGACAAGGCCACTTCGTGGCAGCCCAGATACTCTCATATCTTGGCATTTATTGTAGTAAATCATTAAAGCTGTTTCACTTACCAATGAATTTCTGATGTAACGGTCTTAGCTAGGTTAGTGGTCGGCTAGTATAAGTATATTGTTTCTCACGCCATTTAATGAAAATTGCACTGCGTAGTGCAACAAAATTGTTGGTTGTTGGTGATATAGCACAGTAAAACACCAAGAAGTATATAACACACTTATATTAGTTAGCTAATGATGTGAATTTTTCTTCTTAATGTAAAGGGCAATATTGAATAAATTATCCTCACAGACAATTCTCAAATATCAATTTGTAATGAACTGAAAAAATCATTAAACAATGCCGCCATGAGCAAATTTGGTCAGAAACTAATGGATGCTTTGTTATAATTCATTTATATTAAACAGGTCTTATATATTATTATACTTTTACAATACTCGGAGAGGAGTGAATATTGAGGAGCTAAACTTTATTTCGTTTGGTATACTAATTACGTAATCGTCGTAACATGTTACATTTCCCTTCTTACGGGTGACTATCAATCATTCGCACAGTCCCTATTCATTTTAATTAGTATTTTCTGTAATAATTTATATTTTAATAATAATAAATTATGATTTTAAATCATAATTAAATTCACTAGTTGGGAAGTTTCCGTCGTGGTGTTTTAGATATGTAACAGCCATGCAACTACTGATCAATATACACTAAATCTAAAACCGAGCATAGCGTAGTTGCGATACGAGCGATACCTTTCGTCATTTGCCTTGTTTTGGGTCTAAACAAGAGACTAGGGGCTAAATCCCAGCGACTCTCCAACGTGGCCGGGGACAGAGTCGCTTATAAATCACATGAAACAATATGAAAGTCATGAAATGTCACTATAATGTCATGAAATAATATGAAAGTTAGTTATCTATGGAGTTGAAGAGACTTCTGATGGGTTGCACGATGGAGTCATCCACGCAGGATCCGGTCGTCCGCTTGCAGACATCGCAGGATTGGTCCACTAACTTATAATTCATCTCCTCAGGGAGGTATTTGTTTTTGCGTAAGTCCATTGCGATGTCCCGAGGGTTCACCCAATTCAGGTTGGCTTCGTCGTCCAGGAAGACGAAGAAGCGGCCTGCAACGAGCCGCTACACTTTAAACGGAAGTGTTTCATCTTTTGGGCAAGTTTTTGGTCCAGTTTATAATAACTCAGCTTGTTATTTCACTGTTATAGTGACGTAGGTATTAATATTATTGGATTGATTAGATCGATTCTGTGATAATAAATGGGAAAGCTTTTACAATGACATTCTGATCGAATGTTCATTACTTCGAGCTACTACATACTCGCGAGTGTAGGTGAAGTAGTAAAATGTCTCCTACATACTCACGAGAGTATAGGTGAAGTAGCACAATGTGTTCTATATACTCATGAGAGTAGGTTAATTAGTACAATGTCTCCTATATACTCACGAGAGTGGGTGAAGTAGTACAATGTCTCCTATATACTCACGAGAGTGGGTGAAGTAGTACAATGTCTCCTACTCACGAGAGTAGGAGAAGTAGTATGAGGTGCAGGAGACCAGCATGGTGATGCCGTTGCTATATGCCACAGGCTGCAGAGTTACGGGGCCCGAGTCGTCCACTCCTAAAACTGTAAAAACATTTCAGAAAATGGAAGGCTGTTCAGCCATTAAACTTGAGCACTTCGATAGCGCTAGAGAAAAAAGTTTAAAATTCTCATTTCTTTTGAATTTGAAATTCTGATATTATGTGGCCACCAGTTTTATTGTATTGTTTATCTTGTATCTTTATCTTTATGTTTTATTGTATTTGTTTATCTTCAATGCAGTGATATTTATTAACATGCAAAAGTTAAATGAAAGTCAATTATTTTATAATCTAATAGATAAAGTAGGTATTAAGAGACACTAAATTCATTCTTGCCAAAACTTAGATCGCTGTGATGCGATTTTCACTATAGGAAGCTTACACTGTACCCACCTTTCAATACAAATATATATGATGATGTATATGTATATATGAATGTTTAATGCTAAATTGGGTGGCACATTTACTTGTGGCTAATTTTATGGGTTAATTATGAAGTCATTATTAATGAAGACTGCAAGCGGTAGAAATTAAAATGCCTTGCGATCATAAGAATTTGCTGTAGATTCATTTCGGACATATTAGAATGATAATTAGGTGAATTTCAATTTAGAGTTTGTAGCTATGAAAATGTAGTATGATAAAAAATCACATTACAGAGAAATGCGTTAGAACAACNAGAGTTAGAATAGACCGTTCAATCATCGGACACGTGATAAAAAAAGCAAGATTATAGATGTAAGATTTAGAATAGACCGTAGAACCATCAGACATGCGATTAAAGAACAAGATTATAGATGTAAGATCTAGAATAGACCGTAGAATCATCGGACATGTGATTAAAAACAAGATTATAGACGTAAGATCTATAATAGACCGTAGAACCATCAGACATGCGATTAAAGAACAAGATTATAGATGTAAGATCTAGAAGAGACCGTATAGAACCATCGGGTATGTGATTAAAAGGCAAGATTACAGATGTAAGATTTAGACTAGACCGTTCAATCATCAGACATGTGATTAAAGAACAAGATTATAGATGTAAGATCTAGAATAGACCGTAGAGCCATCAGACATGTGATTAAAGAACAAGGTTATAGATGTTTTGATAGCAGAACAATATAATATATATGAGATCTAGAATAGACCGTAGAATCATCAGACATGTGATATTTGAACAATATAATATATATGAGACCTAGAATAGACCGTAGAATCATCGGAAATGCGATTAAAGAACAAGATTATAGACGTAAGATCTATAATAGACCGTAGAACCATCAGACCATCATGAGGGAAGTCGTTGATGATGATGCTGCCTGTGGAGGTCTGCGTGGGGAAGTTGACGACGTACGTGCCACTCAGTATCTTCTTGACTCCTCGTCTGTACGTGTCAGTGTGACGTGCGCGTCATTAACATTAAGTAACAACATTCCCGTTGTATAAATTTAAGATGAATAACTGCTTATTAATTAATTAATTACTTATTCATTAGTTAAATTAACAAACTGCTTATTAATTAATTAAAATGCTATATTAATTGCATGCGTGTTTACTAGGATGGGAGCGAAATCGCATACATGTTTCATAAGGGATGAAAACAGAGGAAAGTTATTTTAAATCATCAATTTATTGACACGGGAGGAGAAAGATCAAGCGAATTCAATCATAGGGTGCTCTTTAAATATAGAAATTTTTATAACACATCTATGATTAAATTACATCCTCAGTAGGAGTATGAGTAGGAGTAGCTGTACGCACCTGTCCCTGTAGGAGTAGCCTTACGCACCTGTTCCTGTAGGAGTAGCTGCACGCACCTGTCCCTGTAGGAGTAGCAGCACGCACCTGTCCCTGTAGAAGTAGCAGTACGTACCTGTCCCTGTAGGAGTAGGTGTAGGTCTGCTCCTTATGGAAGCTGAGGGCGTGACAGGATGTGTCCGTGTCTGTAGGAGTGCCGGCGGCCATCACCAGGTACTGTTCCCCTCTGCTGATGAGCTGGCATAGCGAGATACGGTCATCGTGAGACAGTCTTACGGTGAACGAATACATGATCAATGTTATACGGTCATTGTAAATACATTTATAGATTATCTGTGTATAAATCTGCTACTGAAATGCATAGAATATCTCATCCGTCAACAGGCAAATTAGGTACAAAATTGGACTTCAAAGTAATTCTAAATNGAAAAGGAAAAGAATCGGCGACAGGCCACATCAGGCCTACGCTTCAGCGCCGAGATCACTATGTTATGTTATGTTATGAGCAATGCTATACGGTCATTGTGGGGCAATAAGTTACGGTCGGTCAAAGTATTGGAAATGTTACGGTCAGTGTTAGGGCAACGTTACGGTTACTGTTCGACAAATGTAACGGTCTAGTATAAATGGTGTAAATTAATCTGTGTGCATTTAAGGAGATAGATTCATGCGAAGTTCATTGGAAAAATAACCTTGCGGAATTGATCCATAATAGATTGAATAAGCTTATCTAAAGCCGAATTTAACGAGGTTTTCGTTTATTAGTTCCGAGTGGATAAATGTTCATAAATTAATATACATTGGAACGTTAACCATTAGATAAAGATCAGCTCTAATATCAAGAGTTTTAGTCAACACTGGAAATTTTTTGGTATAATAGGAATTTATTCGCAAAAATAAATTTATAGATTATCTGTGTATAAATCTGCTACTGAAATGCATAGAATATCTCATCCGTCAACAGGCAAATTAGGTACAAAATTGGACTTCAAAGTAATTCTAAATAAGGACATGCTATGAAAGCCAGCACTTGATCATCGTTTCAGAATTCATCCTCAAACTCGCCCGAAAATCTGCAATCACTTTGCGCTTTCCAAGGACTCAAGTGACCATTTATATTATTTACTCCGACATAACAACAACACTTTTATTTGAGCCTCTTACATCAAGCATAACTTCTGGTGTGAAGAGGATGCTCGAATAGTATGTGGGACACGAGCCTCGCTCATACATTTGTGCAGCCACTGCCGGCATGAGCGTGGCAAGAGAGACGAGGATGCGGAGGACAGATGTGGTGGACCAGGGGCGAGATAACTTTTCACACGGGGAATGTTGTGGAAACTTCATTGTTAAATTAAGTTTGATTCTAATTATTCTTGATATAGAAGTGTTATTTGTTTAAAGCTCGAAATTAAAATAGTAATATTTTCCAGATGTCTAATAAGTTTATGCAACTAAATGCACAAAAAATTGAAAATTTTCCTCGTTCACTAGTGCATTGGTAAATGAAGTGCTGGAATCTATTTACCGTATTGTTTGTTTATTTTTAGAAAGTGGCTTTTGAGATTGACTTTATTACCGAATATTATCTATCATTCTGTTCACGTCACCGGGGCATACTTGTAGCAACTTTACAACCTGTGCTTTATATAAGAACACAATTAAAAGCGAGGGTACATTTCCACTTCACAGCTTCAACACAATAGAAGTCGAAAGTAAAATTTCCCTCTTAATTACCGATGATTTTTTTCAACGGTAAAACTAATGTATTTTTCTTGCGAAGGGAGAAGCTGAGATATCTCAAAGGTTGATAGTTTTATAGAATATTTTTTGAAACCTTCCACCTTTATTGTCAGGCACCAACATCGGTTTCGTACTTCCCGCAATGCGGCTCAGTAAGCACTAACGTGCCTCGTTTGTTTGAAGTATACGAGTTTCCCCTTCGTTTCTTACCGAGGAGTCCGGTCTACGAACAAGTTTTGCTCTCGCTTTCGGACTGAAGTAAAAAGAGACTGTGCCCGTGTATGTTTTTTTTGTCGTTGATATTTTCTATGAAGCCGTGAGACGCGGGAAGCAAACGACTTTTTGTAGAATTTTCAGCATGACTGCGAGGCATAATTGCTAGGAGCTGCTACTTAGCACGCATGCATAGTTTCTGTTTTTCTTCATCTGGCAGAGCTCGTGATCTCACAAACGTATGAACAGTAATCATAAAAATTCCAGCTTTCTTTTTGGTTACGTGCACACGAAGTATGAGATGATGGGAAAACTGAGTGGAGCTTATTATGTTCGGTATAAATACTGAGCTCTTTGACAAGCTATTAATTGATATGTTTTCGTTATGTGTTTTATCAGTTAGAGAATTTTTCATACGAGAATAAAATATTTCCTCCGAATAATTTCATTAGATGCGCACAAAGGCAAAAAAATAATATCAGAAGTATATCTCTTTGTAATTTATTGCTAAAACTTTCTACTTCAAAATTACAAAATTTTCTACTACAAAGAAATAAAAAAAAAATAAAAATAAAATTACACGATTTTAAATCTCTAAAATTTTGTAGGAAATCATAATCAGGTCAAGAGAATACAACTTTTCAGAAGCTGTAAATAAAAAGATGGGATCAACGGCCAACGCAGAAGATTAACTCAAAATCTCTATGACTCAAGAATAACATTAATCCTCTTTTAAAAAACTTGTTGGTTGACAGGAGTTTTATCATTCGGACGAGTAACATTATGTTCACAAGGATTCTTATTCTTTGTTCTATGTGTCAAATCAGAAATATTACGAAATCTTGCCATGTGTCGTCGTGGAAAAAACTTATGAATTTATAAAAAATTTGTTGAAATATCATGAAGAATAGACTCCAGGACAAAGCTTGTTGATTAACTGTACTTAAATCGTCCAAATTTACTTATAGCAATAGTGCGGAAACAGCTAAGAAGACTTTTTGCATCATTGAAATGGCAAATTACTTCGGACTATATAGTATAGCAAATAAGAAATTTTGACATTAGCGCCCGTTTTCACTTGACGTAATCTCTACGAAAGTTGGTGGTTTTGTTCTCCTAAGGGTTGGCTCGCGAGGAAGAACTTTGATAAAAAGTTACCCCTCGATATTCTCGCTAAAAACTAACCTGTATGGCCGCACTTTATGTGAGGTATTTCATTCGTATAGTTTAGGCCGGCATGATCATGTGCATGAGCAAGCAAAAATGATGCGTGTGCTAGGAGGAGCGAGGTAGTTGCATTTAAATATATAACATGTCATCTATTGCATTTTTCGCATACATTAATAATGCTCGATCATCTTCGACCTTTATTAAAAAATATGGATAATTTTAATTACATTCAAGTTAATGACAAAATTATTTTATTTGGTAAAAAAATTATTTTAAATTTAAACTTTCGTCCAATAAGTGCATTGAGGTTGGTTGGTAGCATAAAAAGTTTTCACGTACAGACTCATCGCAACGTCAGTATGTACTAAAATGAGAACGCTATTTCATCCGAAAATTTGATAAACGTATATTCAAAATTTATCTTCGAACAATAACTTGTGAGAAGTGTTGAATTTACATGAGTGTTGAATTTACGCGTGAGAATTATTTAATTCCTCTGAGGAAAGAAGTGAATTCGATATTTATTCCCATTGCTTCTGCAGTTCCTGCCACTGCAGCTGCTGTTCTCGCCATTGATGCTGCTGTTGTCGGTGACGCTCTTGCAAATTATCACTGAAAAAAATTAATTGGTTTTCAGTGACAAAATATATTTGATTTCAGTAAAGTTCATTTAATGGGTAAATGTGCCATAAAAATACAGCCGGTAAATTTGATTATCTTTTAACCAAAATGAGTTTTGTTTTTAGCCTACAATTTATTGGAAAATATGTATGTTAACTTTCAGAGAAGTTTTTCTCAATAAAAGACCTATTGTGTCAGAGCCGGACCTCTAAGGTACCTCAATAACTTCACGACAAAACTTAATTAAACGTAATTAAAGCCTTCATCTTCAATGCTAACGAGAGTCTTGCCTGTCCATTGTCCACGTCCACTCTGTAGCCAAAAGTTATTGACGATAGTTTTTAAATCTGTGAACTAGTTACGAAAATTACAAGAATCCCATTCAGGCTTAAGTTTTCCTCTTCATGAGCGCTACAATGATATGACATGCTTTACTGTGAAGATAAAAGAGCCATAATATTTTGGCCGGTGATATTTATCGATGACATCTCCGCTTTATAAGCTATACTAGCGTATCAATCAGAGAAATGTTTGAGACTTTGTGTAAAAAGCGATACAGGAGTTTTCCTTGTATCAGTTCTATCGGTGCAAAGAGTGCCACTATTTGGTCATTGTAACACATTTATTATTCAGAGTGAATGCATTTAAATCACGACACGAACCAGCAACTGCATTCAATTGAACCTCAATAAATTAATTCGTTAACTGGAGCCTACATTCTCAATATTACCTTTCGGCATCATACTCGTCGACTGGGTAGGTGTCGGTCACTACTTCAGGTGGAGGTGACAATGGTGGAGTTGTGGTGAGTGCGGGGATCGATGACACACTTGTTGTGTTAGCCGATGACACACTTGTTACTGGTTCAGTCACTCGGCCGCCCCGCCGGATCATGATGCTCGTCCGCCACAGAGAATAAAGCGGACCACGGAAATCATACCAATAAATTCCGCTGTATTCGTGATCCTGTGGTACCGGACCGTGGAGATACTGGCCGTTCAAGTTACTGTGACAAAACCAGCGGAAATGGAAACGCTTTGGAAGGAAAGTTGGGTGCCATTAACATGAGTATTAAACATTAAGTGCATTACCAAATGCTTATGTAATCAACCAAAACAACTTTAATAATGCGAAAAACATTTAAATGTTCCCAACAAGCGTATAGGTGTTGAACACGAACGTTTAAAATCGAAAAATTTATTACGATCTTTATTAGATTTCGCTCTCTGGTGTTTGTTCTCTGTGAACGTGAAGATTTTGGAAGAAGCGACATAAGTAATAACATACCACAACATAACATAGTGATGTCGGCGCTGAAGTGTAGGCCTGATGTGGCCTGTCGCCGATTCTTTTCCTTTTCGTGCCTTGTTCATAGATCTAAATTCGTGTCATTTGATACAGAAACTTTCAAGATCTATTTCTCTCGCTTTCTTGAAAATTTAATTTATTTATATTCTAATTTCAAATTTTATGTATGACTCACACGCACTGTAGTCCATTAGTAAAAAATTTCACAGTATAATACTGAATCATATTCATTTCGATATGTGTGGATACCTTTGATAAAAGATATAATTACGATGACATACCGGTCAAGAGTGGGGCTGCTCATAATAGTGCGACAAATATCAATACCAGAAGCATGAAAGGAAGAAGTTACATTTACCAACAGCAACATTACTGAACATGATTACTTATATGTTGCCACTCTGTAAATGAAATCCTGTTGTTATAAGTACCGTTTTTGCTGCACTTGTAACCAATCCGCGTGCAACTAATGTGGAATAGGAAATTTAGAATTAATTTAAACATTGAAAGGCAGGGTGAGATACACTTGAGTCCCTCACCTGCATCACCGGTGTAGTGGCCAAGAAGCTTGAGGGCATAGCCTTCTGCTTCACTGCCAATGGCAAAGGCAGAATATAACACACTTCTACCAGTCCAATCGATCTGAAAATTTCCACACTTGTGTAAAGTCGGAGGCAATGCATGAATCAATTGACAGAATGAATAATTTTGATTTTTTTAATTTTCAAAATAACATATAAGTTAATTTTTTTTAATATTTGATAATAAAATCAGAAATTCATTGTAGATGTGTTACAGCGGAGACAACGGATTCTTTAGAATTGTTGTCTTTAAAAAATAATTTTTAAACGCATATTATTAGCTGTGAATTAGCAAAAATTTGGCCGGCAATGTTCGTTTGCGATACGTTAATACGTGAGTAAAATGCTTTGAGCAAGTGTCTTGACCAACCTGTTGTTGCATGCTTAGGTGCACCCATCTCTGTACTGGTTCGAAATCGTATTATAGTTTCTTCATTTCAGTGGTGCCTACAAACAACCATGCGTCCACTACCGATTCATGCTCGGCCATAGGTATTTCATCATAATTAATTGTGAACTAACCCGGCCAAAAGTTGCACGTGAAGAGTACGAGCTCCCACGATGGCAGGTGCAAGAGTTTCAGGACGTGCGGTTTGCCGTGTGTAATTTGCACTCAATAAATTTGTGCTTAAATCATAAGCAGGTCGTAATTTGGAACAAAATTATTGTTCAAGGGATGTACTATAATTATTAGTTAAAAGGTAAGAAATCCGCGAGCCTATCAGTGAAGGCATTTCTAGGCAAACTAACGAATAGATTTTTACTTTTTTTATTAACTAACGAATTTTAGATAATCATCTAAAATTGTGCAAAAAATTATTAAATTTGTTGTAAATTATTTATTTATTTATTTATTAAATGAATACTGTAGTCCTGTGCAAACGAGATCTAGCATACGGACTGCAGAAACACGGATGCGTAATTTCATATAAACGAAACTACAAATTATACTCCCTGAAAAAGTTCAGACAAGCTACTTGTTGCCGGTGGAAGCAAATAACCAACAGACATCGCACTCAACGATGACTGCTTTGGATCACATTAGGCTTTTTGTTCCTGAACCGTTAGGACGGAGTGGCGAGCCGGTGCACTCAGACAAAGAAATGTGTCATATTGACCAAATGACAGATTTTCTTACACAGAGCCAAATTATGAGCAGACGTAGCACTGATACGCTCTTTTGCTGGGTCAAATTATGTTAGGATGGCCCACGGGAAAAGTGCATCGAAATTTCGACAAGGTTGCTTTCATTTCTCTGAGGATAACGATGGAAGGATCCGGCAAGGTGTGCAGAAGTAAGGATACGGCGAGGTGTGCAGAAGTAAGGATACTGCTAAACCAGGTTGGCCTTCCTACGTTCTCTATCAAGCAATTCACGTGAGCTGTCATTAGCGACTTCAGATAAATCAGCTGTCTTGTTCTTTACTTCCGTATTTTGCAACTGAGCCTTCACTTCAGTCAGCTCATTGCATAGCGAGCTCAGTTTGTTACTCAGCGAGCGCACCATCTCACTCAAGGAGTTTACTACATCATTCAACAATTTCGACTCATTGCCGTGCTCTTCCACCAAAATGATAGCTTGCAAAATATTCACTTAATTCTTATTTTGATTTTGAAGACCAGCAGGCCAAGAAATTTATTTTGGAGTAGTAACTGAAAATTTGAATGGTTAACTGCCATTTTTCAGCTGTGAATGAGCGAAAATCTAGCCGGCACTATTCGTTTGCAATACGTTAATACGTGAGTAAAATGCTTTGAGCAAGTATCTTAACCAACCTGTTCTTGCATGCTTAGGTGCACCCATCTGTATACAGGTTCGAAATCGTATTATAGTTTCTTCATTTCAGTGGTGCCTACAAACAACCATGCGTCCACTACCGACTCATGCTCAGCCATAGGTATCGCAGCCATAAGTATTTCATCCCCAGGCATACCATAGGTATTTCATCACCTGGCATACCATAAGTATTTCATCACCAGGTATGTATAGTATAGGTATCGGCCATAGGTATCTCATCACCTGGTATCGCAGGCACGGTACCACCAAGCGCCCTTGTGGTTCACGGCGCAGTTCTGCTCAGGCCAGGCGTCGCTGTCCGAGTCTATGGTGCTCCAGCGCTGGCCGACGTGGTAGCTCAGAGAGTCCCCTGAACCACAGTTATTTAGTGAGAAATAATTGAAGATTTTATATTAATAACATTCGAAATTCAAACTTCAGCAGTTTTCTTGTAAATAAAATGGAAATACTCAAAAGATGTTGCTTATTTTTAAGCCTCTTACTGAGACATTGAAACTTTCAATACCTATTTCTCTCGCTCACTTGTATATATAATTTGTTTTAATTATAATTCCCAATTCTATTTATAATTCACATAGAAGCTTGAGGGCATAGCCTTCTGCTTCACTGCCAATGGCAAAGGCAGAATACCGAGCCACCGCCGACACTTGGTTGAAGTCATCCAGCTGGATGCGAAGCTCACTGACCTGAGAATGATACGTCTCTTTGCTTTTAAATTTAAGTAAATTCGTATTAATGTCAGAAATTGTTGGCATCATGTCACTGAAATTGAAGCTAGTTCACCAGGTCAATGTCGGTATAATGAGGAGCGTTGGTTTTTAGTTTCAGAAGGTAATAATATTAGTCGAAAATTGCGGCAAACTCAAATATTGCATTCAAGCATTGTCAGGACTGATATACAATAGAATAGAATAGAAATGTGGGCACTGAAGAAATAGGCCCATGGCCTGTTGCCGATTCTTGAATTTTTCGTGACTTGATTCACAGGGGAAAGGGATATAGCAACACGAACGATTTTTTCGGCGTGATCTATGCCAGTTTTACTTGTTCGATGTTCCCGACTGCATCACGTGTGTCATAAAATTACGAAAAAGGAACACTAATGGATCGATGAAAGTTCATGTGTATTATAACTAGAATTATTTGTTAGCAGACAATTCATTAGTGCGTCGCGTCGACCTCTACCCTTCGATGGTTAGTTTAAGTCCTCTGTTTCCTTTCGTGTTCTGCCTTAGCTAGCGAATTATTGAAATTAAGAGACGTACGTATTGCGCGGTGAGGTCATGAATGTGGTCGTTGCCAAGCCAGAACTCGCCAGCGAGGTTCCCGAAGCCATACTTGTAGTCTTGCCAGTCACGCAGGAAGTCCACGGAACCGTCCAGACGACGTTGTAACACCTGTTGCAGAGAACGGCAGAGTCGTCATAGTACCTCTTTAACGTCAGAGAGGTCCTCGAAATTCTTCAATAATAATCGAATCGTCTAAGAAAATCTGATATTCTTCAACAATCGAATCGTCACCGAAATTCTTTAACATTCGAGTCGACCCCGAGCCTTTCAACGACAAAGTCGTCATCGAGCCCCTTCAAAGTCAGAATTTTCATCAGCAAAATTCAACGTTCGAGCAATCACTGAAACTCTTCAACTTCACCACAGAACCTTTAAGTTTTAGAATCGTTGCCGAACCTATTTGACTTCAGGGTCGTTGCCGAGCCACTTACCGAGCCATGTGGTTTTTAAATTGAACAATCATGGCGCACTCATATAATTAATAAAATTTAAAAGTTGTTCGAATTTTGACTTCATTAATGTGACCAATCGCACTAATTAAATTAACCAGGAAAATTAGACAAACTCTTGAGATCTTACGCACCGTCCATCCTCCCCCGTCAGTCTCCAGGTCGCAGTAGGCGAAGAAGGGACCAGAGGCGTCCCTGGGCTGGATGCGGTACACACCGGAACTGACGACCTGCGAGGACTTCTTCGCTCGCTCCTGCACCTCGTAGCAGTCCATGGGATCTCCTGAGAATTCATGTCATTGATGATGAATATGGTAAATGTGTGACTTATAATGAAATAACAAGTAAATGTGTGGATTTTACCATTGATTCGGATTACTTATGTCCACTAATGAGGAACATACTAGCCCGATTGAAAATTTTCACAGAACGTGTTAAAGTTGTTCAATTAAGGTATCAAGTAGTCTTTATGATAATAATAATCATACTTAGCTGCTCAGGGTTCCTGTGGTTCAAGGAAGTGGGTATGACAATGGGTGTGTGGAGCTGGCTGCTCTTCAGCTCCGCCAAGCTGCTCCTTAGAAACGCTTTAGTTACCGCGCTCTCGCTGAGACGTTGAAGAGAGCTACAAGGCATTGCATAAAAAATTCGACACTTTAAAACTTTAGAACTTTGTATTATTTACTGAAATTTACAACAGGCATTATGAGGCAATTCAATGAACCTTGTTTGTCTGATTTTTAAAGAAACATTGTTTAATTTTTAATATTAGATTCTTGTTGCTTATTTTATTCGTTCGGCACCACTCATCCAGAAGTTACTATATGCCTTAGTATGGCTTCAACTATAAAGATATTTAACACGTGATGACATTGTGACGTTGCCATTTTTCTGCAAACCTCATCACTTTGCGGATAGTCTACTATCTCATAATCAATTTCCAAAGGGACTCGATTGCACAAAATTGCATAAAATACAAGCAAACAAGGATAAAGTTTTAATCTCACTTGGATACGTTGTTCCAGACGGAGGCGTTCTGCGTCAAGAACTCCAATTGCCGCGCGGTGTTTTGGCCCAGATTTCTGACACCGTGCACCGCGGCCAGCACAGACTTGAGGCGAGCGCCTTGCCCACCCTCGGCGTTGCCCTCAGACGCAGCAGATGCCGCGGCGCCTTGAACGCATTACATGCTCGGTATTTTAAAAGATTTAAAAAAATTGCAGCTTTGGTAGCACAATAAAAAACAATTAGATTTTGTTAGTCCGTCAGTCACTCACTATCGGGGTTTCAAGTTAAACCTACAAAAAAGGACGAGAAATCGGCGTCTACGTGTACTTGAGTTTTTACAGTAGTGCCTTAGATAAGTGCTAATGAGTATTTATTGAAAGTGGCCTTACCCATACCGCGAATGGAGGCACAAACATGAAATTCATCAATGTTCATTGGTTTGTCAGCAGTATAATTGGTTTGTCAGCAGTAGCACCATATCGAACCAGGTGGAAGTCTAGTAGCTACTTCAAACTATCGTCAGTCATGAAAAGATCCGGTCAAATGAAACGATATTAGATCTTCTGTGAACAAGGCACGAAAATGAAAAGAATCGGTGACAGGCCACATCAGGCCTACACTTAAGCGCCGAGATCAATATGTTATGTTATGTTATAATGTCCGGAAAGACATTATTTATACATGAGAGTTTAAAGATACAGAGACAGAATAACAGAGATATACGACGAGTGTTATAATACAGAAAGACTCAGAAGGTCACTCAACTTTCATTTTTTTTAAAGGAACGGGAGGAGACTTGATTAATTTATCGATAATTGGGAGGAACGAAGCAATAAAATCATAATTTTTCGTTAAAAACAAGGAGACGCTTCACTCGTATTTGGAAATGCTGGATCATTGAAGTAGTGCCCTTCGCAAGAAGGGGCCGTGCTGCTTGACAATGATGAGGAGCGTTGCAAACGCCCCGCCACCCATTAAATCAAATTACGAGCAAATTATTCAACCGGAATCAGTATTTTAAGGCTTTGGCAAATTTCACTCAATACTAAGAATGGAAAAAAGAATACCAATGCCAACACAATGAACAAAAAGTAAAATAAAAATGAAATTAATAAATTGAGATAAACATTTGTTGCATGTTTTACCAAACCACGTTAAATTGTTATGTCTCGATTATATCACATAGTTCATTGATTCAAGTTTGCAATTTACCTGCAGCTTGTTGCACGTCCAAGGACGCCTGAATTTTGGTATTCTGAGCTGCTATTGCCACAAGCGAAGCTCTGAGCTCGTCCAGTCCGTCTCTGATCTTTTCGAGTTCAAAATCTGACGTCTGTAGCCGGTGTCTGACAGCAGCCGACAGCTCGTTGATGGCTGACTTCTGCTCCTCTCCAGAGACCTCCAGACGAGTTATTCTAGAAAAAATACGGTGCATCAAGTTGGAACATTTGGCGGAAAAATTATGTGATTTAATCGTTTTTCAAATCCAAAATTGTCCTGCTACTTTTTCATGTGAAAGGATTTTGCATTGCAATGAATTTTACCGCATTACGGAATAAATAAGTGTAAAAAAATAGTCATTAAAAAAGATAACAGTCACTTTCGATGCCATAATGAGACGTCCGCTAACCTGTAATTGACTGAGTCGATTCGTTCTGCCCGTTGAGTCTGGGCAGATTCAATAGCAAGAAGTCTGTCGCCGACTCTTTGCAATAACAAAGTTATACCATCCAGTCTCTGGCGCTCCTCAACACGATTATTAGAAAAATTGTCTCTGTAACGGCCAATTCTCCCAGCTTCTTCACCCTCATCTTGGCTTCGGCTACTTGCTAGTCCTACACCTACGCCGCGATGAGGCCCTCTAGTAGCACGAGAACTATCACTTCGTGATGAAATAGATGTATAGTCTCGAGTCGGTTCAACATCCAACCTTCTACTTCTAGCGTCACTGCTCTCCACTCTTCCCATGAAACTTTGATCATCTTTAGATCCACTGCCCACATGGCTGTCAGTTTCAGCTGCTGCGTCTTCGGTCCATGGCAAACTTTGCCCGCGGTTCCTGTACAACAATCCGCTGCCTCGGCCTCCCCATGCCGAGCTCGAAGCTACCCTAGAATCCATGTTGCTCCTGTGCACAGATTCTTGTGAATTTTCACGCATGGAAATTCTGCCATAGCTCGAAGTGGGCTCCGGGTTGTAAGTGTTGGCTACATTTTCATTCTCTGAATGAAATCGAACATAGCTAGGAGCGAGAGATGGCCCAATGACTGGGCTGAGGTCCTGTCGGAAGATCAAAAGTGGTTTTCCTAAAAATACATGAAACTTCAACTAAATTTAAATACAACCATAATGGGCTCAGTAACATACAAGAAATTTTTCTAAATCATCAACCATTATAGCGTTAACTGAAAGACCGGATTACGTTATTAAGCATTATTTATTAACAAGAAAAAGAAAATGCAGAAATAATTTTTTAAATGATTAAAGAATTTTCAAATCCCACCGGATTTCTTTTGACGCTGTGAATCGTAAAGATGCTGTCAGGATCAGTGTAGGCGCGCTGCCGTCCCACTGCTGGAGGCTGAAACAGTTACGGTAAGGTTCAGTAGCTGGGCCATACTTTCAAAACTCGCTAAGTGAACGTAAGACTTACGCTCTATTTTCTTGTCTATGATTGGTGGATTTTGCTTGAAAGGCCGTCAATGATTGGCTGATGGACTTACGATCTCTTAGCTTTATTTGAAAGTATATGGCCCCTGTATGCTAAATGAGAAAGAATATCATACACTCATTGTCAGGTGAGACATAACAAAATTTCTATTCTGATTGTCATAACTACATATTTTCTCAAATTCTAAAGCACATTGAACTTCCCCACACAAATGAAATGAATAATATCGTAAATATTAATTAGCGAATTATTACAATCTAAAGTATGGGGGTTATCAGACTTGGTTGATTTATGATACTCATTAGCTACATATACTATAGTATAGACTATCGAGCATCAAAGATGCAGTCTTTGTCAGCTTAATTTTATGTTCATTGGAACAAGAAATGATGCTGAACCATGTTTTTTTTTACTGGGAACGTAGGTTTTGACTAACGTAAGTTAAGATAATTTCAATTTCGGAAGCAAATGAAGCGAATTATTTCTCTGAAAACTGAATCTCACTACTAGTCGTAATTTTAGCCAAATCAGTTGATATAGATTCTAAATTAATCATTTAAAGGGTTTTCATTTAGTTGTGATTTTCTCAGTAGTTTATTTTAACAATGAATTAATTTCAAATATTCTTGTTTTAAAATGTTTCACGTATTCTCTACGATATGAATATACCTGCGTCGAGATTTCTCCTTGATTTTGACCAGGAAGTTGTTGACCATGAACAACCACCAGCACTGTCATAAATATCGTCACTGAAGGCAGCATTGCAATGTATCAACTAAAATGCTCTACTTCAGCTCATGGTATTAGAAGGTAACGCTATTATGGACCGTGAGAGAACAGTTTCTGAAGGAGTGGAATCTTTTCAAGTTGGTGAGAGGTTCAGTGATTTAATAGAACTTTTTTCAAATTTATTATTTATAATTATTTTATAAGCTTAAACCCATCTTAAATTTAGTCATGTGTGAAAGATGGGGTGATCTCGCTCGTTAACAGTGGAAAATAGTTTACGTTCATTTTTAGGTGAAGTGCAAAAAAATTAGCTTTGTATTGTGAAACTATAGTCAGGTGAGAAAGAGTATCGAATAATCACTAGTAAGATAAATGTCCATTTGTTGTTATATGCCAAAGTGCGGCAACAATGATTCCTAATAGTAACGTTTAAGCTCAACATCAAAAAATAGAACAAAAATCTCTTTCGTTCATATAGCTTTTAAAATTATGTCACAAACCGAGAAATCACGGTTAATATATTAAATAGAAAACTGTCATTCCATAGTTTAACTCCAGAAAATCTAGCAACATTTATCTGCACCTATTCCGAGCACTGTGAATGCAATAGCATTTATGCATTCAAGCTTTCGTTAGAATTGTAAAATTCGTGTTGAAATTATAAGCCCCTCTGAGCATTTCTCGCCAGATTCTTTTATTATTGTTATGGCTAAAAATTGTTGTGTATAACTGGCAATGATTTCCTTGATTATTAAAATGTACGGACTGAAATTTTCAATGGTGATGAAAGCGGCAAGTCTCTCGCTAAACTGAGAGGTACGAGGGAGCCTTGAGGGACTCTACTGTATGGCATTGTCTGTTTAGCTCATCAGAGAGACACACTGCACGCTCCTATATGTATACAACAACTCAGTTAACTGAAGTAAAGCTTGCCCATGTGGAAAATAAACTGCAGATATACATTTGCAACATTTTCAATTATATTCTTCCTATAACAAAATAGCATTGAATAGCAAATAGCCATTAAATTGATAGGAAATTATAAAAATTCGCTCATGACAAGAGAAATGTTGTAATTCTGGTGTTTCTGAGTAGTTACGTTTAATTTTACAGTTGTTTAATTATTTTACTGAAGAGTGAAAATTAATCAAAATAGTTCACTGCATGGCGTAATACTCCTAACTCAGTCGTTATATCAAAATAATTTCAACATTATTCAACATTTCCGAAAGCCATGTCTATTCTTCCCATATCAGTAGCGTTACACTCGGTGTTCCATAATTCTGGAAGATGGCAAAATTCTGTGGGAAAATTATTATCATTGTTCATGTTCATTGTACGTGATTACCGTCNTTTTGATGTATGCTTTTCATTAAATTTTAACTCAATAAACTATCGCATTGTTACGAAAGAATGAACGTTTAATTGTTTGTTCTCTCCAGGAGTAAAGTACAAGGGGAAGAGAAATTCAGACTTTTAATCTGCTAATAATAGTCAGACCTAGAAGTCATAATTGATTTAAGTGCTTATAGTTTGTTCGTATATTATGCGTAGTATTTTTTGGCCAATCACAGCTAAATAATTTATTCGAATATTGAATAGAGAATTTTTCACTCATTCATACATGCAGTAAATGGGGCAAGTTGAGAACACTTGAATGTACTCTTTGTCAATCGTTAAAAATACATCCGTTTAAAGAGGCATTTCTGCCACTCCAGAATTCAGTGTCCGGCTGAAATTAAAGCAGGAGTTAATAGAAGGAGAGATATTTAATTCGTGATTTACGTGTTGTCAAAAAAGTCGAAATTATATTTCAAAACAGCTCACGTATATAGTGTTAAAGGAAGGCAAGCCTTCGTTCGGATCGCATTCATGTCACGATCTTCACTTTTTCCAAACAGTTTCTCTTGTTCCAAATAAGAATGCAAAATACTAAGCAAAAGTCACGTCAAAATTTTCACGGTAAACGTAAAATAATAAATTTTAGAATTCATGATGGTTGATTAATTAAGTAAGTCAAAATTTGATTCCTAAATAATCAGTGTAATTTTTAAATATAATTTTTTGATGTTTAATTGATTCACCATAATTTAAGGGTCAACATTTTAAAGGTAATCGTAAACTAATAAATTTTAGAATTCATGATAGTTGATTGAGTCAAAATTTGATACCTAAATAATCCGTGTAGTTTCTGAATATCCATTTTTGGAGCCTAAATGACTCACCATAAGTGACATCATTTAGCCAAATAATTGGCCTCTGTAGGGAATTATTTACGGTTGAGATACTTTTATTATGGGTAGTAAAATTTCATCATAAAAATGTCTCAAGAGGATGGTGTTTTAATTCCTTGGAATATTTTCAACAATTTTTGTATCATTATTATTGAGCATCATGCACAGCGGTCGTGTGAGCGCTTAATTGTGAGCTTAGTACAGGGTGTACCAGAATTAACTGACCCTTTTAATTTGTTAATAAATAAAAAACTAAGAATGTTATGAAGTTGAAACTTGTTTTATTTAAAAGAAGAACATTTTCATGGTAATATTGTATCATAGTTACGTCATCATCCTGTATAGCTTGCTAAATTTGTGTTTAATTATCAAGCCTTAAATTTTCATCATGATTCGCTACAGTAAAGAAGAAAGAACGAAAATTCTGCAAACCTACATCAGGACGATGTCAATAACAGAAATTCAACGTGATTACAGGATCCATTTCAAAACAAGAATCAGTCCTTCAAAAAAAAAAAAATAATTTTTTCTAATGAAAAAAAAACATTTTTCGCCAGAATTACTAATGAAGGTTATGAAAGCAACGAAGAGAAGAGCCCTATTTTGTCAAAACAATTGTGGTGGGCATTTAAAAGATATTATATTTAAAAAATAGGATACAATATTACCATAAAAATGTTCTTCTTTTAAATAAAACAAGTTTCAACTTCATAACGTTCTTAGTTTTTTATTTATTAACAAATTAAAAGGGTCAGTTAATTCTGGTACACCCTGTAGTTAGTATTATCAGTTAGTAATATTAAGTTTCAGTATATAGAATATTTCAGCCTATATGAACATGCATAATAAGTAAGCCCTCAAAACTTAATCTAATTTTATAACATGGTACAAACTTGAAAAGTACATCAAGATTCTACAGATTTTGAATGAGGCGCTGAGCTCATGAGTGTAAAAATCTTTCGACTCATTCCTGATGGCATATTAATAAAATAATTATGCTTTAAATTCCCATAGAGAAATTAGCCGATTCTATATTAGTATGTAATGCTTGTTATGTAGCTCTTAAAAACCCATGCCATTACCAAATACGATGCAACATGCGTATAAATACTCGATAAATTAACGCATTAACACGTATGCTTCTATACCAGAACGAGGAATATTCAACGTTAACTCAATCAGGGTCCATTAGCACGTTGATAAACGATAAAGGTCGGTGTGGTTAATGAAAACACATTATCTTGCCCATTAGTGCCCATGTGGAAAATAAACTGCAGATATACATTTGCAACATTTTCAATTATATTCTTCCTATAACAAAATAGCATTGAATAGCAAATAGCCATTAAATTGATAGGAAATTATAAAAATTCGCTCATGACAAGAGAAATGTTGTAATTCTGGTGTTTCTGAGTAGTTACGTTTAATTTTACAGTTGTTTAATTATTTTACTGAAGAGTGAAAATTAATCAAAATAGTTCACTGCATGGCGTAATACTCCTAACTCAGTCGTTATATCAAAATAATTTCAACATTATTCAACATTTCCGAAAGCCATGTCTATTCTTCCCATATCAGTAGCGTTACACTCGGTGTTCCATAATTCTGGAAGATGGCAAAATTCTGTGGGAAAATTATTATCATTGTTCATGTTCATTGTACGTGATTACCGTCATCTCTATCGAGGTACGGAGCGCGGGACATCACCGTAATGATTCGATTGCTTATCCTTAGGACAAGTGATAAAAGATGATACTAAGGACAAATGTTTAACGGTGATACTAAGGACAAATGATTAATAAAATTTAAATTTATTAAAAATTTATTAAAACGGTGATACTAAGGACAAATGATAAACCGTTAGTGAATACGACTTTTGGTGTTTCAGACGCTTGCAGAAGAACGAAGTTTCTTTCATAGTCGAGGTCAAATGAATAATTGTCGTCAATTATAGTTCTTGCATCGCTTTTTTTCTTATCAAGCGTGCGATATGAGTTCATTTCCTGAATTTAAATACTATATATTAAATACTATACTGAATTTAAATACTATAACACTGCACGCCGTAATGAAGTGGAAATAAGGAATTAATCTAAGGAATATACATCTTCATGCTATTTCATACTATTTGACTATGCATACTATTTGACTATGTATGCAGATATCGTTAACTATTGTGGATACATCATACATATAATAGAAATTTAATATGATATTTGGTAAGTATTCAGAGAAATTAATTATTACTTTAATTTTATATTATAAAAGGAATTCTTACTAAAAAACCTTGTTATCAAAAATAGATGTGATTGCCCAAATCTAAAAGCGTCAGTTGAAGGTATCTAAATAGTTTTAGGGTTATATAAAGTTCAATTAGTATAATCTTTATTTTTCTACACTATATGCGTTTTTTGCCGCAGGAAATTACAGGGATGACTCACCTAATTGTCACACGTTCCGGTTACTTAAAGTTTAAAAAAAAATTATTCCACGCCAGGAATTATTTTTCAAACTTTTTCCACGGAGTACAATTTATTAATTACGTTTTTTAGACAATAATTAAACGCTATAATAATAACGGCATATATACAGACGAAAAACATTAGGAATATTTAAACCGTGATCCAAGTTCGGCGCTTAAAAAAATTAATTTTTCTTTTTCAGGGGGGTTTTAAATATGGAAGGAGATGTTTTTCGAAAAACGAGCACGAATAAAAAAGTTAAAGATTTTAATATGCGACTATATGGCCCAATTTTCAGGAAGATTAACACTCATCTGAAACTTTCGAACGGCTTGATTGCTATGAACGGTTTGATTGCTATAAGGTTTTGGACGAGGGTTGCAAGTAAATGAAAATTTTTCTGCTGCTCTCAACACTTTGAGAAAGATTGTTAAGATTTCTCGAGGTATTTAACGCAAAAAAGGGGATTTGATCGAACAACCGTTCCAAATAATTTGAAGGTGTAGTTCTCGTTGTGTCGTCACCGGATGCTCCTTGATACGTCACTCGCTATTGCGCGTCCGTAAAATGATAACACAGCCACTGTATTGCAGTGTCATATCTTAAAGCGTTTGGATTTTAATGCTTAGGATAATTGGATCATTACGTGAGTTCGAATTGCATATAATTTCACACATTGCATTTTATTTGTTTGTTTACTGGCGGTATCTCTCGTTACCAGGTCTTTAAGTACAAATATTAATGACGACAGTCGATGTAATAAAGGTTTATATTAATCCTTGTTATTACTTGAATTAATTGTGAACTAACCCGGCCAAAACTTGTACAATTGAAGCTGAAGGCTCCCACGATGGCAGGTGCTCGACGTTTCAGGACGTGCGGTTAGCCGTGGGTAATTCGCACTTGATAAATTTGCGCTTAAATCATAAACAGGTCGTAATTTGGAGCAATATTATTGTTCAGGGGATGTACTATAATTATTAGTTTATAGCTCGGAAATCCGTCAGCCTATCAGTGAAGGCTTTTCTAGCCAAACTAACCAATCATTCTCCAGAAATAGGCCGCTATAACATAGTGATCTCGGCGCTGAAGTGTAGGCCTGATGTGGCCTGTGTCTTGTTTTTGGGGATGTATGTAACGGATGTATGTATGTAACGGAACTTAGGCTGCGTCTTGTATTTGGTCACGTTTTAAAAGCACGGCAGATAAAGAAGTTTTGGCAATACAGATAATCGTCTATAGTTGTGCAAAAAATTATTAAATTATTTATTTATTTATTATTAAATGAATACTGAAGTCCTGTGCAAGCGAGATCTAGCATACGGACTGCAGAAACACGGATGCGTAATTTTATATAAACGAACCTACAAATTATATTCCCTGAAAAAAGTTCAGACAAGCTACTTGTTGCCGGTGGAAGCAAATAAGCAACAGACATCGCACTCAACTGTGACTGCTTTGGATCACATTAGGCTTTTTGTTCCTGAACCGTTAGGACCATGGTTGAATTAATACTGTATTAATTCAACCATGGTTAGGACGGAGTGACGAGCCGGTGCACTCAGACAAAGAAATGTGTCATATTATCCAAATGACAGATTTTCTTACACAGAGCCAAATTAAGAGCAGACGTAGCACATATACGCTCTTTTGCTGGGTCAAATTATGTTAGGATGGCCCACTTAAGGGAAAAGTGCACCGAAATTTCAACAAGGTAGCCTTCATTTCTCTGAGGATGACGATGGAAGGATACGGCGAGTTGTGTAGATGGAAGGATACGGCGAGGTGTGCAGAAGTAAGGATACGGCGAGGTGGGCAGAAGTAAGGATACGGCGAGGTGTGCAGAAGTAAGGATACGGCGAGGTGTGTAGAAGTAAGGATACGGCGAGGTGTGCAGAAGTAAGGATCCGGTGTAATAATCAACGGTCGGTTAGCAGATCAAGGTCGGTCGGTGAGTAAAACCGTACGCGCGATTCGTGAGCAGACAAGTGACGATCAGTGAGCGTATGTGAGAGCACGCGTGTCTTTGCTATCCGCTAGTCATGACTACGTCACGTGTATTTAAGGTACTTATAAGGGCTTGAATTTTCAATAGTGATGAAAGCAGCAAGTCTCTCAGTAGCAGAATAGAGATTATGGCCTATATATGGCAACAGACCACGGGCCTATTTCTTCAGTGCCGATATTTCTATTTTATTCTACGGGATTACATGCGTAATCTCGTCATATGAAATAATTGACGAGGTGAAACCTTTCGATGAATTAATAAATTCATGAAAATCCATTGTTGCTATAATGCTTAATGAGTGATTCCAGTATATTTCATATTCTTGGCGTGAATACAAGCACTCGTTTTTGGTACCTAATGACGAACACGAGTGTGTGCATTTAGGCGTTAAATTATAAAGAAACGTAAAGTGTCTGTCCAAATGGGGCATAATGCAGTCAATTAATCTGTTTTCATTTTTTCTTTAATTAAATAAAAAGACGCAATTTATATTAATCTATTAATCACTAAAGTTTATCAGTTTCCAATTTATTAAATACAGCTGTAAAACGGGCTGAGACATCCACACAGTCCTACAAACTATGAAATGCAAGGGTAGCGGTACAGCGACAATCAAAAATATTAACATTCGTTTTGACAGAATGAATTAGTTTTAGAATTAGTATTAAAATTAGCTGCAGCACATGAAGTGCGTTAGCCCTTCATGTGCTGCAGCTAATTTTGTTATTGATGAATGTTAGATTTCACGCTAAGTGGCAATGTTCTTGAGGTCAGTGTTCAAAATTACAGCACAGTGCTTGTTTACCTTAATTACAATGAAAAACGTGTTTCTGGAAACCCCCCCCCCCTTATATACTTTATTTCATTTAGTTACACACAATGTCAGCCTCCTAAATTTCTTCATTGAATCTCAATTGATTCAATCGATTTTTTCTCTGATTAATAAATACCTGGAGAAAATACCTGCAAATTAGTTAACAAGGACGAATTATCTAAAGGGTTTCCTGCAGTGTGAACTGAGCAGGACTTCGATAAAGAACGACCTCATGTGTGAAAAGATAGATAAGAGCACCAAATTGCCATATGCAATCTTAGGGTGACCAAGGTTACTGCTAGGAACACAGTTCCTGTGTAATGCTAGGGAGATAACACAGACTCTTACTCTATAACAATATAGCAGGTATATGTGCTGAAACATTGCCGACAGATCTTGCCAGATGTCGAACGTGATTTCAGCGTAGAATATTTATAGAGCGCTGGTATTATATTGAATTTTTTAAAAATAAATTAATTATGAAGTAATTGAAATTATGATAAATTAAAAATTATTATGAATTATTAAATAAATTAAATTTAATATTTGTTTGAAACTAATTTAATATTTAAGTGACAAATTAATCAAAAGAGTATAGTTAATCTGTTGTCCTATAGCAGTGTTCAAATTTGTATCATTCTTATTATGTTCATTTTAGGCTATCAACGCATGTGATTAAGTTAAGTTGTTGAAGCCATTTGTTCAGAAAATTTGTAAGGAAATTGTGTGTTATTGGACAGCTCCGGCTAATTATTAAAAACTTTTTTTTTCCAATGTAACTCAATTTGTTCTTACTGTGTTTCCCGTTGTATTATCATACACCCCTGTCTAATGGAACAAAATAAAATATACCTCATACTTTTTAGAATTGGCTCATAACTTTCCGTTGAGATTTATGATTTTATTATAGCATTAGTTTCCTTAGATTGCAAGTTAACCAAGAATTTAAAACGCAAAAACGCAAATAATAAGATAATTTATGAGAAATATACTCAGTTTTTTTTCTTTCTTTTAATTTGTTGGATAGCTTATTCTCTCTGATAAACATTTTTCCAGCGTCTGGTTCTGCTGTTGCTGCTGTTGGTGGTGGTCGGCACTACGGCGTCTCTGAAACCCAGCAAGTCAGAACAGAGAGAACCAGAGACCTCGACTGCGTCTCTGAAGCCCAGCAACTCAGAGCAGAGAGAGCCAGAGACCTCGACTGCTTCTCTGAAGCCCAGCAACTCAGAGCAGAGAGAGCCAGAGACCTCGACTGCTTCTCTGAAGCCCAGCAACTCAGAGCAGAGAGAGACAGAGACCTCGACTGCTTCCCATCAACCTGAAGGAATCTTTAAGGTATCATCCATGTTGATAAAGTTTCTTACATCTCCGAAAGCAACGGAAGAACCGAAAACTTCAAGTGCAAGTGAGTTGATTAATGAAGAAGATAACTTGGTGCTAGATCCCACTTCGCCCAAGGATTTTTCGAAAAAATCGGATGCAACTACAGGAAAAAATAATGATGAACAAATAAAAATCGAAGACAGTATAAAAGAGTTTGTTACTGCAAACACTTTACAAATAACTGATCCGGAAAAAGAGACACAAACGACCGTTGCTGATGGCCTTCATGTCGAGACCTCATATCCGCCAACTAACGCAGCGGAAATTGATTCTTCAACGGCTACTGCCTCTCCAGTCACGGAAGATGAAAAATTCGTAAATGAGATGCCAGAATCTCAAACATTCAAAACTTCTCAATTAAACACGGCGCTGTCCGGCAACGAACCCTTATCAGGACCATCACCACAAGTCTTCGGTCCATTGGACGACCTCTTCCCTGTTGTGTTTCCTCCGCCTGGGGTGGAAGGCCGTGAAAATTTCATTCCACTTCCCAACCTGGAACGCGGTGCTGTCAAACAACATTTCCAAGAAAAGAACGCTTTGAAAGAAGCAGCTTTAGCTGAACAACATCAATTGGTTGATGGTAAGTACCCAGTGTAAAAATATATTTCAATTAAGCAGCTGTAGTTCTTTCAAATATTTTTATTTGAATTTGGTTAGGCAGCTATAATCCTTTCATATATTTATATCCTGATTTCATTATGCAGCTGTAATTATTCAAAATATTCATATTTATATTTGATTAGGCAACTATAAGTCTTTCAAATATTTATTTTTAGATTTAATTACGCAGCTATATAATGCTTGCATGTTTTGATGCGAAAACTGAAATAGCTGAAACTGAAACAGAAGCCAGCTAAAGTGCAAAAATAGGCTTAAATTATCTACATTAAAATAATAATGTTTTAAGAAAAAAAACGAAATTTCTGAGTTTCGAATGACATATAAACGGTGATAACTTTGGGCAAATGGCTCAGTTTAGAGGTGAATCATAATGGAAAAATACAGAATATTTACGAGTACAATTCAGTACGTGCGGTCCATTGATAACAATCATGTTTAAAAATAATGAAAGAGTTTGTCCACCCCTAATTATAAAAAGTTTGTCCACACGGATGCTAGGTTCAAACATTTTACTTCATAGGAATACATAAATAGCGGCTTAATCACTCATACAATTGAAAATTTTACGCCTATTTCTTCACTATTAAGAGCTGCTTGCCAAGAGTAGCGCCGAGTCATCGGAGCGACCAGCGTTCGACGTGCGCGTGCGGACGCCAAAGCCTGGCAAGCAGCCTATGCTCATGAAGCTCCAGCCCAAGGCACTCGACAGCGCCGGAGTTAAAAGTATGATGTTATCTTATAATAATTTTATAAATTACGATAAGACTTCATGCTAATTTTATTAAGCAAGATGGAATCTTATTTTGTTGCAAAATTTATATCATAATTTTTTCACCGTAGCATTTTATATATTTTAAATTTTTGATCCTGCGCTAAATCTGGCATGAAACTAAACGAAAATTTTCGTTAAGGTGCAGAAATTAAAATAGCATTATGAACGAGAAACCAACAATAAGAGGTAGAATGTCTAAAAAAATATCTTGAGCGACTATTTAATCATGAAGTCACAAGTTGAAATGACAGACATTGAAGATACACAAATAAAAATTTTGTTTTCAAGTTTTTTTATGTAGCTATTTGAGTTATAGGGAACATATTCATACAATTTTCGTGATGTGTTTATTTTTAAATTTGAAAAACAACTTGTTAATTTGTTTCATTCCCTAATTTTTTATAAAAGTTTATAATCATTGAATAATTTTCTAAAATTCTTCTATTTTCTTCTTATGATTCTCAGAATCGTTTTTGGATTCCGAGAGAATAGTGAGACCACATCACAGTTTCATCAGCGAAGCTGGCATTGACGTTGAAGCTAAAGGCGACAACGGACAAATAAAACGCGTGCCACACCCCCGAGATGACCACTCAGTCCTGCACCTGCTAAATCAGCAGCAAGGGGATCTAGCAAGTTTCTTCGAATCCCAAGGAGGCCTCCTTCCCGTAACCGGCCGAAGCAATTTTTTGCAGCCTTATCTCGGAGGCAATAATCTGATTTTCCACCAAAATGATCCTTTCATTCGTCATGACAACAACTTCCTAGGGGTAACACCATCACCGGGAGTATCATTTTCGACCCTATCGCCAGGGTTATTGGGAATTACTGATAACAATTTTGCATTTTCGCCTCGGCAGCTGGCAGCATTTGCTGACGACAGGACTATTTTTCATCGACCAACAGCGGCACCGTCGCTATTAGAGAGCATTACGACTTTTCAAAATGATCAGCGCCGGCCCTTGACTCGAGATCACTTCCTTAACGTTGATAACCAACATCTTTCTCCGTTTGTCAGACCACGAGAACCAAATTTGAAGGTTCCATTTCAGAACGAGTTCTTCGATGAAGGTGAAATAAACTCAAATATTTTCGTCAGACAACCATCAGCTTTCCCTTCGTTCGATGTCACAGGGAGACCTATTATCACTTCTCATGACGATAGCCTGTTATCAATCGCAAATAACGACAGAGGAAATTCATTTGCTCTCAGGCCAGCATCGTTACGCCCGACCACATTACGCGATTCGTTTAATCCTTCAACATATTTCAATTTTGCCTCTCCCACTCAATCTGACCAGATAAATCCTTTAATAGGATTAGGAGGACAAAACACTGTCATCACCCACACTACTCCTAGACCTTTCCATATCATCCACGAAGAAACTGCAGTAGTGACACCTTCCTCTTTGAGGTTTTCGCCCACCACGGCCTTTCCTCCTCAGAGTTTCAGCGCAAGCACTTTCAGGCCTTCAGAAAGACCCTTCCTCTCAACAACTCTTCGACCATTTCTCTCCAGCACCATTGCGCCGATTATAGAGACTGAGTACTCGAAAGTCAAAGGCCCTCATTCTGGGCGAGGGTCGTCAAGATATCGACCTCGGCAGAATCCGAACGTCCTAACCAGATTTGATCAAAACCTCAACCAGCTCACGGACTACAGCTCCCAGTACCATTCCGGGGAGCATCTCAGCCACGGAAATAACAAGGTGAGTGCACTATGAATCTCTAGCTTCAACCCCCCCCCCAGAAAAATAGGAAGGAGATAAAAATTTTCCTCGGTGCAATTATTATGATTTTTCCGTGAATAATCGAACTAAAATCCGACGATGGTGTCAAAGTACATGGGACGCTCACGAACAGAAGTGAATCAGAATTTGCGTTTTTTGCCGATATTTAGGTGCAATCACAGCACAAACTGTTAATAATGAGGAAGCAGAATTCTACTGCCTGTCAATAGTCCAAGCGATGCGATCGTTTTATATTCGATTGATAACGAACATTAAACTTCACCTTATATTCATAAACGCATTTATTAAAGAGGCCCAAAGAAATACCGAACCAAGCAAGAGCTGCAAATTTAATCTTAACGTAATCAAAATTACCTCGTGCATAATTATATATGCAACAGATTTATGACGATTTTTAACCTTGCTCAAACCATGAATCTTACTTAACGCGCCGTAAAAAATATTATTTTAGTATACAAAAGTAAAAAATTAAATTGTTTTACGTAATTAACAATTTTTTATTTGGTTAAAAAATCGCGCATGCATGCGAAGATTCCGGTCTTCAGAGCAGCAGTGTGGGCCGAGTCAGGTTCACGGTCGGTAAGCAAACGAGGAATTGTTTAACGTGATGACGTCATTCGGTGCGTTTCCTGTAGCTGTGTTTATTACTCAGTCTATTTTTTTACTCTAATTTTATTACTGCGACGTCTTCACATTAAGAACTCATTATTTTCTGGTGATGACAGAACCGGATGTATTAATCTATACTTCTGAAACTTTGTCCTTTGCTACATCTGAAGATTGACTACCGGAAACCAAAGGAAGGTTGGCTTTGACTACAAGTTTCATGAATCATGTGCAATGTCTAGGCGTCTGAATGCTTTTCACTCTAGCACGTGATAATAAATAGTTTACTCCTGGACCCGTTCGCTGGAGTTCCTGCCATCACTTTAAGCTGAAAGAGAACAAGGATTTCTCGAGCCGGAAGCTGTCAGAATGTTTTATTTTATCGTTAATTCATTAGCTGTTGCGTGGCTATTCTTGGTCGTCGTTATCAGGGAAGTTTTTTTGCCAGAATATTTAAAAACAACATCGCTGTCTCTATATGTTTTTATATGGGTCACACAGAGACTTGCATGTTTTGATACGTATAGACATTTCTATATGTCTGTGTATATGCATCGCAACAGATAAACTTCCTTGAAAATTTTCAAGCCAAATCAAATGAATCGTGATTAAGAAATGTGAATCGAACATACAAATAGAAGCAGTAAATATTAGTTCTAATTAAAATTAACAAATGCGTCAAATATTCGTTACTGTAAATAAGTAGAATTCCTTGAAAATCCATTAGCATGAAGTAATTGGTCCATTAATGCTGTAATGTCCGCTGCAGCTGCGAGTTGGATTATGAATTTACCGTCAAATGCTAGTTTTAATCCAGTATGTAATTTACATTTGAAGTTGAGGCACGTCACTATAGAACTTCTTGAAATATAATTACATTCCTGTGAACGACCGAGCCTGGGAATAACGCAGTAACCTTCCTAAATGGGCAATATTCACAAGGGAATTTCCGTTCGATAATAAAACAGACTGCGCTTATTACCTTCAGCATATCACGTAGCGTAATTAGGTTTACTAATGGTTGTGATATCAGAAATAGGGTACAGAGCTGATAATACGGGAGCAAAATGTAGAAACATATCGCGTTTTGCGTCCTTTGTGTGGAAAATCCCTGATGAGTCATGTTTTTTGAGCCAAAATTTATTGTCTTTAAGCACTCCTCAAAGCTCCTCTTAGAGCACTTCTCAGAGCACCTCGCAAGCACCCCTCTCAGCACCTCTCAAGCACCCCTCAAATGCACTTTAAGCACCTCAATGCACTTTAAGCACTCCTCAAAGCACCTCTTAAAGCACTTCTCAGAGCACCTCTCACAGCACCTCTCAAGCGCCCCTCAAATCACACACATAAAGGCAAAAGGACACTCTGGACATCATTAACGCTATCCCCAAACAGAGGCGAGAATATTGACTATGGAAAGCAAGTTTTAGGTTTACTAATGGTTGTGATATCAGAAATAGGGTACATAGCTGATGATACGGGTGCAAATGCAGAAACAAATCGCGTTTTGCGTCTTTTGTGTGGAAAATCCCTGATGCGTAATTTTTTTTGAGCCAAATTTCTTGTATTCAACGCCGCTTTTCAAGCACTCCTCACAGCACCTCTTAAAGCACTCCTCAGAGCACATATCCACGCACCTCTCACAGCACCCCTCAAGTCACCCCTCAAAGCACACACACACATACAAGACAAAAGGACACTCTGGACATCATTAACGCTATCCCCAAACAGAGGCGAGAATATTGACTATGGAAAGCAAGTGTGCCACGAGATCAGCCAGGCATTGAAGGCTTCCTGTCGTAGCGCGTATGTAAAATTAGATGCTCGCGTGGAGCGTGACTGTGAAGGCCGATGCTGAGGCGGGTCCGGGAAGTGTAGGTGGGCGACACACTTCACGCGCTGTAACGTCTACCACGCACTTGCGCTCAAAGCAGCTAATCGTCAATTTTTATGATATATTGCGCTATTTTCGGATTAGTGTCTTCTGTGTAAGGATACATTAATTGTCGTCAATTCTATTCGTGTCGAAAGGAATGATAATGCTTGGGTTAAGTGAATGCTTCAGCCCATACTTTCAAAAAAAGTTAAGAGATCGTAAGTTCATTAGCCAATCGTTGACCGCCTTTCAAGCAAAATCCACAAATCATAGACAAGAAAATAGAGCGTAAGTGATTACGTTCACTTAGCGAGTTTTGAAAGTATGGTTCTGGTCGCCAAGATTAGAGCAGCGAGTTGGGGGCTCGAAACCAGCAATTGGTTCAGAAAATTCTGGTCTAAATCGGCAAGGTGGCCAAATGATTTAAAAATCTTGGTGGTTAAGTTGAGGCCGGATGGTTAAGAATATCGCCTATAGATGCATTAACCGTCGTGTATGCTATTCATAGCCATGAGTTAAGTGACAAGAATTACTGTCAGCATACAAAGGGTTAAACCGGATCGAAACTACGACATAATAGTTTGAAAATTTCCACCTAAATTCAATATTTCTGGATGAATTCCGTCCAGAGATTGTCATGTACTGGACTCAAATAAATGTTTATACAACCTCGTAATTAAACCATTGAACATTAGTTTGATTGATCATCTAGCTATTAGACGACTGGGTTTATTGTTTCTTCTCCTGTTGAATATTCTGTAGCACTTACAAAGCAAACTTCACAGCTATTGCACACACTGAACAGTCTGGCTACTACAGAATACGTTGCTTATCAGAGAAACGTAAAAAATTATTCAACGACACGTACAACGTATCACAACACGTTGTCTACCTGAGGCTGAAACAAAACGCGAATAATTAAAACTTTCTTCCTAGAATCGGCCGTGGATCGCTGGCGTCGCCCCGGGCAGCGGTGAAAATCAGAAGGAATACACGTACCATTACGCGGTGCACAGCCCCAGCACCGGGGACCATAAGGCGGCGCATGAGGCGAGGCTCGCCGACGGGACAGTTGTTGGTGGTTACTCGCTCGTTCAGCCAGACGGCATCACCAGAAAAGTTTCCTACACGGCTGATAAATTCTCTGGATTTCAGGCTAATGTGGAATACTTGCCCGCAAGGCCTGAGTTGGCTGGATAATGAATGGACGATTTGAAGGGAGTGAGTAATGAATGAAGGTTGTGATGATGAGTTAGATTGTCATTTATTTTGTAATAGATTTCGATTTTTACGGTAGAAATGATAGACAATGAAATTGAATTTTAGTATAAATCGCAAAATGGTTTTTGGATTGATGTCTCACATACAGCCTTATGTCATGTTTGATGTATGCTTCTCATTAAATTTTAACTCAATAAACTATCGCATTGTTACGAAAGAATGAACGTTTAATTGTTTGTTCTCTCCAGGAGTAAAGTACAAGGGGAAGAGAAATTCAGACTTTTAATCTGCTAATAATAGTCAGACCTAGAAGTCATAATTGATTTAAGTGCTTATAGTTTGTTCGTATATTATGCGTAGTATTTTTTGGCCAATCACAGCTAAATAATTTATTCGAATATTGAATAGAGAATTTTTCACTCATTCATACATGCAGCAAATGGGATAAGTCGAGAACACTTGAATGTATTCTTTGTCAATTGTGAAAAATACAACCTTTTAAAGAGGCATTTCTGCCACTCCAGAATTCAGTGTCTGGCTGAAATTAAAGCAGGATTTAATAGAAGGAGAGATATTTAATTCGTGATTTACGTGTTGTCAAAAAGTCAAAATTATATTTCAAAACAGCTCACGTATAGTGATTAAGGCCTTCTGATCGCATTCATGTCACGATCTTCACTTTTTCGATGCAGTTTCTCTTGTTTCAAATAAAAATGCAAAATACTAAGCAGATGTCACGTCAAAATTTTCAAGGTAAACGTAAAATAATAAATTTTAGTATTCATGATGGTTCATTGAGTCAAAATTTGATTCCTAAATGATCAGTGTATTTTTAAACATCCTTTTTTTGAAGTTTTATTGATTCACCACAATTTAAGGATCAACATTTTAAAGGTAAACGTAAAATAATAAATTATAGAATTGATGATGGATGATTGAGTTAAAATTTGATTCCTAATTAATTAAATAACCAGTGTAGTTTCTGAATAACCATTTTTGAAGCCTAAATTAAGTGACTCACCATAAATGACATCATTCAGCCAAACAATTGGCCTCGTTACTGAATTATTTGCGGTTGAGATGCTTTTATACGTGGTAGTAAAATTTCATCATAAAAATTTCTCAAGAGGATGGTGTTTTAATTCCTTGGAATATTTTCATAAATTTTTTATATCATCATTAATTATTGAGCTTCACAGCGGCCGTGTGAGCGCTTGTGAGCTTAGTATTAAGTTAATAGTTGATATAGAGTTAGTATGTATTAAGTTTCGGTATATAGAATATTTTAATCTATATGAAAGTGCATAATAAGTAAGTCCTCAATACTTATTCAAATTTTATAACATGGCACAAACTTGATAAGTACATCAAGATTCACAGATTTTGAATAAGGCACTGAGCTCATGATTTTGAATTAGGCGCTGCATGAACTCATGATTGTAAAAATCTTTCGACGCATTCCTCGCATGTTAAGAACATTATTAAGCTTTAAATTCCCATAGAGAAATTAGCTGATTCTATATTCGTATATAGTGCTTGTTATGTTGCTCTTAAAAACCCATGTCATTACCAAATATGAAGAAACATACGAGAAATAACACAAATAATGTAATATAATAATAATACACAAATAATTTAATATAATAATAATATTAATAACATCAATAATATAATAATAATGTTTCCGTACCAGAACGAAGAATATTCAACGTTAACTCAATCAGGGTCCATTAGCACGTTGATAAACGATAAAGGTCGGTGTGGTTAATGAAAACACATTATCTTGCCCATTAGAAAGGAAAACATAACAAGCTGGATATCTCACAAGCTTGTTTTCCAATACTGCTTTAATATAGAATAAGTTGGGAATGCCTAAAATTATACGGGTTGTTTTTCATGGCACGACTCTGTAAAATAAACTACATCGTTAAAAACTACATGCATAGTACAAATAATCAATTATTAGCTGACAGTTATACTCTGACAGTAATAGTGAGCATAATGTTTCCTTACAGATACGCATCCACCATTCAGTGAAAGGTATAGCGCTTATGATAGAAAAAATTGAGATGCTGTATTTGAGTTCACATGCATTCATGTATTCTAATGAACATGTGAAGATATTTATATATCAACTATTTACATATTACAACATCAAAATAGCTTTTGATGGATCAACGCGCTAGAAGTGCAAAAACTTGAATATAAATCAGGGCTTACTGAATACCGTGAATAAAAATCGTAATTAAATCAAGTATGATTTCGCTACCTGATTTCATCGATAAATTTGATGACCAAGTTTGTTCAGTACTCGAGTTCTATGATACCATCAGCTACACACACATTAAGCGTGTCCATAATAACGATAAATCCATCACGATATGTCCATCATCATGACGATAAGTCGACCATCACGACGATACGAGAAAGATGAAAGCCTTATAAAACACAGCCCCAACAACTGCGGCAGCTTCGTCGTGCTAAGGGTCCATCGTTCAATTGTTTCGTGTTGCGATTATTAGCTAACATCAAATCTAATTTTTATCGATTTTTATCAAATCTAATTTTTAATTTTTTTTTTATCGAATTTGAACTTCATTAGTTCAAATTGGCTACCCGATTTATATGAAAATATTACGAAAATATTTCATTTTAAAACACTACAGTAAATATTGTCAGTATATTTATAGGTTTTCCTGATTGTCTATTCGTCTATAATCCAAACTATAAAATACTAGCTATTTAGAGCGTTGAATTAAAAACAAAAAAATGAAATGGGCTAGAACATTATCCATATCTGGACATAACATAAATTTGAAACTGAACGTATTCATAAATATTTGTATTCCAGCGCATTATTCTCTCTAAAATTTGAGCTAAAATAATGTGCGTTTTAACTAAATTTACGTGTTAAAAATCTGAAAATTTTCAGCGCATTAGTTGAATCGCTTACGAAGGACGCATAAGCCTTAATTTCAGAACATTTCCATCACTATTACAGTCAGTTATAGAGATGTACAGGGATTTCCATCTAGTGACTTGATTTGTTTTAATTTATATAAATAATAAATGTTTAATTAAATAGAATAACAATCAGTTTTCAAAGTGACTTTAAGATATGAAATAGTATCGATTTGCCTTTGTACTATTGAAGCAGATTCACGTTATTTTGTAAAAAAATTAATTTTTCTTTAATTTATTCATTACGTTAATCATTTGAACGAGTATTAAAAATACAATCTCTTATCTTATTTCAACACAGAACTAAATACAGAAAAAATATGGTAACTTTAAAGAATGAACATTGAACCACTATTGAACAACATTGAAATTGAACAACTAACGATAATAATTGGTAATACATAATACAATAATCGAGCTTATTTCTAAACAGAATTCATTGTAAGAATTAAAATAACTCGTTAATCATCCATTGCATTATAATCTGAGCTAAGCAAGAAATGCCTACTGTACTGTAACAAGCAGTTCACAACGGTACAAAAAAATATAGAATATATTAGTGTAAGAAAATTGAGTGAACATTTTGCACTACTGCCGTCCATTGGCAGGTAAGTAGACAAAGGCCGCGAGGTGTATGAAAGCACTTGCAGAAATAAATTAAAGTCTCTGCAAGTAAAGGATGAAATATATCAAAGCAAATTCAGTCCTGAAATATTAAATAATTGATGGAGATAAATGTGGGAAATAACCAAAAATGTTGGGTTTGATTAACATGGAACAATATCTCTTTTTTATAGCGAAAAAGATTTGGAAAACAGCAACGAACGCTTGGCTTGGGATCGAGTGATGAATAATTTGACTTACGGAAGAGGATAAAACGGTCAATGAAAAAATGTACAAGCATGAAAATGGAAGTACAAGCGTTGGCTGTGCAGCCAGGTTTGAGAGGCAGAATGTCGGAAATGGAACTGTGCTACTACCCAACACGATAAATAAGGTGATTACAGAAACAAAGGTTGACGGAGCAGTGGAAAAAATAAAAACGGGCAAAGAAAAAAATATCTTAAATTTAGAATCAACGACTACATTGATCACTGAAGGAGCTACAGACTCTCTCAAAGAATCAGCAAGGGAAATGTCCGATAACGTTCTTGCGTTCCACATAGCCTGTGAGGTAAACAGGCAAAAAGGATCAAAAGAAAGAGAAGAATACGATGCAGATCAAGGAATTTGTTTCAGAAGCAAGGTCAGGTTTCATAATATATTGCAAAGGGATGAAACTTCCATAACAATGGGAAGGAACAACAATAATCATGATGATAGTTTGAGCGTGGCTGCAGGAAACTCGAAAACTCAGTCAAAACAAAAAATCGAAGCTCATGACACTTACTTGCAAGATGTCGGAAAACTTTTTAGAAACGCAAAAACCGCTGATACCTCAACATTAAAAACTCTAAATCTTTTGCAAGCTGGAAAAAACGAGATTCAGCATTCGACCGTTGACACTGATGATGCCAAGTCAATACTGTTAAAGAAAGAATCGTCTAATTCTAGAGTGAACCTTACGATAGAAACGAAGGAGGAATTCCAGTGGCTGACATCAGCAATTATCAAGGATATTTCTAAGGGAAACAACTATCATACAATGAATGAAAAAATTCTCAACTCGACTATTTCAAGAAGTAACCTGTGGAACGGTTCAGCTGAAGAACAAACAGGATTAAAACGAAGGTCGAATAGCATGGGTAACTGGAAGGATGAACTGGTCCTCGCTGCCAACAATCTTCCCACTCTGAGTCCAAATGATGCTGAAAAAAGTTCGCCCGGCAGGAGGCCTTCTGATGGTCCATCTCAAGAATTAGACTGTGCGAGTGTCAGCTCCTTCAGACGGAGGTCACGTCTCAACAGCAGTTTTAGGAAAGGATGTAGCGGTCCATGTTCAGTGGTCTTCGGCAACGACGTTAGTCCGCGCAATAGCGACGAGGAAACGAAATGCCGGGATTCGTCACAATCAGCTCCCGAAAGAGAATTTCATCGTCGAAAGGCGGACGTCACGTCTCACTTCTGGCTGATACACACAGTTTTGTCAGTGAATGGAGTCCTTATCTTCTCTATCGAAGATATCAGCAAACTAATCAAAACAAAACTATTTTTCACATTATTGCACGCAACGGCAACTTTTGCGGCTACACTCTACACATTATGGTTTTACTTCGGACAAAGCCTCCCGCCGTGGTTCCGGATTTACACATTTCCGTACCTGATGATGCATCTGTACACTCTCGGGATCTACATTCGAGCAGTCCGTGAAAAGGAAAAGTTGAGGAACTTTTTACTGTCTCTTCAGCAGCACAAGTTTGAAGGACATCCGATGTACATGATAGCGCCTGTGGTGACAGTACTATACAGTTTGTTAAATTTGTTTCTCCTATTTATTGTGATGCCGCCTGAAGCATATGGTATAACAGTGGCATTATTCACATCAATATTTACACCAGGACTACTTGACATGTACGTGATTTGCATAACACGTGCTCTCAACAACACGTATCGACTTGCTGAGCAATCAATACGCAACACGAAGCACTGGACTGGTAAAAAATCCCAACAGCTAGAATTTAAACTTAAAACAATTTACGAAACTACAGTCTTCTTCAATGAGGTATGTAAAAAGTGTAATTTCTCCTTTACAACACGATTCCTCCTATAAATTTCTTGTATTTCTCTAAGGAAATGAGAATTTATATTATTATACATTTTTTATTTTTCCTATTTATACTATATTCTC